ACCTGGACTTCTCCTTTGATACTGATCGTGACTTCATTTTAGTAATAGAATCAGGTTGTGGAATTTTCCCAACTAGCTATAAAAGCAAGATGCAAACTTGAACCCTTGAAAGCCTCTTAAATATCGCAAACCCTACATTTCCATTATGGCGCCGGGAATCCTAGAGGAATCCACGGTCGCACTTGAGAAGCCGACCAGCCTGTCTGCGCTGACTGAGGACTGGGATGACACTATTCGGTTCTATCTGAACGGCACTAAGGTTGCGGTAGACACGATCAACCCGGAAGTGACTCTACTCGAATACCTGCGGGGTATTGGGTTGACAGGTACAAAGCTTGGATGTGCTGAAGGAGGCTGTGGTGCTTGCACTGTGGTGAGTTACAGTTAATCATGTTGGGCTGCGCCTCTGGTGCTAACCGCAGTGTGAAATCGGTCAATAGGTTGTCTCCCATATCAATCCTACAACAAAGAAAATCTACCATGCCTCTGTGAATGCTTGTATTGCTCCACTCGTTAGCATCGACGGTAAACACGTTATTACAGTTGAAGGGATTGGAAATGTGAAGGATCCCCACGCGATTCAACAACGGATTGCGGTCGGTAATGGAAGCCAATGTGGTTTCTGTACTCCTGGAATTGTCATGGTACGCCAACTTGGTCCTTTCAGTTGATTCTTTATTTTTGGGAGGGATCTGGAGTTTACTGATAGCTTCAAGTCACTCTATGCCTTGCTGCGAAACAACCCGTCCCCCTCGGAACATGATGTTGAAGAAGCCTTTGATGGAAACCTTTGCCGCTGCACGGGTTACCGACCTATTCTAGATGCTGCTCAGAGCTTCAACTCGACCAACAATTGCGGAAAAGCCTCTGCCAATGGGGGGTCGGGCTGCTGTAGGGAGAAAGGCTCCGGTGGCTGCTGTAAAGGGCCTTCCACCAACAATGCCGAGAACGAGACAGTCGATTACAAATTTCCTGCGCCAGACTTCAAACCGTACAGTCCAGATACAGAGTTGATCTTCCCTGCTGCTCTGCGGAAACACGAATACCGACCCTTAGCGTATGGCAACAAGAGAAAGAAGTGGTACCGACCAGTCACTGTCGAGCAGCTGTTGCATATTAAGAACGTCCACCCGGACGCTAAACTAATTGGTGGAAGCACGGAGACGCAGATTGAGATCAAGTTCAAGGCAATGCAATACACGGCATCCGTCTACCTGGGTGATATCCCCGAATTGCGACAATTTACCTTGCACGACGATTATTTGGAGATCGGCGCAAATGTGTCGTTGACAGACCTCGAACATATCTGTGACCAAGCGGTGGAGAAATACGGTGATGCCAGAGGTCAACCTTTCAAAGCGATCAAGAAGCAATTGCTCTACTTTGCTGGGCGACAGATCCGAAATGTCGCTTCCCCGGCGGGTAACCTGGCCACTGCATCGCCCATCTCTGATCTGAACCCGGTTTTGGTAGCTACCAACACTATCCTTGTAGCCAAGTCACTTCAAGGCGAGACTGAAATTCCAATGACCGAGTTCTTCCAAGGTTACAGAAAGACTGCCCTCGCTCCCAACGCAATCATCGCTAGCTTGCGTATTCCGGCTGCGAAGTCTCAGGGAGAGCACATGCGCGCTTACAAACAATCTAAACGGAAAGACGATGATATTGCCATCGTCAACGCCGCGTTACGCGTAACTCTTTCTGAGAGCAATGATGTGGTCAGCGCCAACCTTGTTTTTGGTGGGATGGCAGCTATGACCGTCTCAGCGAAAAATGCAGAGGCACAATTGGTCGGCAAGAAATTCACAAACCCTGCAACTCTTGAGGGCGTCATGAGCGCACTAGAGCAGGATTTCAACCTGCCATTTGGAGTTCCTGGTGGCATGGCTAGTTACCGGAAGTCTTTGGCTTTGGGCTTCTTCTACAGATTTTACTACGATGTGCTGTCAGGCCTTGATGTCAAGGCTTCGGATTTAGATCCAGATGTCGTTGCTGAGATTGAGAGGGCAATTTCTACAGGAGCGAAAGATCTCGAGACCTCCGTTGCCTATCAACAGAAGATTCTTGGACGAGCGACTCCGCATGTTGCGGCGTTGAAGCAGTCTACAGGAGAGGCTCAATACACAGATGATATTCCTGTGCAGCAAAATGAGTTATTTGCCTGTATGCTTCTGTCTACCAAGCCTCATGCCAAAATCCTCAGCGTTGACCCGTCCGCTGCATTGGAAATTCCGGGTGTTGCGGATTACGTGGACCACACGGACCTTCCTAATCCCCAGGCAAACTGGTGGGGACAACCCAAGTCCGATGAGCTTTTCTTTGCTGTCGATGAAGTTACTACTGCTGGTCAACCGATTGGTGTGATTCTGGCGGCTACCGCTAAACTTGCCGAGCAAGGCATGAGGGCTGTCAAAGTCGAATATGAAGATCTCCCGAGCATCCTTTCAATTGAGGAGGCCATCGAGGCAGAATCTTACTTTGAGCACTATCGTTACATCAAGAATGGCGATACCGAGGAAGCTTTCAAACGAGCCGATCACATATTTACTGGAGTCTCGCGAATGGGTGGCCAAGAGCACTTCTATCTGGAAACTCAAGCTTGTGTGGCAATTCCAAAGCCAGAGGATGGTGAAATGGAGATTTGGAGTGGTACACAAAATCCTACTGAAACGTGAGTAGTGATATATTTGACTGTCCCATCATAGAACTTAAGCTAATCGTTCACAGACAAGCCTATGTTGCTCAGGTTACAGGAGTATCTGCGAATAAAGTCGTGTCGCGCGTGAAGCGTCTGGGTGGTGGCTTTGGCGGCAAGGAGTCGCGATCTGTTCAGCTGGCTGGAATTTGTGCCACTGCTGCTGCCAAAACAAAGCGACCTGTGCGGTGCATGCTCAATCGTGATGAAGACATATTGACTTCCGGTCAACGCCACCCATTCCTCTGCCGATGGAAGGTTGGGGTGACAAAAGAAGGAAAACTCCTTGCGCTTGATGCAGATGTATTTGCCAATGGAGGCCACACGCAAGATCTATCTGGTGCCATTGTGGAGCGAAGCTTGTCTCACATTGATGGCGTATATAAAATACCGAATGTTCACGTGCGCGGCCGGATCTGCAAAACCAATACAGTCTCCAACACAGCTTTCCGTGGCTTCGGGGGTCCGCAAGGCCTATTCTTCGCTGAGTGTTATATTTCTGAGATTGCAGATCATCTGAACATTCCGGCTGAAGAAGTCCGGGCCATCAATATGTACAAGTCAGACGATACGACCCATTTCAACCAGCCTCTCAAAGACTGGTATGTGCCGTTGATGTACAAGCAAGTGTTGGAGGAGAGCTCTTACAACGAGCGCCGGAAGGCTGTTGAGGAATATAATGCGCAGCACAAGTGGTCCAAACGTGGAATGGCGATTGTGCCAACCAAGTTCGGTATCTCTTTTACAGCTCTCTTCTTGAACCAAGCAGGAGCTTTGGTTCACATCTATCACGATGGCAGTGTCCTCGTAGCACATGGTGGTGTTGAAATGGGACAAGGTCTCCATACAAAGATGACCATGATCGCTGCCGAAGCGTTGCAAGTGCCGCAGTCAAGCGTCTTCATTTCCGAGACAGCGACCAACACAGTGGCTAATACATCCGCAACCGCTGCTTCGGCAAGCTCCGATCTCAACGGCTATGCCATCTTTAATGCATGTGAACAAATTAACGAACGCCTACGTCCTTTCCGCGAGAAAATGCCCAACGCGACCATGAAGGAACTTGCCCACGCGGCTTACTTCGCCCGTGTCAACCTGTCCGCGCAAGGATACTACCGCACACCCGATATCGGCTACGTATGGGGCGAGAACAGCGGTCAGATGTTCTTCTACTTCACACAGGGTGTCACTGCAGCCGAAGTCCAGATCGACACGCTGACAGGTGATTGGACACCTCTACGCGCCGACGTGAAGATGGATGTGGGTCGCAGCATCAACCCCTCAGTGGACTACGGTCAGATCGAAGGTGCTTTCGTACAAGGACAAGGCCTATTCACTACGGAAGAGAGTCTCTGGCACCGTGCCTCCGGTCAGATCTTCACCAGAGGCCCGGGCAACTACAAAATCCCTGGATTCCGAGATATCCCGCAAATTTTCAATGTGAGTTTGCTCAAGGATGTGGAATGGGAGAACTTGCGCACCATTCAACGCTCCCGTGGAGTCGGCGAGCCGCCCTTGTTTATGGGCAGTGCGGTCTTCTTTGCCATTCGTGATGCCTTGAAGGCTGCACGTAAGCAGTGGAACGTGAATGACGTGCTCTCGTTGGAGTCCCCTGCTACTCCTGAACGTATTAGGATTAGCTGTGCTGATCCGATCATTGAGCGCGTTAGAGTGCAGCCCAAGGAGGGAGAGAAGAGCTTCTTTGTTGCCATATAGCGGCTACGAATTTAGGGTCCACGATTTGCATGATATTACGCTATGCCTTGGAGTTTCTGTTTAATATAGTTAGGCAACTAAATCAAATTACTTACTATCCATAAGTATACTAATCTCTCAAGATGTGTTGTATGTGTAATCTTAGGTTAAGGCCCAGGGTTCCACACGCCTCGCAGGTGGGATACTATAATTTTGTAACCAAGTCGCATTCTTGATTGTAGCTAGAGATGCTATCTTATTGGGAATCACTATGACCGAACACCAGCCCCATATAAAAACAAATGGCCAAAGTTAGCACCATGAAATGATGTAGATGGCAGAAAGAGAGGAAGGGAAAATACAGCGCCCAGCGCCCAGCAAAGCGAAGACGGAGGAAGACAGGAATGCATTTCCTATCACCGCTTCACATCATACTCAACGTAGCTACTTCCCCTGAGATCTGGACCCGAGTCTACTTGCAGTGCATGTTCATAATTCCTTTGCCCTGCGAAACCAACCTTCTCATCGCCATACGATGAGGGCTCACTCCGCACAGGCTCGGAGGTTGCTACCGCCGCCGTGTACTGAGGAGCAATGTGCCCATCGCCAGTCATAGTCCTCGGAATGGCAGTAAGTGGAACTTCAGTGAAACCATTCGGATCATGGGCTGGTGGTCCGCCATTCGGCACGGGATCCAGGATATGACCCTGGCCCCCTCGCCGCGGTGCTTCTCGCGACTCCAGAAAAGCATCATGGCGCGAGTGATACCAATCAATGCGATGAACACCCAGAGCAGGAGAATAATGGTGGCGATGATGGCTTCAATGCGCAGGGCTGCTTCGAGTTTCTTGATAACGCTGTTGACGACCTCGGTGATTTTATTGGCTGTTTCGTCGCCTGAGTCGGCGAGAAAACTGTCGGAGGGGTTGGCGCTATCGTTGATGCTGGAGGACGCACCGGCTGAGAAGGTGTCGTTTGGGAGGGTGGGAAGGGAGATGTGTGCATGCTCAGCTACCCAGTTCAGACCCTTTTGGAGTGCCTCGGCTTTGAGGCCGATGAGGCACTCGTACAACTCGTAAACGGGTTCTTGGAGTAGAGTGCCTTTGAAAGTCTCGTTTAGAACGCTGGAGGTGTTGTAGATGAAGAAATTTAAGGTTCCGTTTATGGCCTGGGTGCTGCTGTTGACCCAGCCAAAGACATTGTGGTTTAGGTCAGTGTCGAGATTGATGATGGCTTTGTTGGCGTCGGTGGCCCAATCTGTTGAGGCACTTTCTAGTGCGTCGACGACCTTGTCTGCAAATTCTCCCACTTCGGCACTTAATGCGGGAACAGCTTGCTTCACTGAGTGTAGGAGCAGGTATTGGCACAGACAAGAGAATAGTGCTGCTAGTGCAAGAGCTAGCACGAAAAGAGCAGGGAAGGATGTGGCATAGGCAATGGCCCATCGCACGAGAATCTGTCGGCGGCTGTTGCTGAAGTGGCTTGCTGCCTTGATACCCGCAGCAGCGGTGTATGGTCGTGAAACAATGTAGACGACATCCATTGGATCATGGGCTTCCTTGCGAACCAACTGAGAGCGCTCTTTCATTGAACGCCATCGGCGAATTTCTTGCCACGCGATTGGAATGCACACCAATATAGCAGCAACGATAAGGACAGCAATGAAGATTTTGCGTGCTGTTAGTGCCATCTCGGTAACGCCATCGAAGAAATCGTTGATTCCTTTGTTGTCGTTGCAGAAGGCCAATTGTTTCTTGGCAGGGACAGGGAGAGCAGATCGATCGAAGCTGTAAGCACCCAAAGTCTCATTAACCAAGTCCTTAACTTCTTGGAAAGGCGTTTGAAAGAGAGTCTTGGTGTAATTCTGGATCTCTTTGAAGTTGGGAAGGACGATATTGTCCAGCTTTTCGACTGTGCGGTTGACTGATGATGGAAGAGACAGATTTTCCAGCGTACTGATTGTACTGTTGAGGTTGATTGGGCTAGGATCATCCGAAAACACGCTGGCCACCTTGTTGATTGTCTCGAGAAATGAGTTCAGCTCGTCTTTGTATTTATCAACGGTACTCTCAATGTCACCGCTGATTGTCTTTAGAGTTTTGTTGATCCACTCAGTAGCCTCCTTGATCAATTCAATCCCGGCTCCTACTGTGCCGCGGACAGCCATTGTAATAAGACAGGCGTAGGTAGAGTACATCATATTTATGACAAACCAGAGGATCTCCCCAACGCCTGTGATGGTCATCAACAGCACAGACTTCAGCGCAGAAACGGCTTCATCAACCGAAGAAGCCACAAGCTCGTTGGTGCCTTTGGATAGGTAGTAGGGCATTGAAGCCATCGCACTACCCATGGATTCCACCGACGTGCACGCAGAGAGGGCCTCACGCTTGGCAGATGCCATATTGGATTGCAAATCGCCAACTGCGATCAATACCCGGAAAAGAACAAGTAATAAAAGTATCGTCCATCGATTGATCCATACTTGTGAAAGTCGAGCTCGCAGACCGAGATATGGTGTGAGACCATCTGGATGTAGAGGAATTATCCGCCCGGTGCTTGAATCGTGGGCCCCATAAGGAGGGAGCAATGGAAAGATCGACCTCCCAGATCGAGTAAATACCATTGTGGTTGTTCCTTCCTTCTTCGAAAGTGATAGTGGTTAGATGTCTCGGGTGTGATCTCGTCCAGCGAAGACCAGAATGCTTGGAAGCGTACTTAAATCGAGAAAAAAATATGCAAAGCCTGTATTAACACAGAGGGGGCTTGAAAGAAAATGAAGATAGCAAAGGAAAAAATCCAACCTATAGGGGGGACATGGTATGGTGTATAGGATTTCTTATAGATGTTGAATGAATGGGGAGGTCAATAGATGAATAGATCGGGTGGCGGACTAAGAACAATACAAACAAAATAAAACAAGGGACAATGAAGCGTCAAATATAGCAGCTTGAGACGTCACCTGGAAATTGTCAGACATCCTGGGCGGCAGCAGCATTACAATGGCCCCGATATTGCTCATAAAGAAGCTGCTTAATGGATCTTGGCAACCCCGTATAGTCGAGACAGCCCCAATCAGAATGAACCGTGACCATTTCGAAACAAAGAATATACAAAAATAAAGACTGAAGACAAGGGGTCTGTGCAATGGTTTGTTTCATGAAGCATCTGTGCGTGTCACTGGCTACCGTGAGTGTCAAAAGCGCCGGAGTGGACAAGCTGCCAAATATAGCCTCCATGGGCGCTTAGCCGCCCACGACTGAGAGCCAATAGCGGGAGAGCGACGACTGGTTGATTTAACATCATGCTTGTTCCCGTGTCATGTGAGTAGACGATATGGATGTTGTTTGACCCTACCTTGGGAGTTAGTCTTTATTTGGGCTGTTGCCGCTTAACTCGAATGTGCGAGTCTGTGATTCGATTCACAGACTCGCACATTCGAGTGCAGAGAAAAATTTCCACATATACAATCTTTGTAAATAAAAAGATAAGTGATCATGATGCACTATATTCCATCATGATTGTAGCTTATCTAGCAAGTTCATCGAGGAGTGGGGTGTATAAAAAAACTGCTCTACGCTTATTCGAGTTGTGGTCGCCGGCGTAGAAAGAGACGTATCACGTGATATTCATCGAGTCCGTGCAAAACGTGACCGCACGTGACTGAGCTGCACCCTAACAACTTGCAACAACATGTCTTGAATTGCATGACAAGAAGTCTTGAGGACTCCCAACTAACTCCTTTGGGCATGTTTGTTTTATGATAATTTACGAGTCTCTGAATACTGCACCGGCATTTATATGGTATCATTTCCAATATCTTCCTCAGGTGCATGCTTCAACGTGTGTTTTCTCAAGCTTCTACGTAAATATTGGCATAAAGCAATAACGGTCATAAACATGAGATCAAATTCCTAAGTATATGGCTAAAAGAACATTTGAGACTGCCCAAGAAAAGGCATTGTCCGTCTGATACCCTGTTCTCCTGGTTTCCGAACCTCCACGCCAGTCCTTTCGCTCCGTCGTTTGGTGTAGTTGGCTGGTGAACGGAGGCTGACACCATGGTATATGACTGAGGAGAGACCCGTTTCTGATAGAGATCAATTTTTGTGAAAGGGATAGGATGTCGATATTATGTGAGCTCTGGGTATCTACGTTGGGGTGACAAGCGAGTCGTATTGTTTTAATTTTTCAATTCCACCGTGAGACCGCTTGATCAATACGGCGAGATCGTATCACGTATTGGTCCTTTTGAAATAGAACTCAGCGGAGCCTTCCCGCTCAGAGCACCTTGGTCGAATAATGGTCGGGATGGCAACCGTAGCTTGATAATAATCATGAACTAACTGTAGGATGATTGGTTGGTAGATATCATCCAAATTGCCCCATAAATCGACGCTTCTCTCAATCCATGTGATCAGCCACAACAAGACAGTTCTTGAGAAGAGACACATGCGCGTATCTTTATCTCCGTCACATTCATATGGTCAATCGTAACTTCCCTTGAAGGCTGTGTGGCTGTAGCACGTGCATAATCTGCTTGTCTCTTCCATTGTTGTCGAATATCGAAGCTGTCCCACTTCTTATCTTCGTCTCCTTCCATCTTCATCTCTCCTCACCTTCTTTTCTTTTGAATCTCTTCACCTCCACGCAGACACAGTAACTTTGGTTTGTGCATCACCACATCTTTCATTTCTTTGAATGACCAAAGCCTTTGTATCAAAGAACTTGTTTCATCTCATGGTGCATACCACAGACGCGCGGGTCAAGCTTTGAAGCTCCACACAGTAAGTCATCGCACATGCTCGCACGTTGGGTCATCGATGATGCCCATGGACCTTACCAAGACTATCTCCCAGGACACTCAAAGGCTGTGAGTCTTGACATGCATCACCAGATTCATTTGCCGTGAAGCTATGTCTTGCATGGCTTTATTGACTGATGCATGGTCGAGACAACACACATGCACAACCCTTATGTGAGACCAAAGCTCGCAGCCTTCAGTGTCTTGAAGATCGAATCTTGGCAACTCATTCGTTGCGAAAATAAATCGCCCATCTTGCATTTTACTGACGTTTCCTGCAGCAAGACATTTCTGTCGAAGCCCTCGAGGACAACTTCGGACTGAAGAGATCCCTGTTCCGACCGAGGAGTATTTGGTAAGCTCTTCATGCTTCCCATACAAGGGCCTACCTTACCCATCAGAAAAGTCATTGAGCAGTACAAGACTGCTGGTCACACTTCTTAAAACACATCTAGGCTTTTGCCTATCATCGAGTGAGTCTCTCTTAGACCATGTCATCAAATATTGAAGGACCTTAACTAATACATGGTCAGCTCTGTTCCAACACACGACCGAGAATATCAAATACCTCTTTCTTCTTTCCGCTCAGTAAGTCTCGAATGAAGTAAGTCTCGATGGAGAGTCAATGGCTGATGAGATAAAGTCAACATATCATCATCATCTCACAAAATGGCTCCTATGTTCAGCAAATTTGTTGACGGCGAGATTTCCCCCAAGACTCCCCAACCTGCGCCTGGAGAGGATCACCATCATCCATGCAAAGAGCGTGATACAACCAAAACTCAGCAGCATGCAAAACTTGAAGTTCGGGTGCCAGAGCTGCTCAGTCCTCAGGCAATTCAAACTGAGATGGGGCTTTCCAAAGCAAACACATCCGAAAAGGAAGACATCAAAATGACTCCACCCAGGTTACAGACATGGAACGATGAAAGGACTGGGCTTTCTCTGGGAAATGGACAGCTGAGGATAAGTATCCACGACTGGCGGACCTCTTGGCCGACATTCATCGCGGGAAACAACCCCACTGGTAATCCCAAATGCGATCTTGAGGCTGTCATCACAGAGTCCGATATCATACGTATTGACTTTAAGGTCCCCACCGATTACCCCGGTGGCATGCTGGGGATCCTGAGATCGATCGAAGCACTCTTCATATCCCCAAAACGTGTATCCATGAGCAACATCGAGGCTGGCTCTGTACCAGCTCATCGGGAGTCGAGAAATCCAAAGAAGGACTGCTATTACATCAAATGGACGACCCCGTGGGAGACATCAGGATGCCGAGTGAGCTGGATGAAGGCAGAAGAAAATTCACAAACCATAAAGTTCAAGTTTGTGGGTGCCAGAAATTCGGGACATGAGGAGCAATTAATGGTCACCGTTGATGAGCATGATGAGTTTTATCGAAAGCTCTCCAGCAACGACCCTGTCAGTATACAAACTTCACCAATTTTGGGATTTGACTAAAGTATCACAGAACATTTACGGCAAATGGATGGCACTTCCAGTCCGGATTTGGCTGCGCATTCAATGGCTGGTGGCAAAGACTGGCGACATAGACAACCAATTGTTTGGAGGGTTACCTTTCGATCAAAACCCCTCTCCCTCTACCAAGAGGAATAAAGGCAAGAAGCAATCAAAGAGACTGCCAAAGAGAGCTGAAGAAGGAAATTCAGCGGATGAAAAGTCAAATGCCTCGGTTGTGCCAAGTCCTGAGCCGTCAGTGTTAGGGCAAGAACATACGATGGAGACTATGGGAAGTCAAGAGTCGACAAAGAAAGAGTCAACCCAGCAGGAGCTGACAAAGAAGGTATCTACACTCAGAATTGATACCCAGAAAAGCATCAGAAGGTCAAAGGGCAAAGGGAAGGGCAAGCGCAAGTGCACACCTGGTTTGTCTAGTTCTTCTGGCTGCAACACAGGAAAGAAGGATACAGCCGACTTCACAGATCAACGTGATGACCAGTGTGATTCACTTCCGGGAGTGCAGGACAGTGCTCGACAGGATGTCCCGACTGAGCAGCAACTTGCGGCAGTTGCTGGCCCACAAACAGTCAATGCCTCCCGGCTCCCTACCCCCAATGACTTGACTACCCCATTGTCTTCATCATTCGAGACAGCCCAAACCCATCTCTCCCCCCACACTCCCTTCCCCTCATCCTCACTTTCATGTTTCTTCACACCTATGGATATCCCGTGGAAGAAAGATGAGGATGATGGGGAAAGGGAAGTGAATGCGGATAGAAATGAGCCAGCAGAGATTTCGGATCAGCTGTTTCTCACTCCGCGGGGGGGATGAGATTGGGCTTGGGGGCCCTGTCTCGAACAAGAGGGACGAGGTGCGGTTCTCCGGTAAGTTTTCAGCTCCTTATATCATTGCGGAAGTAGTAGCTAATCATTATTTAGACCCTGAAGAGTACCTTGACGGCCACAAGGCGCAGAAAAAAGCCTTGCGTCGAAGTGAGTCTTTTGACATGGCCAGTCTAGGTACAAAATGATTTTCTCCATATTTTCTGCTTTAAATACATGCTAACTAAAGGTCACAGGGCGATTCAAGGGCCAGGACACCGCATCCTCGTCCCCAATGGCCGACCCTCCATCGTCTCCCCGTGCCTCTTCTAACTTGTCTACCACAGACTCAGCTGGGTTTGGGTCAGATAAACCTAACACAGATGACACCGTCCAGCCAGACGACCAAACTCCAACCGAGTCTAGCCGACATGTCAAGAAGACTGCATACAAGAGGAGGAAGCAGGAAAGACGGAAGCGCAAAAACTTGATGAAGCGTCAGCAAGAGCGCAGTGAGAAGCTCGAGCGCCCCGTCTCCAATGCTTCTTCCCAGGACGATGGTGTGGAAGGTCGTTCTCCGTCTCCACCCGAGTCGTTCGAGGATGATGAACCAACTCCCACAGCCAAGCAGTTCGGCAACATCGGGGCTCCGTCCCCTGAATCGCAGTGGGACTTCGGCAGGATCGCTGTACTTTGCGAGAAGCACGGCTGCCAAGTCCTCTGTGGCTTCGGGGATGGAGTCTCCGTTGTTTGCCCTAAGTGCGGACCGTTTTCTGAGGTCCGCTACTGCGGCAAGGACCACCTGTGGGAGGATGTCAAGATGCATTGGCTGGTTTGTGGGACCCGACCTGTCTACCCGCAGCAGCTCTTGGCCGGTTCGATTCCATACGACGTTCTCGTGGGTCCACCAATGCTTCCCAGCCTTCACCAGTGGGACACCCCTGAGCGCCATCGTCAGGCGGTGTGGTTCAGTTCCGCCCGTGACCGAGGTGACTACTTCGTGTTCGCGGAGTGGGACGACCTGGCGAAGGCTGCGGACGCTCCAGCCAGTCACGTTGGGCTGCGATGTTCATCTCGAATCGCACACATTGTGCGATTTGAGAACGCCGAAGAGAAGGACCGGTTCCGCCGGTGCCTTGCAGTTTGTCTCTTCTGTAAGTTTTATCTCACTTTTAGCTTCTTTACACTTTCACTTGAAGTTTCATTGGACTCTCTCTCTCAGCTTCCTCGCAATTTGATATCATACAACCCTCACCACTCCCTTTTTTCAGATTATATACTGACTCTTATTTTCTTTCAGCGGCGGTTGAACATCCAGCCCTCGTGGACTATCTTTACCGGCTTGTCCGGGACTGGATGCGGGCTCACGACATGTGGGCCAGTGACAAGGACATGGACAGCATGTTGCGCTACCAGATGGGACTCGAGATGGGTAACACCATCGATAAGAGCCGTCTTGGTTTGCGGCATGCTTGTGAGACGGAGTGGGTCGGTGCCAACCGACGCCACTGCGAGGATTCGACCTGCGCGAGCGAGCGTCGCCCCACGTTGCTCGGTAACCAGTGTATGGGGTTGGGCTTCCGGAGAGTGTGCGAATACCTCGAATCCAACTATTGGATTCTGAGGGCGCACCGAGCCACCCATCCTTCGGTGAGCGACGTGGTGGCTCGCACGTGTGGGGGAGGATTTTCGGAGGTCCTTTCAATGGACCGGCGGACCTTCTGCCGTGGCGAAGGTTGGGACGGGGCGGGAACGGGCCCCATGGAGTTGGAGATGCCGTGAAAACGGCTGGCCAGGGTAGGGAGCCGTCCCCTCCCTAGCCCTTTTCTTTGTACCGGGGTCCTGGACCTGGGGTGGCTGGTTTGGAGAGATATTATCAGTGTTCAGTCGGTGGATGCCCTCCAGGTCCGGGATGCCCATTCTTGTATTATGCTTTCGGTGGTGGTGACGGGGTGGAGGGGGATTTGATCGCCCCCTCCGTTGTTTCTATGTAGATAGAAACAAAGACCGTTGTGTGTTTGTGCCTCTGTCCTGCTGTGCCTAGGTAGATGCACTGAGGTGCCGGGAGTTACACAGGAGTAGCAGTACATGAAAATTATGTACTGGTAGATCAATAGTGTAGGGCAATTAGATATATGCAGAAATGGGCTTCTAGGGGATGTGGTTTGCATCTTTATATCCAATTTTCTATCAGCATCGTAAGACTTCTATGCATATCTCGTCACTTCCTACATATAAAATTCCTGCAACTCTTTGTTTACTGGGTGATATACTTCTTCAGCCCTCTCAAGCGCTCCTTGGCAGTCTCAAGAACATCATCGTTCTTGCACACCGCAAAGCGGAGATAATCCTCAGCAATGTGGGCGTTGGAATCAGTGTAGAATTCAGTGGGAGGAATAGCAGCCACGCCAACCTCCTGGATGAGGAACCAGCAGAGCTTGAAATCACGAGGACGGTTAGCAACATGGGGCGGGAATGGATAGTCAGCCGGGAGCTTCACAGCGGCCATATTGACAAGCACAAAGTATCCGCCCTCAGGGTCAGAGTACTGTAGAGGTCAGTGTCAGCAAAATCAATACATGGTAGAGTGAGCTTGACAACGAGGAAGTGGGTCATAACATACCGGGATACCAAGCTCGTCAAAGACCTCGCAGAACCGCTCAATTTTTCCCTTCATTTCTGTTCGGCTCTCGTCCCAGAAGCCCTCCTTTTCTGCCTGCTCGAAAGCAACAGCAGCAGCTTCCTGGAGAGGTGACACACTGCTGTAACAGATACGGGTGTGCGCACCAGCCACGTACTTGATCAGGTGTTCAGGGCCAATGAGGTACCCCACGCGCCAACCAGTGGCGTAGAAGGCCTTGCCGGCTGAGCCCACGGTCAAAGTGCGCTCGTACAGCTCTGGGGACAGGGTAGCAATTCTAGTGTAGGGAACATAGAAGAGACGGTCATAGACTTCATCAGACAAGATGATAAGGTTGTACTTCACACAAAGTTCGCCAATGCGCTCAAGCTCTTCACGTGAGAAGACCTTGCCGACGGGGTTGTGCCTATGAACACATAGTTAGTTGAGACCATTCCCGTCTCTTCAAATCAAAACTGCTTACGGAGAGTTCAGGACCTGATACAATTAGCATAAGTATTCATGAGAACTTTGGAGTCGCAGGCTTACAATCATTTTTGTCTTGGGGTTCATGGCACTTTCGAGCTCCTCAAAGTTAATAGTCCACTCCGATGCAGGAGAGGTTTTGGTGGCACCATCCTTGGGCGGGTGAAGGGGGACATAGCGGATAGTACCGCCGGGCATCTCAATGTTGCTAATATATCTATTCCAGGTGAATTAGTATTCCCTCAAATCCTCTTGCAAATTCAGCACTTCTTACTGATCAAAGAAGGGCTCAAAGATAATGACTTCGTCACCATCCTCGATGAAACCCATGAAGGCACTGAGCATGCCTTTTTTTTTTGTTACTTGTCAGCGCCAAATTTCCAATTCTAGGTACATTATACCGATCTCTCACCTTCATTTGCGCCAGTTGTGATAGAGACCTCGGTTTCGGGGTTCAGCTTCTTGCCAAAGAAGGGCGAGTAAGCATCCGCGATAGCCTGTCTGAGACGGGGTCGGCCCTATATTTTATGAGTATTGGTGTAACCATGCGTAGATTCGTTGACATTCTCTACCTTCGTCGGAGAGTATTGGTTGCATTCCACTCGGTCTAGCGCATCCTTCGCAGCGTCCAGAGCGAACTTGGGAGGGTTATAACCACTGCGCAGAAAATCTGTCAGTTCATTTTCCTTGAAGTGATTTGAGGTCGAATTGTTGTGACTCACAAGAACCCTTGGCCCATGTTCACAATCGGCTGAACTGGCGAAGCTGCCGCAGCTTCGTTGACGATCGACCTTGAATCGCCATTTAGTATGTCTTTCTCAACTTATTTCCCAAAGTCGCATACCAAACATCCTGGCGCTGTCCTGCCACCCGCTTGGCGGGGCGAAAGGGATCGGGTCGCGGAGCTGTCGCCGACATCGCTCTTGCGTAAGTAGGCCGGGGTAATACGGAAAGGGCTGAGAAGAGGTTCCTAGACCTGCAGTTCTGAGATTGAGCAAGGATGTTCCGAGTGGAAATCATGAGCGAACAAAAGGAGAGAGAGGGAATATATGGAGAAAGTTGAATTTCCCCACGGATGGCGTGCTCCGCATTCGGCTCTGTCCCGAGAGGGACTTGGATTGTCGTCGCGCTATTCGGAGGTTATACAGTACATACAGGTACATATGTGTACATATGATAGGTACACATATGTACCTACATATCATTTATCCATGTTGTACGAAGGATCATTAGTAGGCATTTGGTTGTTTGCCCACTTTCAGGCACCAAGGCCTATGACTTACTAATTAACGCGTTCAACGCGTCGCCCCCGACGTTATAATCTTTAGGTTTACCTCACCTTGAAGAACTTTTGAGTAATCTAGTGGATGACCATATCATTCTCTGCTCATCATGGTTCTCTGCCCAATATGCGAGCAATCGGTCCCTCAGTTGAAGATCAATGACCATATTGACTCAGGCTGCCAGAGCTTCATCGAAGAACCGTCCTCCTCTCCAGGGGAATTGTCGTCCTTTCAAAAGGGACCTGTCCCGAGCATGTTCCAAACTCCGTCCGCGCGTAAAGCTTCTGCCCAGTCGAATGCCCCCAAGGAGTCCCCATCGCGTCCCATAACAACCCCGCGCGCTCTCAACGGCAAGCGATCATTTATCGAGGAAGCGGAATCCACACGAGAACAAGATGCGCCAAAGCAAGCAAAGAGTGACTCCAAAGAGCCACAAGCAAAACGTCCAAAGATCAACGCCTTCCACAAAGCAGCACCTCTCGCGGAACGCATGCGACCTAAAACCCTAGAAGAAGTCTGCGGCCAGGAACTTGTCGGACCGAACGGGATCCTTCGCGGACTCATCGAACAGGACCGAGTACCGAGCATGGTACTGTGGGGCAGTGCAGGAACAGGGAAAACAACAATCGCTCGAGTCATTTCGTCGCTGGTGGGCAGCAGATTCGTGGAAATAAACAGTACCAGCAGCGGCGTGGCAGAGTGCAAGAAGATATTCGCCGAGGCGCGCAGTGAACTCGGGCTCACGGGGAGAAAAACAATTATTTTCTGTGACGAAATTCACCGCTTCTCCAAGTCACAACAGGATGTCTTCTTGGGCCCGGTGGAGAGCGGCCAGGTCACGCTCATTGGCGCCACAACGGAAAACCCGTCATTTAAAGTCCAAAATGCGTTGCTCTCACGTTGCCGGACATTTACTCTCGCAAAACTCACCGACGAGGACATCACTGCGATTCTTCATCGTGCTCTCCGAGTTGAAGGCCCGAGTTATTCGCCCTCCGAACTGGTGGACGAGGAGCTGATCCGGTATCTCGCCAGATTCGCCGATGGAGATGCTCGCACTTCGTTAAACCTGTTGGAGTTAGCTATGGATCTGTCAAAACGGCCTGGAATGGACAAGGAGGACCTCAAAAGATCCCTGACCAAGACGCTTGTGTATGACCGTGCTGGGGACCAGCATTATGATACGATCTCCGCTTTTCACAAGTCCATCCGAGGGAGTGACCCAGATGCAGCGCTCTACTACCTTGCTCGCATGATTCAATCCGGTGAAGACCCCTTGTATATCTCTCGGCGGCTGATCGTTGTCGCTTCCGAAGACATTGGCCTGGCGGACAACACCATGCTGTCACTTGCTATAGCCACACATTCAGCCGTTGAGAAGATTGGACTCCCAGAAGCACGAATCAATCTGGCACACGCCACTGTGGCGATGGCGCTATCAAAAAAGAGTACTCGCGCATACCGTGGTTTGAACAACGTCTTTTCCGCCTTGAACGAGCCTGGAATCGCGGGCTTGCCCATTCCTATTCATCTAAGGAATGCTCCAACTAAGCTTATGAAGGAGCTAGGCTATGGTGCAGAGTACAAGTACAATCCAAATTATGTCGACGGCAAGGTCCAGCAGGATTACTTACCAGAGGAACTCCTCGGTCGTACCTTCCTGGAGGACTTGGATCTCGGCACACAGAGAGACCGTGATTTGAACAGTACATATCAAAGGAATTGATTGTTTTGATCACCTACTGTATGTGTCTAGGCCCTAAGATGGAACTATGACATGACAGCGTTCCAAGGCTCATACTTCCACCGTTGGACCCCAGAAACTCCACTAGGCAAACCTTACCTACCACATTACCCGATCTGGAATCGGCCTCCATGGGCCTGGTCGTGCCTTCTTCACCTCAGGTGACATTGTGGCTCACTATGATGTTGAAGGGCTCAGCCAAAGGTTGCGCCAAGCTTTGGCTGAGTTGTTACTAGTCCGATTCAAGTAATCTTGAAGGTTCTCAGTATCTTCTTCCAGCTTTACTTTAGATCAGTCATTCTTTACTTCTCTACCTTGGCAAAGGATCGACAACTTGATCAAGTACAGACATTAGTTTGCTACTAGGCTCTACCTGGAGCCCGTCCTTTCGCTCTTGCTTGACGATCTTTCATCTCGATCACTGCCATTTCTCTCATTTATCATCGAACCCATGATAGCACAAGCTGCTACGCGGCATCAGCCGTCTCCGTTCTCTCATCCAAACCGCGGGCGTAAATACGCACCGAATCCACCGCATATACCGGAGTCTGTCTACCCTGTGAGTTCCATCCATCCCTTATCTGGTCATCATATATCCCGATGCTCTTCGTCCGAGGTTCCCACGTCTTCTGAATTCTTGAGACTGACTTCTGACCTTCTAGTCGACCATATCTTCACTCGCATCAGACATGCCTTATTTTTCTGATTTCAATATCGAACATCCAATGCCACAGACATGGCAACTCTCGTCAATAACACCCATGGCATGTGAGACCCAGCCCATAGATTCAGGCATACTTCAAAAAACCAATGAACCCGACAAAGACCCAATGAAAAGTCAAGCGCAGGAGCTTGGTGTTCTTGGTGGCCCTGTTTGTTTTGATTCAATGAAATTTACCATAATTGAAGACCAACCACAAAGTTCCATATCCCCAACGAGCTCGAACTCTCGACACACGACATGGCCTTCCAGCGCCAAAAATTTCTGGCAATGTCCCATGGCTCAACATGAGCGTGCTCGACGTGGACAAAGCGATGAAACCGAGTCGTCTCTCGGGTCAGTACGTCCGCCGTCTCTCCCTCTCGAAGAGCAGTTTCCCGATGGCTTCGTTTCATGGGATCCAGCAGACCCTGGAAGGTCTGACAAGATCCGTGAAAAAGTCCCCCGTAACAAGGCCGAAATCCAGCAACAGAAAGAAGATATCGCTGCCCTTAAGAAAGCTGGTGGCTCGTGTATGGCTTGCTATCGAGCCAAGAAGAAATGTGGAACCACTACACCATGCTCTCCATGCTCTTCTAAGGGCAATCGAATCTGCTTTCGAAGCTGGGGAGACCTGTGCCTGCTTGGGCCACCTACGGGAAACTCCCTTACGATCCTTGGCTTCCCATCCCAAGAAGCGAAAGATAACCTGCAACGTATGAGTGAGGAAGTTTTCAAACGCATGAATGCATTCAACGCAGTTTTCAATATCCGCGAAACATATGGCGGAGACTGCACTGCATGGCATTGGACAGCAAAGAGGTCCAGCATCACACTATCGAGTAAAGCAGAGTGCCCCGTCCATGATTTCCTTGCTGGCGTTACCAGCGTCCTTCCCCTCGTGGATCTGGTCAAATTCAAAGATCAACACAAACCGAATACGCTCGTTTGGTATGCACTCAAGATTGCCAAATTGTTCATGGCCATTCAAGGCTTGGCGCGAGCTCGAATCCGTACGTCCTGGTTCGAAATCAGCACCGGGCGACTCGTCTCGTTCTATATCTTGATCCTGTCTTTTCGAAAGCTCGCGGAAATGTCTCAGGAGTTTTGCCCTGGTTTGTACGTGGCCCTGTGTGGAAAGGACAAGCAGAACAACAAAAAGAGGCCACGCAAAGAAAGTGAGATCCATCCCGCTTGGGTTGCCGCTGCATTGTATTATCGAGTTGTGTGTGGTCTGCAAGGTCTCCAAACCAACCCGGTCGTTGCGAGGATATTTGGCTCCTCTAGCTACCACCTGGGTGGTGTTCGCGAAAAACTTGAATATATCCTACGCAATGTATCCCCCCGACACGGGGCTACCGGTAAATCTTCCAGTCGAGCGATTCTTGAGGACGGAATTCCCAACTTCCCGTCATCTCCCGATGTCGATATAGCGTTCTGGCTGGGAGTGCCCGATGACCCCGAGCAAATGCAGTCTGCTTTGAGCCGGCACGAGAGTCCATTTTCGCCGCCAGCCACCGAAATGCAAGTATTCTTGGCTGACCATCTCCCTCGGCCTTGGCATGAGGCGAATCATGTTGAGCAGCACAATGAGCACTCGCAATCGGTGACTTCTCAGGATACAGTGATTTCTCAGGAACATAATACCTTTGAGAATATGACCTGTATCGATCAAATTGAGATCATTGGCTCGAATAGTCTATTAACCTTGTTCGGCACCGATAGCATTGATGCATTCAATCCAATGGCTGCGACCTTTGTTGATACAATGCCACTCGATACAATGCCATTCAATGACAATTTCTCGCAATCCCTATACAATTGTTGAAGTCTTTTGCCACATCGAAATTCGCTCACTATTGCTTTTTTCTTCTAAGTGATCCATAGGAGGAACACACGGTCGTTTTGTTGGACAATGTTAGCTACTGGGTAGGAAGTTTTGGATGGGTTGGGTTAAATGTCCAATTGCTTGTGATTAGCACCAGAGGGTGCTGTATCTAGAAGTTCGCTCACTCATACTTCTAGCAATAAAATACAAAGAATTTCCCATAATGTATTTTCGTTGATCGTTATATCTGTAACAAAAGCAAAACAAGTCATTCCCGCGTCCGGCGCGTCTCCAGAATCCTCCCACCGCCAAACACCTCATCTCTCCACATTCTCATGGGCTAGCCCCTCCACTTGATTTAATGCTGACCTCTTCATCCTTCTAATTAAATTTGAACACGCCATTCACTATGGCCTCTGGCCAACCTTTCGCGTCGCGCTCCTACGCCGGCACGAAACTGCCAGAACGCTCCGTCAACCCGAACGCCATGCCATTCAGCGCCTCATCATTCTCACGGCATCGTCTAGGAAATGCCAACCCAGAATTCAACGGCCCCGATGGTCAAAAGCAAATGCAACAGTCCGCGCCCGTGCCTGCCACAAACGCGCAGTCCCATGGCCCAGCGCAGGACGCAAATCCACTGAGCAGACTCACCGAAGAGCAGAGGGAAGAGATCAACGAAGCTGTAAGGGATACCCCAATCTACCAAAACACAACTACAATTCTGCCTCGATTACTATATCCTCCTGCGATCCCCTCTTCCAGCCCCTCCAATCGTGAAGAAAAACACAACATCAAACCCAAACCCCCAGCTAACCCAGCTCCGAAAAGTTCACCCTCTTTGACCTCGACCGCGACCGCCACCTCGACTACCATGAGCTCCGCGTCGCCTTCCGCGCTCTCGGCTTCACCCTCAGTAAACAAGAGCTGATCTCCCTGCTAACGACCTACGGCGTGCCACGTCCACAAGTACAACAACAACAAGCTGCCAGCAACCAGCACGGACAAACCCAGCCCCAAGCCTCAAACAAAGGCCCCGTTTCGAACCCGCAGCACCCGTCCAACTTGCTTATGCCGCTCTCGTCGTTCCAGGCCGTCACGGCGTTGAAGATCCTCGAGCGAGACCCGCGCGACGAGATCCTGCGTGCGTTCGAGCTGTTCGATGAAGGTGCCAAAGGGTTTATTGATCTTGAGGATTTGAGACGTGTTGCTAGGGAGCTGGGCGAGACTGGGCTTGAGGAGGAGGAGCTTAGGGCTATGATTGAGGAGTTTGATCTTGAAGGTGTTGGTGGTGTTACTCGGGAGGCTTTTGTTGGGATTTGTTGGCAATGAGTCTCAGGATGAGAAGGAGGGGGGGATTTATTGGTATTTCTGTCTGGGGCTTAGATACTTCGCTTGGGTCGGATCTGTCATCCCTGGAGACTTGGACTTGACTGAGGGTTGTTGATTGTTTGTGCATGGGGTTCTCCTTGGTGTTGGGATTTGTGTACCTTTCTGTTGTTCTACTCGTATGCTTTTTTTTGGGAGTAAGTGCATCGTTTCTTTGTTTGTCTATCCTGAGTTACATTCGCACATCAAATGGATATTAATTCCTCTATACGACATGTGCATCTACATGCTGCGGTTGCTGAACTTGTAATGTGATATGCGATAGAATATAGTAGTCCAATGGGGTTTGATAATATCTACTCACGAAGAATGTATACAGATTCAAAACGATAGCCAAAAGAAAGGAAATCAAAAACCCAGATCGCGGATGATATAATACTATAAGGAATGGAATACATGTGTGACAACCAACCATCCGCGATGACGCCGATACCCAAATCCCGCAGACCGCAAATCCCAAATTGACGAATGCAACCAAAATGAGGTTAAAGATAACCTATAAACTAGAAGAAAGCCAGAAAGCAAAGGGGGCGATCATGAGTATCGTGCCGGGGGGCCAGGGGGAGGCACATTCTGATATCCGCCATTCCAGTATCCATGCCACTGGCCCATGGGCTGGTGATTAGGCTGGGGCCCATTATAGCGGCGATATGTTCCAGGGGGAATAGCCTTGCGTGCCTTGCGGAGCTGTGCACTGCGCCTGCAACGGCTGTAGATACAGAAGAAGAGAGCGAGCAGGATCAGCGTACCGCCGCCGACACACACGCCGATGACCAGCTTCTCGTGCTGGCGGATCCAGCCCAGGGCCGAGGAGCCCTTGCACTGGCCTGCGCTGCAGCGGCCGCCGGCATCGCAGGGTGTGCCGTCGAGATAGTTCTGTTGCATGTTGTAGCACTCCGTAGTACCAAAGGTGTGGGGGAGCGAGGGTGCGCCGCAGATGAGACTGCAGGATGGATAACCTGTGTTTCCGCAGGCCCAGCTTTCGTTGGTGCTCAGCATGGAGCCTATCACTGTGCGGCACTGGTAGTCGCGGCTGGTGCATTGGCCGCTGGCGCATGAAAGTTTTTGGTCCTTCTCGCCGCAGGCTGCACCGTCCTCTTTGTATTTATTTGAGGGACAGGAGCTTGAGGTTCCGCTGCATGTCTCGGCGATGTCGCATTCTCCGGTGCTGGCGCGGCAGACGGTATCGGCGGAGGCGAACTGGCATTGGCTGCAGCAGCTGTCATTGGAGTCGTCACAGACAGAATTGCCTTTGAATTTGCAGGTCTTCGGGTCACAGCAGGAGTTGCCGGCGCAGCTTTCTTCGTCGCCACAGTCGCAATCCTCGCCGGCTTCGACGATACCGTTGCCGCATTGGCTGCCGCTGATGGTGACGACGCCGCGGTTATCGGATAGACAAGAGGACTTGATGCTGTTTTTGCCAATGGCAGAGCAGATGTTACCGATGGTACACTCCGAAAACTTGGTCATGGTGTTCTGGGCATATGGGTTCATGATATATTTCGCACCAGCATCGCACGTCGACGAACTCAGCGGGCAGCATTGAGATGAGGATTCTAAATTGTCCTTGCAGCCGGATTCATCACAGTCGTGCACTGCTCCAAAGGTGTGGCCAGTCTCGTGGGCAAAAATCTGCCAGGTAGAACCAGATGTGCGAACTACGACGTTAGCACTAGCCACAGAGTTGGCTCCGGAGGTGACCAGTTCGGAGGAGCATAGACTACCCATCCATGAAACTCCAACCTCGCTGCCTGTTGGGCAGTTTGTCAGCAAAGTCCAGTAGGCATTGTTATCTGCGCTGGCTGCGCGCCACTTGGAGAATTCATTCAACCGCCAAGTGACATTTCCGCCGTTACAATCCACGTTCCATGGCGTAGCAGAAGAGCCCTTGTCGGTGCAGTCTGTCTCGGAAATTGTCAGGTTGCGTAAGCCGATGGATATATTGAAAGATTCCTCATAAAGATTTGAAGCCGTGTTGACCATGTTGATGATCCAGTCCTTGGCCGCTGCACCGGGGGTGGAGTTGGTAGCCATGAATGATTCGGTGAACTTGCAGTCCGTTGCAATTCCGATCAAGGCGACTTTCTTCGTTTTAGGACATCCACTGGAATCACCGATGGTCGTTTTCAGATTCACACCTCCAGTGTTGCCCGAGACACCGCCAGTATCTGACGACTGGCGCTTGCCCAATCCAAACATCGAGTTTAACGAGGTGACACCCCACCGACCATCTGCTTCGTCCAGGTCATACCCGAATATCGAACTGGACAGATCAGCATTATACTCTAGTCGATCTGCGCTGCAGCCCTCCGAGCTCTCTGATCCAGAGAGCGACCGCTTCTTGAGCTCAGTGTGCGTAAAGAGAGACATATCGGAGTCACGATAGACGATCATAGATTCCCCATTTCTGGGTTCGACGTCGGCATCCATCGGGCGCTTCTTTTCGAGGTAGGTCGATTGCAACTCAATGTGATGCTTGTCATCATCGACACTGAAAGCACCTTCAAAGAGAGGCTCTAAGCCATCTCTTTTGACGGTGATTCTTGCCCAGCCCACGGGCGTCCATCTTCCCTTGCCGGATCCTACCAAGGCGCGACCCTGGAAAACTTTGTGTTCCTGTCGGTTGATCGGTTCCGCATGGGTGATTGTGCCGTCGGCACCAATATATTGCACGTAAGCGTCGTCGGCTAGGATATCATGATTGGGCTCGAGTTCTAGCTTTATGCGCGTGCCGTCTTGGTGTAAAGCGAAGGTGATATCGAACTGGGAGAGATGGTTTATTTGGTGTGAAGGGGTACGAATGATGGCATTATCCACGGGCGTCACTTGTCGAATGGCCTCTGAGGCTTGTGATCGTGCTGTAGATTGTTAGGCGCTAACGGGGCTAGGCAACGGGGGAGCTAGGCAACGGGCGGGATTGGGCAACGGGGGACTGGATACCGGAGGGACTGGATAACGGGTGTTAAAAGGGAAATATTTACCTTGTGTTTGCTGAAAGAATGAAAATGCACCGATGAAGGGCAAGAGATTGGAAAACCTCATCGCCAATAAGCAGGGCCGAAAAAGGGATCTTCCCCGGGTTCCTGGTTTTCACGATAAAGTTTGGCCCTGAGAAAGGGAAATTCCAAGTTGGATTGGAAGTTGAATCAAAGAGAAGAGAACGAGAGACTATACGGCGTAGGTGCAGACAAAAGAGAAAGGTCGGAAAGAGGAGATACTCCGGACTCTGTATCTCACGCCAAGTGCTTAGGAATCCCCAATAGGGCTTGGCAGTGAAGTGAAACAATTCCATTTAAATCCATGTACGGAGTACATTTTCAATTCTAAGGGGAATTGGCTGTTTTTGGTTGTGGAGACTAGTTATTTATATGTTCCTTGGCATATATAAGTCGGCACCCCGTGTACTCCATATATTCATATACCCATCCATCTCAAGCTTGTATATATAAATCTCTGATATACTCATACTCTCCTATACTCCATGTTAATACCAGAAGCGCCAGGGTTTTTAGGACGCGTAAGTGGCTCAGGGCCAAGCCACTTGGTATTAACCTATCAAAGACTCCCAATGCTTGGCATTCAAGGCTGCCGAATAATGGATCTTTCGGAGTGGTATAACTGATGTGCCAACTGAGCAAATTGTGGAATCGACCCCCCGCATATAGGGCAGTCCATGCTCCCCAAGGGTTCATCGTCGTCCCACCCGTCGTCCGATTGTGACTCTATCACTTGGGAAGGTAACTCATCAGAGGGTTCCTGTACGGTCCAATCTTTGAGTACCGTCTCCTGCTGTCGAAACATCTTCCCAATATCACGTCCACTGTGTTGTTTCTGATCCCCTGCGCTCTCTACCATATTGGTAACCGCAACGTTTAACAGACTGAGGTTCCACCCAGCCTTTTCAGGATGCAATTTGCGAAACATGGAAAAAACACTTTCCCGGACCAGCCGTTCGGCCAATGCATCAATATTCTCGTCCAAGTTGAAGATAAAGGGCGGTAAAGGTGCCGAGCGAGAGATGCGATTGGAACTGTACGCATGCCCGGCACCTAAGTCAGGGCGAGGTCTTGGTCGGGTCGATAATCGTAGAGTGCGAGGATGAGCACGCCATCTTCCTTGAGGAACAGTGTCATCACTCATATCAAGTAGGTCGGTTCTTACACGGCGGATCAGACTTCGCGACAATACTACTAGCTCTCGTCGTACACTCTCGAGAGTATCTAATCGTCCATAGGAATCCTCGATGCTGATCTGGGTGGGCACATCGCGACCCTCTAGCACCTCAGAATTATCTACTCCATGGAGAACGCCCCACATGCGCATCCCGATCCCTTTCACTGAGCCTGGCCCACCAAGGATCTTGTCCAGTAGAGGTGGACCCATGCCAGGGAACTGGCGGACATCCTTGACTGTGATCTTCTCATCGACACTCTCTTGCCCTGTGATATGGGATTTCAGCTTCTGGGCAATCCGAGATCCAATTCCAGGAATTGTTCGGATCTCGTGATCATCCAGGAACTGAAACACATTGCTCGTATTATGTTCAGCGGCCGTATATGGCGGCAGAAGAGTCGTTTGGCCGTTGGGCTTGTGAACATTGCCGACCAATTTTGCCAGCAGTTTGGAGGTTGAGATCCCGCCCGTAGCTGTGAAGCCTATTTGATGCTCTAGTGTACTCCGTATATGGCCTTGTAAATGAGAGGCAACGAGTAAGCGCATCTCCAACGAAGACGGATCTTTCTGAGCGACGGCGGCTGCCTCCATTGCAGGGAAGGTTGAGCCCTGGAAGCGAGTGGCATCGTAGGAAAACCCAACGGTCGGGTCCTGTCGATCAAGATGGAAATACGAATTTGCCAAGTCATGTTGATTCAGCACGCCAGTGTTGTAGTCAATCATTTCCGTGACGTCGAGAAAGAGCTCGTCAAAGCCTAGCTTTTCGACACGGTCGCCCCAGATAAGGGAGCGAACCAGCAGATACAGCTTTTTGGAGGCATCTCGAAATTTGGTCAAGTCTTCACCTAGTACTATCACCACATCGGGACAGATGCGCTTGGCATCTCTGATGAGCTGCAACTTACGCAGACCTCGCCGTCGGGCTTCGTAGTTGCAAGTTACCACAATCTGCTTTTGCTGAACTGCCAAGGGAAGAGATTTCAATTCAGGTTGCTCAGCCTCAAAAACGGATGCATAGAAGCAGTCATAATCCTGGATATGGTTAGTCAAAGCAAGGCAGTAGGTAAGAGTGGGAGGAGTCACCAAGTGGAGGATGATCCGACTATCGTTGCGCACCAGTGCAGCCATGAACTTGGGCTGATAGAGAAGTGTCCATGTGAGTTGACGGGTGCCTGGAGCTGAAAGCCCGATGGAACAAAGTCAGGAACCGAAGGCTTGAACACCCAGGAACATGTATGTGGCTAGTGCGGCGTATGTGGCGTGTGTGGCTCAGTAATGCCAGGCTGGAGTCACTTCTGGCCTTTCATGGAGTACGGCCACCTTTGACCTTGCGTCACACATAGCATTTGAGGTGGCTTCACACATCCAACATATATTGTACGGAGTAAGTAGATTTAAAGAGACAAACTCCAACTCCCAATCATTTCGACTGTAGATATTTTTCCAAACCACCTGTGTATGTACAATTTTTAGGTCTTCGCCACCGTATAGATGTACAGTACCTAGATCGGAGACCCACGGGCCCTGTTTCTTTTTATAGAATGTTTTTTTTTTCTGATCCTGATTCTGATCCTGATCCTGATTCTGATTCTAACCCTGATTTGATTTAATAGATTTAAAACCCTGTAGGGGGGTACGATAAAATATGCCGAGGACTCAGAATTAGATTAGAGAAGAAAATAGTTTCGACGGTGGCGTCGATAGTTACGCATCCACTTGAGTCTAGAAGATCTCTACGGAGTAGACTTTTTACCTCTATGTATTTATATAGTATCTGATATTAGGGCTTTTGTATACAATATTTATGGAAAACTGTCAAGAGGGAAGTGACATGCATCCTTCATCACACACCAAGCGCCAACCTCCTCTATTCTTAGTTCAACCCCGCTAAACATCTTTCCTCTTTTTTTTTCTCTCTTTGATCTTTGATCTTTGATTTTGATCCTTCGATTCTTCTCTCTACTTTGCTTTTTTCCAATATGTCGTGTCTGTCACCAGATGCCACGACTACCATAACTTCCAGACCAAAACTGACCCTCCAAACCACCGCTCTCCCTCGCACATTCGGCTCTTCAACCACCGGCCTATCATTTTCTTTCGCAGCGGCACCAGCTGCATCCCCCACCATTCGAAATACCTTTAAGAACGCCTACGAAGTCACATCTCCATCATCCGCAACCTCCCCGTCGAAATCTACCCGCTACAATAAACCGTCCTCCCCTTACATCCTACACTCCAACAATAATATCTTCACCCGAAACCCCTATCAACTCCCCATCGGAGTGCGCAGCATCCTACGCAATTCTCCACTAGAATCCGCGACCCGCCGACAATCAGGCTCCATATCAGCGGGTGGAAATGGCCCCAACGGCGCAGCCTCGCGCCGCGTCTTCTTCCCAGCAAAGAAACAAGTCAGCTACCGATACCCACTGGAAGAAGAGATCCGAACAGAACGCTACACCGCTCAACACCTCGATCTCGTAACGGAGGAGGCGGTGCAAGACGAGGCAGACACCAAACCCTCACGTGAGACACGCCCCGCTCCTAATCTCGAGGGCGAAAAAGAGGATACCGATTCCAGCCCGTCAACATCAGAGACAAGTGCCTCAGGCGATGATGCGAGCGCCGATGAAAGCGTGCGTGGGTCTTCGCTCTCCAAGATGGAGCGCAAGAAACGCCGTACTATGCGTATCGAGCGTCAGGTCCGAGCGGTGGCATTGCTAGATGGATTTGAGGCTGATGGCTCGTCGACGCCGCAGACTCCTCTACACGGTGCCAAGCGTCGCAGGGAATGGAAGTGGACTCTGGGGCCTGTCGAGAAGGTCTCGAACAATGGCCCCGAGAATGTCTCATTGTTGCATTCGGCTCAGGTTACCTTTGGCTCGGAGTCTCTTCGGGTATCCACCGACTTTGCACCCGGTCATTAATTATGCAATGTTCATGGTTTTATGGATGATGTCTTGATTTTTTTTTTTTTTTTTCTTTTTTTCATATTCTTTTCTGTCGCTTTTGTTTTTCTCGGCATAATAATGGCGATGCATATATTATTCACGAATCATGTTGTATAGAGGCGCTGTTTGGGTTTATCCGGTGGCTTTGGGCACATCTGCCCTCTTTTCTGATCATTTTCTATGCTTGTTGTTTTAACATATCTTTTATGCATTATATCCTTCCGATGTATATGTACTTCCTCCAATCTCATAAGGCACCGCGAAATAAAGCAGCGAGTGACTGGCAAAGTTCATGAATCCAATTCTTTATCTTCTCAATCTTATGATGGTCTTGATATGTGGCGAGTTGAGATGTCTCATCTATTGTTGGGGCCTAAAGTCTCTTAAGAGATACTGGAATTGTACCCTAAGCGACGGAAATATATGTCAAAGATGTATCTTATATATGGCTCCGTATACAAATGGAGAGCGTTCAATAAGTCGTGAAGCCTATACAGTAAAGAATGGATATCCAAATTTACACAATCGTTTCATGCAAATAACATACAAAACGCCTGAACCAAATAGGAAACATTCATACTTCGTTAAGTCTCCGTCTCGACATCTGGCTCGCGACCAGTGAGGCCTCCCGCCCCGACCTTCTTCTTCACCTTACGGAGCGCATACTTGGCCTCATTTTTGGCAAAGGCAGCATTCCGCGCAGGTCGCCACTGCATGAGACCACGTTGCTGTCGCTGCTCGCTGTGTTTATTCGCCCTGTTGATCTGGCTGGTACTCATATTGGCTTGCGATGCAGGTGGCCCTCCAGTACTGCCACCAACTGTCGAGGGTCCATTCGACAATGACTCGAGTTCATCATCTGATTGCGAGGTGTCCTCGTCGTAGTGATATTCACTTGGGGAACTGGATCGATGAGCAGAGTGATCCCTCAAAGGGGGAGGGGTGTATGGGTCATGGGGAGGGTGGTCCCGGCCAGGCTCAGCGACCTTGCGTCCGATGGAATCGGTGTAGGCACGCGGGTCTTGGCCAAACGCACCACTCCAGTCTTGGCCGTGGTGGTCAATCCACCGATGACGTTCAGTGGGCGAGGCTTGCTTCAACACGTCCCGTCCGTCGATCAAAGACCGCTCGTGCTTTTCTTGCACTTCTGCGGGAACTTCAATTTGCACGGTGCGAGAACGGACACCTTGTGACAGACACGCTTCCCAGGTCTCGAAGGTCTCCCGGGAGTCGTTGTCAACCACGAAACGCTCGTGCGATTCGTCAATTCCAGGAGAGAACTTGCATCGGAATTGCAGGCGTCCTACCTCCGTCAAGTCTTCGAGCCCGGGTGTTTCCTTGGCCTTCCAGTTCTCTTCCGTGACGTAGTTTTGTGTCAAGCGAGCACCCATCTTTGTTGTCCAGATGGGAAGGTCGATATCTGTTTCCTCGTTATCAACAAGATGTTGGAGCCACAGAACAGCGTATGATGCTGCGCTTCGCTTGCCCTGGTTATGGAACTCGAACACAATTGGAGAGCGGTATCGGTGCTTCACGGGCATGCGCAGTGAGTCGCGGAAAGTCGCATCAGAGGTATCAAATACCGCATCACTGCCATTCAGCTGACACTTGTGCCGGGTGATTTTGCCAACGCTGCCACCGGTGCGCAGCTTGATCTTAGTGTTTCGACCGTAGTCCTTCGCGGTAATACTTTGTCCAACAAATTCAAAGGTGCCGACATCCCAGCCAAGCATGGTAGGTGGCAACTTGGTCTCCACATGGCGGAACAGAAGGGAAATCCGGATGCGTCCAAATCCAATGCCACCATCGAGTGGATACCAGCGGGTCACTTGTGAGCTGGTTTGGAGAATATCAGATAGCTTTAAGGGAACCACGCCGAGAATGGGGTCATGCTCGCGATAGCGTTGGTCTCGAACGGTGACGGTCACGACGGCTGACCGCCAGTCGCGAACAAATCGTTCTGTTCCTGCGTTGAAAATAGGCTTGGAGCTCACAGCCTTTGCACGAGTGCGATAGATCTGGGACATGCTGTTAATATTTGGGAATTGGAATTGAGTGATATGTATCTACAGATACGTACCAATTGATCATTCAACAAAACCTTACAATAACTTGTTGGAAGGTCTTCACCCTGCTCCTCTGTGTTCTCCCCATACGGCTTCGCCGGCTCATACTCCTTGCCCTTGCGGTTCCCATCACTGCCCTTGATGTTGGCTAGCTGAAGGTTGACGATTTGGTGTACAACAATGTGCACAATACCGCTGGGCCAGATTGGATCAGGTGGTGTGTGCATGATGGCATCCTCTTCATCGTTGTTGATAGCTCCCTTTTCGTCTTCGAAAGTCGGATTACCTTTAAGATTATCAGGAAGGTCTTTCTTCTTGCCATCAGTGCGCAGCTCAGGGCGGAGTTTTGGTTTCCCGAAGTATCCAACTTCCCAATGTAGCTGACCGGGCATTTCAGTGCCCTCATCCATACCCTGAAGCTTTGACACCTGGGGATACATCCGACTGGGATGCTGAAGCATCTCACGGATCGGTAGTTCGACCTTGCCGACAATATCATCCGCTGTGTTGCGGTCGGAGTCCCAGAGCTCGATGCTCAAATTTTCATCGGCCTTGATCAGTTCTGGTGTCACAAGAAGGGCGGCAGTCTCTTCCCAAACTGGGTTCAGGTCATCAGTAATCACGCGAGTACAATACATGGGCTTGCCGTATTTTGAGAAGGACAAATTAATGTATGGATCACTGCCACCACCTTCGCTGCCGCGGGCATCCTGTTTACTCAAGCCGACAGCGCGGTGAATGCGAATCCACATCACACCAAGAGCCAAAGTATCTTTGTGGATATCATCTCCTGTCAACATCATGCCAAGATCCATGGTCATTGACTTGGGGGCTGCGAACATGCCACACGCGGTACTTATAGCGGAGTTGACAAAGTTGGAGATTAGGGGTAAGTTAAGAATATTCACTCCCGTTCGGAACATTGGCATGCAGCCAGCTCTGACGTGAGGAATGCCGACTAACGTGAAAGTCACATCCTTCATGAAAGGTGCTTCGGGCATCATTTGAAAGCGCATGCGGACAGTTCCGACGAGTTCGATCAGCTCCACGAACACGGGGAACGGCACACCAAACAAGCCTCGAATTCCAAGGTAGAAGACCAGTTGCATGTGCATATTGCGTGCTTTTGCCGAAGTAGACTGACCAGTTGGTTTTGCGTGATAGGCAAAGGATGCTTCCATGTTGTAATAACTCGCTCCTTCCTCAGCAGCAGCAGCTTCCTGTGGATCCTTGTTCTTTCTGTTCTCCTCGCGGATGTTTTCCTTCAAATCCTGCACATGATCGTCGGGTAGAGCCCGCATGCTCAGAATTCGTAGTGGGTTGTCACCCTGGTCAATCTCTGCAATGCGAACATTCTCTACAACCTTGGGCGCAGAGACTTGCATGATATCTTCAATTGTGTCGGCCACAGGCGTCAACATCTCTGGATTAATCAGTCCCCATATAACGCCAAGGAAACTGTTCATCCACTCGACGGATTCAGGGAGCAGATTGGCAGTGGCCTTTTGAACCGTCAGTGTTTCTATCCACCGACAAGACTATACAATGGAAAACTTACCATCTGGCCACGGAGATGCTCACTACTCCACTCCATTGCTCGGCCACTACGAATGACCTCCTGCATCCATAGCCATACGCCGCTCGTGATGCATGCAGCCAGGGGGATAAGGCCCCAAAGAGACCCTCCGAACATCCGTCCTAGTACAATTATGGCAACAGGTATTCCTATGCAGAGACTCGTCGCACGCTTTTGCAACGAATCAAACATAGGCTGGTATGAGACAGTTGGGGTGGGGTGGAACAGAACATTCGTCTTCTCTCCTCGAATGGGAACATCGGAGGTGGTGCCTTCGGCGATGGGATCGGGGGTGCGGTGATGTCTTGTTTTTCCTTATATTCGGCAAGATCTTGGTCGGCACTAGTTTGAATGTCCTGACATACATGTCAGTGGTAGGCCTCGATGAACGGTATTCTATAGGGACAACTCACCGTATGTTTTCCAAGATTTGCATTGGGAACGGTCAACTGCGAATGGATCAGATTTCATCCATAGTTTGTTCAAGATCATCACACATACCATTGGATTTGTTACAGCTTCCATGGATGTTTCATCTAGGTCTTCAACGCCGATGTCCTTGCCCGTGGTCGGGTCTGTCACGGTACGCATCTTGGCCTGGGAAACTTCACGTGGCTTATGAGCGACAGCATCCCCATCTTTCTGATCTTTTTGGTCCGCTTGCTCTGGTTGTTTTCCAGACGCCTGTTGCGCTTTTTCACGCGCAGCCTTCTCTTGCTTAAATCTGTTTTCTTCGTCTATCCTGCGATCCCGTTCCTTCTTCTCGGCATCGATATGTTCCATAAAGTGATGAATGGTTGGAATTGGATTGGCACCACTCCAATGCTCCCCGACTCGACGGCTCTGGGGAGCATTAGATTGCTGGCCTGTAGCCATCTTGGAGGTTGGAGGGGATATGAATCAGGTTGAGCTTTCTGTTCTCTTTGAATTAACTTTGATTGACCGTACAAGAAGGAATGCACCTTCTTAGCATCCTGAGATCAAAGGAAAACAGAATTGTAGAGGGAGAAAACATACCAAGTAGGAAACTTCGTGATCGACATGGGAGCTTCCCCAGGACTACGTCATCGATCAGGAAATGGGCTATGACGATATATTCCCTGGAAATAGAAGAGAGCTTTATATGATTTCTCATTTATCTGTGACTGGCACCTAATCCCAAGGCTCTACTACTGTTTCGTCCCTATAGTTATATATAAAGTCTTTATTACCCCACATTTGATGTTGGCCCTGGTCCAACTTGCTTTTGCTCTTTGTCAAGTCTTTGAGAGCTGTTCATCTAGTCATGTAGATAAGTCCAAGAGCTGTGCATTGAAATATAGATCAAAAGCCAAGATGGATTATTGGTTCTGTCAGGTTTATGTTGTGCCATGGCGACAGGGATGAATATTAGGTGAATCAATGTGATCCTCGCTCTGTATATATAGCATATGACGTCATACAAGCCCTAAGTTGAACATGGAAAAGTTCATATCACAAATTATCAGGCCTCTTACCGCTTCCTTTCTACTATCTACCTATGATATTGCGAGGGAGAAAACGGTTGCAAAGACCTCTAAATAGAGTATTTGAGACGTCTGAAAATAATACTAAACAGACATATTACAAGATCACATAAGCAGCGAACCACTATGAGTCATTCCCTGTACTTACAGAGTGCTTTGTACCGCTTTCGATATGAGAGAATAAAGATCAAAAGGTCAAGATGAACACAGGGATAGATAGAGTGACTAAGGATGAGAGACTTCGGGAGCTATCCGGTAGCCGTGCCAAGCGCGTGTTGACACAACCCTGGGGGTTTTATCCTGGCACTATCTTTTAGACGCGAACCCCCCGGAGTACGGAGACCTCCGTGCAGAATCGAAAGGTTGAAACTTGAAAGGTTCCCATAAGGCTGAAATGCCAGAGAAATTCACAATCGAAATGAGTGCAAGATATCTGCCGAGCTGTCATAGGGTATTCTACAACATTCGTCGTAGAAAAGTCCAAGTCCTAAATAGGAATTCCAAATCTTCACGCCTATTGCGTCACATCCCATTTTTGAGCGGAATCGTCCAAGTTTCATTGGTTACTGAGCCAATCTGACTTGCGGCAATACACTACCGTCCTCGGGTAGACTGTGGGTCTTCATACTTTTTTCTCGTTTCTCGGGACAATAGACCGCTCCCATTTCACTACAAGGCGAAGATGATTTGATCCGGAGCTTGATACCTTTTCTAGAGGAGTACGGTCAGGACTACTTTAATTGGTTAGTTCGCACTTTGGGAGAATCTTAGTATTGTAGGGTGAGAATCACTTTTGCATTCAGGGAATTTACAACATCATACCACTTTTATGGTTTAACATCAAATTGAGTACACGGAGTGAATATATACACATATGATTTAGAGAACATAGATTCGTGTGTTCTATACAGTTGTAGTACATCCCATATGGAAATTTCAAACGTTATCAAAGAGTGGTGTTCCGAACGTGAAATCGTCATGTAGAATGATCCAGCACTTTCCATTTATAATCTATAGACCTAGGTCTAGATATACAGAACAACTTAAATAATAGTTGAGCATCAACACTGGACACGTTCATGCCTTGACTAAATCTAGCTAGTGGGCTGGGGCTTTGCACTCGGTACACCAACCAATAGTATCGAACAATCTTCCAACCGGCAGCAATAGCCTGCCAATCACAGGCTTGACTTCATTCACCAAAATAGTCCTGTTGCAAGCTATACTCCGGCCATCAAATCCACCGGCAGGGATATTTCTCTGAGGGGCTTTTCTTCCCGATCCCTTCCTCACAATATTGTTCGGTCGTGGGTCTTCGCTTTTTCTCGTTTTCGCTTATATCTCACTGACAATGAATAGCGGGCTGCGAAGTCGCAATGAGCGGAAGGCCACCTCTCCATCACTCTTCGCAGTCTGAAACCTATCCACCTGTTTCCTCAGATGATAAGGATCCCTTTACTTACGATGCAGCTGTCGTTGAAAGTAGAGAAACCTTGCCCCGACCCGACTCGACAGTCCTCGGTACACACTATACCTGGAGTACATCTCGAGTCATAGGGGAACAGCCAGTGAACGCCAAAGTGGCCATCCCCCGACTTGACCTTCCACTTGTAAGCAATAATGGTCGAGTTAGTCGAGCGTGCCACAATTGTCGCAAACAAAAGAATAAGTGTTCTGGTCATCGACCTTCTTGCCTCCGGTGTGCGGAGGCCAATGTTCATTGCGTCTACGTCGATGGGAAACGAGAGAGAAATGCTAGGTCTGTGATTGTCTTACATGTGGTCGCCCAAAATATTTACCGCTAGAATTTAGACAACTCACAGCAATAACGACCCAACTCCAACACTACGAATCTCTCGTGCGCGAGATTTATCCCAGATTCGACACCGAGCTAGCCAAAATCGTTGACCAAGCTCTCGGAAAAGTCAGTCAAACGATTTTCCATCCAGTCGACCAAAATCAGACCTCTTGATCTGTCTAACAACTCACAGATAGCTAGTCTTTCCCCGTCATCGCCGACCGTCGCCAAATTACCAGATGAGACAGACTCACCAACCCCAACACTTTCCTACGTGGATTACACCCTGGAGGACTTTAATGGGGACATTTCACTACAGATGATGGGATTTATAGGAGAACATTCGGCAACCGCATGGCTGTACAGACTTAAGTGCCTGATCGGTCAGAATTCTAACCCGGACGGTCAGTTGGAGGAATCAGCCCGTCCATCGATTTCGTCCTGTGGATTCTTCATAGATGATGCTGGAATCCCGCCAATAAACGATCTAGATGTCTTCGCATATCCTCCACAAGCTGTCGCCGATGATCTTGTGGACAGATACTTCCAAGTTGCGCACGCCTCCTTTCCCGTCGTCGGCAAAGAGATTTTTCTAAGTCAGTGTCGGTCATTCTACTCGAACTCAACGACACACCCTGGAAACAAGTGGATGGCGTTATTGAATATGGTTTTTGCGATCGCTGCAAGACATTCTGAGCTTTCCAGAGACCAATCCCAGCTGGATCACAACAACCACACGGTGTACTTTTCGCGTGCCCGACGATTGGTCATGGGCGAGAGTGCGCTGTTGGATAACCCAAACCTGCAACAGACTCAGGTAGAGGGGCTAATTTCACTTTACTTGCTATCCATTGGACAGCCCAATAGGTAGGTTGAAAACCGCGAGCTTTTACTTATCCACTGATTTTGGTTTAGGGCCTGGCGAACATGTGGTATTGCAATTCAGTCGGCGATCGCCATGGGAATTCACCTTCGTAGCGAAAGTCCCAGAATCACACACGTGTCCAAAGAAACCAGATACCGGCTATGGTGGGCGCTATACATGTTAGACATCCTGCTCTGTGTGATGACTGGACGCATGCCCAGAATTCAGCAGGAACACTGCACAACCCCTTTGCCGGTGCCTTACAAGGAGGAAGACTTCTGGGATGAGCATGTAGTGAGGCTTATCTTGGACCATCACTCCAGAGCTCGTCTCATGGCTTCTCTTCTATCTTTCGATCCCTCGACTGAACCGAACGACCGTTTAACCATTCCGCCTTCTCCACAGTCCACGCCTCAACGAGACTCACCCACCCAGCAGCTCCAGGCTAACGTGTCATTATACTTACTATATTCCGTTGATTTGGCAGCCGTGATGAGACAAGCAATTGAAATCTTGTATTCTCCCGAAGCGGGACAAAAATCACGCAATGATACCGAACTGGCCATGGCATCGCTCAACAGCGCCGCTGACAACTGGTTTGCTCGGCTCCCTGAGACTTATCGGTTCACCGAAACCAGAGTTGACCGAGGTTTTGTCCGTCAGCGGACGAGTCTGGCCTTTCAATACTATTCCACCAAACTTGTCATCTCACAACCTGCCCTTCGTTCTCAACTGAGCGGTGAAGACCCCAAGACTAGTCTTGATTCCCCAATGGCAGTGATTTGTCTCAATTCAGCAGTTCAAATGCTTGATCTCTTACCCAATGAACCAAACGTCTCCTGGCTCCTGGGTTGCTCCCCTTGGTGGTGTGCTCTCCACTACCTCACGCAGAGCACCGTAGTACTCATCACACAGTTGCTCACCCATACTCAAATGGGTGCTAGCGAAAGAAATGAGTCAATCGAAAGAGTCGCAAAGGCTCTGCGATGGTTGAGTGAGTGTTCCGCCAGGGATCCATCCTCCAAGCGGGCTCTGGGTAACTTCACGGAGCTCCTGTCATCCCAAGGATTGGACATTTTAAAATAAGATCTCTGGGCCACCTTCAGGAATCCCCCTGCGTGCTTTTTCTTTGTTTCCCCCACGTATGAAACACGTATTATTGACTTCCTTTGCGACCACCCAGCGTGTCATGTGTCATGCCTCTGTTTCCGATAGATCTATATACATGAGAGTTCGAATCAGCAAGCTAGAGTGCAACCATCTTTTCTCTCTCGATATTTTGCGCATGATCACCGTAGAGTGGGTGTAAACCCTATTTGGAGTATGGAATGTCGCCGATTGGTGTCTTCGAGGGGGTACCCTTGAGGGACAGACCCTGGGAGCTTCTGGAGAGGACGATCGTGGCAATGCTCGACTATTAAACACTCAAGAGGGAAATACACAGCCGCAACAAATTATATATCCGAACGGTATAGATAAGACGTGTGGCCACCTGCGTATCCGAGGGTCCTCGGGGCCCCGGGCGTTCCAAAAACGAGGCCCATATAATGAATGACGTCAGCATTCTTGAGTCCAGGAAGACCTATATAGTGACAGGCATCTGTCCTTGAATAGTGAGACCCAAGTCTCGCCTTCTCTCACAGTCCGTACTCATTAGACAGGCCACGATGGCGCTAAAATATATTGTAAATCTCCCTTCGCTCTGTCCCCCACCAATCCTACTGACACCGATAGATAACCTTTCAAGACTCGGTTCCGACGGAGCAGATCAATGCCTACATGCAGCAAATCCACGAAGGAGGAGGTTCTGTCACAAACAGATTTCCGGATATGATCGCGAGGGGCTTTTCGTACGTGTGTTGTCCACGTCCCAACGCGACCTCTCACTGATGTACGTAGGGCCTATATCACAGACTCTGTCCTTCTGAGGATTCAGTCAGATCCCTCCGTAATTGAATATATATCCCCCGATTCTTTCTAAAGCTGGTCTTTGCTCATTCTCTCAGCGATCGTTGTTTGGTTTAGCGTCATTTCTCTCCTCATTTTTGATATCTCAAGCATATAATGACACGATACTTTACCAACTGATCACTACAGCTAATTACTTACTGCATTGAAACAATATACGGCGATTTGTTCAATTAGGGAGTGTCAGATGTGACCTGGCAAAGTAATATGACTTGCCCGAGATATCAAGCTCGCGCTGGAACAGGCCACCTTGAAGACTCTTTGCACTTAGGGCATAGTCGTAGCTCACGAAGCAAACTGCTACCCTGTTTAATGACGACTTTTGCCCTTGGAACATCCGAATCATGGGTCCCGTTGCGAGTTCCAATTATTATGTGATCCCCGGGACTCAATTCAGATATGAATGTGGGGAACTCCGATCTAGATATCGTGCAACCTTGGAAGCTGCCTGGACTTGTGGACCTTCCAAAAGGTTCGATCGAAGAGATCCGCGCCATGGATTCAAGATTGATGGGTCTGGAAACAGTATCCGTGGAAATACAGTCACACGACCATGCCGATTGCGTGATTTTGTGGTAATCTCTGCCAGATTTCTGGCCGGAGGACGCGCCAAACCCAAACGTATTTTACGACCCATGTGGGATAGTGCGTACCCCATGCTACCCCATAGTGCTAGGATAATACCACGATACAGATATGTTTGTATGGCTGTATGTTATTTACTGACAAGTTCCCGGTCACATGTCAAAACATATTGATAAGAGTCATTTCCAAGGTTATGATACTCTGTACAGAGTCCCGAATCATGCACGATATATCACAATTTGCCCCTAGATTCGCTGTATTTGCATCCACTGTGGCTATTATTTTCCCCGATACGGAATATTCCACAGTCGAATATCTGGATGCGGTATTTAATCGTTCAGCTTTCTGGTACACTTGCTCACCAGCATTCGTCAAGATACCGTAGGTCGAATCCCGGGTCTACATGTTTCTCAATAATCCAATACGCTCAGAGTAGGTGAGTGATGTTATCTCCCCGGACACAGGGCATACCATCAGACCTTGGCTGGAGGGAAGGCCTTGTCCGGGTATTTGATATTTTTTTACCATGTTGTTGTATGTCTGTGGAGAGTGTGAGATTATGCATCAAGGCTATGAAGATATAGTAACCAAGTTTATGGCGAGTTCGATCGTAGTGAAAGACGGGCATCTGCCAGGGCTACCTTGAAGTCCTAAGCAAGCTCGACCAAATGTTGTCTAGTCTCCCCGGAGTTGATAGCCATGAGATGGGGTTGAAATCGTCGAAAAATAGTGGGGGATGGGATGTTCAAATGGGCTGTGGGCGTATTCGGCAGTGCCATTCCATGTTTTAAATGAGGATCTCTATGTTGATCAGAGTTTCAGGTGCAATTGGTGTGAGCTTTCATTTCGAATTGATCATCCTTAGTCAAGCTTCTCACCTCCGATGAAGGGAATGTGAATAATGCAAAATGATAATGAGACGAACAAGAGGTCGATAAAGATAGCTTTGTTGCTGGCTAGATCAAGATATCTATCAAAAGCAGGACCACCCAAGACACGTCAAATTAATCCAATACTTCGTGTACAATCAAAGAAAGCGATATGCAGAACCACCAAAACGAAGACCAAAGAACCAAAGGCTTGCTAGCAACACCAACACGCTCTACATGCACGCGTTCGTCATACCCCCACATCCATCCCCCAACTATTCCAATCAACATCAAAGTCAGCCAAAAATGGAGGCTGAAACGTAAACTCAGAGTTGAAAGCCCAAAACTCGGTATTCGGGTCAAAGCACAAGCCGTTATCTGCCAGTTGGGGTGTTTCGGAAACCTGCTCAGCCACATAACCAGGGTCCGGCATCGTGAGCATCCGTGAAGATGATGGGTAGTATTGCCCGGGAAGGGTGCTGGGAACAGTAAAGCTTTTAGATGATTGATCGGCGAAGCTACGACGTTCAAGTTGTACCCGGCCGAAAAAGGGAATATCAAACTTGATTCGAGTAAGCCTTCCATTCCGGTACTGCGCTGTATCGGACCCGGCAAGCGGGAGTTCGGTCCCAATTCCTATCGCCATTATAGTCTTCAAGACGTGCAATCCTCGAGATGCAACCTTGTCGGGAGGAACGGTATTCGATAGTTGCTCTAGAACCGCCTCAACCCGGTCGATAGCAATGTAGTCTTCCTTGTCAAAGTCTTGCGAGCCAAATGGCCCGAGGCGATTGATAATGATTGCCATTGCCGTAGCAAAAGCTTGGAAATGAAGAACTTTCGAGTCAAACCCGCTTTCAGTGGTGCGCCGGAGATTGACGTAGCAATCGATGCAGTGGCGGCAGGCTTGAAGACAGGTTTTCCGATTATATTCATAGGAGTTGTCAGTACCTGACGCTAGTAGAAGAGGCAAATGTAGCCACACCAGGAGCTGGTAGTACCACAGCCGATAGTGAAGCTCTAGAAAACAATTGGACCGCTCGATACACTTGCCGGGCGGAATATTGTCGGCCGACATCAAAGGAGGGGGTGTGAACGATTGAAGTTCCGCGTCAATGATATGCGTCATCTGTACCATGGCTGGAGTAGCTTCTGTGAAGATCTGATTACGGTCAATGATTGATCCAGCTATCCGAGCAAGCGGGTTAAGAGTGGATGCATTGTGCGCGGGCAAATTTTGAGAGTCGTTTGGGTTGGATTGATATAGATCTATTGCCGTATTGGATATAGCTCCATTCACCCCAAGGATCAACGAGAAATGCCTATCAATCATCAGGATATGTCTCCAGACCGACCGAGCCCGATGTTGAAAATCGGGGCTTTTATTGGTAGCCGGTTCAGCACGGTGGAACCCGATTACCTGGGCGATATCTGCGGCCCGACGAGTAGAAAGCCATGCACTTCGTAGCTTTCCGTCATTGCTAAATAGTAACCCTTGCATAATCAAGCACTCGAGCCCCTCGATACAACTGACGATAGAGTCATCAGAGCAGATCAACGTGGAAACACGGGTGATGCATTCTTCAACCAAGACCAATGGTGGACAACAAAGCTCGAGGGAGGACACATCACACTCTGGGGGGAGTTGTTGAAGACACAGGGCAATCCACAGGACGGCTTTACCAACTACAGCTGGGTGACTCGTTTGCAGGGTTTCCACTGGGGACGAAAGCAATGATTGATCGTAGTCTTCGAAGAACTGCACGCGCATAAGCCACCAACTACTGCTAGCCTCCGCTATGATCTTCAATGTCTTCTGGGAGGGTATTAGAGCTATCAGATCGCGACGCAGTTTCTCCCAGTCCCGGTTGATTGTGCCATATGGTGTAAGATCGGTTGCAGCGGTATCTGATTGTTCGACACCTAGCTGTTGACGAGTAAGCGCGAGCTAGAGGGATCATAGGCCTTGATGTGATTTGTCACACTAACCGCTTGGTTGTTAAAAAGAGACGAAATTGGATACTTGTCCGGCGCTGGAGTCACGGTCGGGGGACTCGATTCCGGGCTTGTATCCGCCCGACCTATGGATGATTTCGAGTCCGATTGGTTGCTCCCATTTCCATGACTCCCACCGTCGACTCGTATCAGAAGCTTCTCCAACAGGGTCTCCACCCGAGCCATCCGTTCGTTCAGGTATGCACGATCCGACTCGCGGGGATTGTCAGGTTCCGGGAATTCTTGGCTGCGACATGGAAGTCCGCGCGCAAGACATTCCCTGCAGTTTTGGTCATTATCTGACGCAAAATCGCACCGGACTTTGCGATGTTTGCCTGTGCGAAAAAAAAGACTGTCAGAAATGGATCATTTGAAGTAAGGGGTATTCTTGTACATTGCCAGCAACTGCGGGTCCCCTTTCGGATCTTCTTCCGAGGCTGATCCCCCACCTGTGGATGGATCGAACTCATCTCGAAAAAGATATATTCACATACAACAAGTGCCAGTGCAAGGATTTGAATTGGAACTATGTCATATAAGTTGTGCAGTCGACGTTGGAACGTCTGGAAAACTAAGCGCTCATGTGGCGACACGCCAAACAAAGCCCCAAACCTGTTCGAGTTGGCGCCCTCTGACCGCCTCTACAGGTGAGATGCAAATAATATATGCAACGAATGCATCTCTTCATCTCTGTCATTCCATTCACCTTTCATCGCGATGGTTCAACCATGATACCATTGCCTTGAACTGCAAACCAGGGGCTATCTTCAAAGCGAAGTCCGTGATTGGCTCGACGTGGAATTCTCGCGGCACAATGCTAATGCTCACGTCGGGGAGTTCGGCCTGGGAATGAAAGACTGTTAGATCGAATACAAATCTTGTGGAGATCATCTCACCTTCATTTTCTCGGCCATCTGTTTAGTTGGATCCAAGAGGATTTCGTCCCCTCCCGCGCCAACAAAGATTCTTGAAACAGGAAGATCTCTCCACCAGCCCCCTGGAGCTTTGGCAGGGCAATTGTACTGATCCTCCACGGTCTGCCCCAGAAGTACCTGTGCCCAGCTATTCAAAGTCTTAGCCGAAATAACGTCCCTGTTCGCATTTTTGCTGGAGCTCGCATGATCAGTTCTGAAGTCAACCCAAGGGGACAGCAACATCATTCCTCCCAGGGGTTCATCCACTGAAAATCCTGGCAAATTCACTTGGGGATGCGGATGAGCAAGATGTGATAGAAGCGCAAGTGCAAGATGACCACCTGCTGAGTCACCTTGAAGAACAATGTCTGACGGTCGTTTTCCCAGTGTTTGGATGGCGTACTGTAGAACGACAACGGCTTGTTGTAACTGACGAGGCCATCGGGCTTGAGGGACAAGCTCATATGAGACTAATAACACACCAATACTTTCTCCATGTTGTTTTATGTTCGTAGAGAGAGCCTCGAGATAACTGAAGTAAACGGGTAGCGCGGGGAGGCAGTAGCCACCACCAGGAAAGTAGATGATCAACTTTTCAGCCGCAGGATCCCCCAGCCAGAATGCCGTTGTACCGTCGGGGAGCACGAGTATGTTAGGAGGGGCTTTTTGCCGTTTCATGTGGGCTTCGTAACCTTTCTGAGCGATAGTGGGGGAAGAGCAAGTCTGCAAGGTATTAGAATTGTTTCTTTATTAGATCAGTGGTTTGTATCTATCCAAGTATCTTTTCTCTTGATTCGTATCTAGACTCACTGGAGCTCCTCCATAGATGCATGTTCAAAGATCGCCCGCAAAAAAGACAGCACAACATGCTTGTAGGCTGTGGCACCTCCCTTCTGACCACGGAATGGAGCACAAATGGCAGCCCATATAGCAATGGCAACTAAGTATGAGGAATTGTAGATATTAGTTTGATCAACTTCAGGGGCTTCTCATTGGCTACTGACGGGATTTGACCACTGCAATCCCCAGACCCAACAACAAGGGAGCCATGGGGCGCGATGCCGAATTCTTTCAAGTCAGTCGAAAAATGCCAGACTCGCAGAATTGGTAAGTCAAGGATCTATAATTTTGAAAGAAAGGGATTCTGTTGGGTATCATTTCGGTGCAGGGAGCTTTGAGTATATTGTTGGCAGGTCCGCCGACCCGGCGGAACAAAGCCCCAGCTCTAGACCAGTCGGCTACTTATTGCTCTGCAATGCACTAGCAGAATGTGTTCAATAGAAATTGAATCAGAGAGAGAATAGCTCAAATTTATGGAGTTGGTAAATGGGAAGTTGTGGGATCTGAAAGTGAAAGCGGCGGTGTTCGAGGCTGTATAACCAAGGATACCAGGCCGCCTTCCAAGGTTGTCTAGTATATCTAACTTGTCTACTAATTCTCTACTGCCCTGATTATTTTGATGTGAGCATGTCTCTTTGTGGTCTTTTCTATGGGGAAACTCAACATATAGGGTCACTTCCACTCCGAAAGGACAAGTTACAAATACTGCATTATGATGGATTTACTTGATGACCGAAGAAAAGAACACGGAGACACAAATTCATACAATCAGAAAGGTATAAATACACAATATTACCTCGTGAGCAAAGACAAAGAAGACGTCAAATACAAATAAAAAGTACTCCGTACACTGGTTAAGCTTCCATAACCCCAATGGTAAGTCTGTAGCTCAAGGGGTCATTTTCTCCGAATTTTCATTGGTCTAGTATCTTCATGCTCATCCAACTTGCGTTTCCTATATTCTAACTTTCGCCGGCGGCGCGATAGTGACCTTGTCTCAGGACCCACGGAATTGGTACTGCAATCCGAAGGGGTCTGTATGGTAGTACGAGTAGGAATACTCTGTTCAATCTCCTCAATGGCAAACTGCATTTGCAATGCTTCAAACGAATGGAAGATCCTGATCCGTGTAATTCGGCGAGTTCCACGTTTGAAGGCCCCCAAAATCAAATATGCCACAGTCCGTCCCAGTCTTGTTCCTAACAACGCCTCGAATTCTGGAGTTCCAGGTATCCAATCACGTATCTTGTCGTCTGGCCAAGCGAGGCCGTTATATTCGGTGTATAGCTCGTCCCTCACAAATGAACGGGTATCTTTGTTGCAAATGTCGATCAAATAGACATATTTCAAGGTATCAATCGGGAAATGGTGCTGGTAAATGGCCTGACAGACCTCTGACATATGAAAACCCGGTGCTTTCTTTATCTCCTCGACTATTAACACTCCGGGAGCAATTTGCCCTTCCCAGGTATGGATGTCCGGGTATTTAGTGTCTTGTAGAGAGTCAGGTTGGTCTATAGCAATCCTTTCCCACGCCCCGCCAGTTGGTCCCATGATTTCGAGTTCTGCGAATTCGTCCTCAATCTGGAGAGGAATATAAGGGTGCATGTCCATATCTATTTCCAGTTGCTTGGACTTCTTGAGGTCTTTGAATTTCAGCGTAGAAGACAGAATTGGACATCCTGTCACAGTCGGGTTAGGCTCTGGGCACTCAATCCATTGCTGTAGTAATCGGCCAATAGCTTGTCGCTTGCCGTATCTGAGAACATGGGGGGTAACGTTGGAGAGGTGTTGTCAAGATTGAAATTGACATGGTATGCACTTTGCTGTAAAAAGGGTGAGATTAATCCAAGGCCAATGGAGGGCATTGCTAAGTTCTCTATTTTAAACTCCATTGATTCAATTCATCTTAGTGGACATGTCAGGACTTATAGACCCGCTGCTTCGGACCGGGCTTTGGCTTCTTCAGAGAGTGCCATCAAAAGACAATGAACAAAGGGGTGGACTCGAGAGTATCGCCTTGATCAAAGTGCTAAATTTAAACCATACAGTGTCTAGGGGATAATACGTACACTGTTTGATTGGTCTCGAGTGTAGACTGCCGATCACAAATAGTAACATGTCCATGCTTTGAAGGATCGAGACAATGAAGATTCCACGGCCTTTGGAAATTCGTAAGCTATGTGGACGGAATTTCATGGGTTCTACTATCGACAATAAAGAGTCGACATGGTAACTTGGTAAAGGTGAGAAATGAGAACAATGAAAGCCAACGCCATGTGGGCTGCTGAGAATAGATTTTCAATGCAAACAGAATTGAATAGAACTCACTCGAGAATTTGAAATGATTTTCTCCGTATAGTCCGTGACAGATTAAATATCATATATTGAGATTGTCTTGGCCCCAAGTTACCCCCTCGACAGAGAGTTACCATCTCCAGCACAGGTTCTGATGGTAGTTGACTTTTTTTCTCAATTCGTTAATGCGTCCGACTACTATCACTACTATATCACACTAGGATTGGTAATATTGGAATTCTTGATCTTCGGGGCTCAACTTCGTTTCGGAGCAGACGACATAGGATATTTCAGCCGAGCACCTAACCCTTCTCTCGGCATCGGAGGGGTATAAACTAGACAGACACCTTGTAGCTCTACATTCGGTGCCCGTTAGGATCAGTCAATTAAACGTCATTCCACCCCATCTCTCATCCATCCCACGTGCAATGACTCGCCAAGCTCACCAATCTTGGCAAAGAACGGGGGTTGGTTGGACTTGGCTTGGCATTCCATTCCTTGGACTTGGCAAGGAGGTTCAAGCTTCCCAGGTAAAGCACAAGGATGACACACGTGTAAATCTTGCTTATTTCCTATTCGTTCTTACACAAGAATCGTACTATATAGCGATAACACTCTCAGAAGGGATTGGGATATTTCGGAGATTTGTGTTGCTATATCACTCTATATATTGTCTTGGAAACTCTTGGCAGTTCGCTTGTAATTAGCTGCGAAGCTCGTACTTAATGCAGGCACTTTCTCTCTAAATGTAACTTGCATTCATCACAATCAGAGCCACCAAGATGCGCGCTTCTGCAATCTCCGCGCTAGCGTGTTTCGTTGCGTTTACGGCAGCTCAGACCTTCCAGCGGCTGGGTGGTTGCCCTGAGTTGGGATGTATCTTCCCACCGGATCAGTATGTAATCTTTCAATTGCACCTGATGTCTAGCTACTAATGATCATTTGCAGAGTTGACTTCCTAGCGGGTCAATTCTTTGACATCCGCCTCGAAGTACACTCCCCTGTCAATGGCTCTGAAGCTCGCGTTGGAGAGCCAGACGAGAACTTCAAATTCACCATCGCCAAGAAAGGCCATGGCAAGGGCAAGGGCAAGGGCAATGCTCCTATCTCTGCAACGGAATACTTCAAGATTGATGAGCCTGAACTTGAGAAGTGGGACTTCACATGGTTTGAAGGTACTATTCTCCTGTCATTCCGTTCGTGGAGATATACAAGCTAACATAAACAGATCGGTTCGCCCAGGATGCAGAAACACCTTCCCTTGTCAACGTGACCTCCAAAATCTATAGAAGAATTGCGCTTTATGAGCCCGGCGAATATGAGGCTACTTTGACATATTACGGGGAACAAAAGACAGTGGCCAACTGGTTCGTTCGTGATCTTCCTACCAAGCGTCGCGCGAAGAACATCGTCATGTTCATCGGAGATGGCATGACAACAAACATGATAACTGCAGCACGTCTCATTGCCCACCGCAGCATCAACGGAAAATACATGACAAAAATGGCATTGGACAAGTTCCCCGTGCTGGGTCACCAGATGACACACTCCATGGACTCGTTCATTACTGATTCGGCCAATTCCGCGACTGCTCTTTACACTGGGCACAAGACTACCGTCAATGCTTTGGGTGTCTATGTAGACTCCTCTAGCGATGCCTTCGATGACCCGAAATTCGAAACAATCGCCGAAATCTTCCGCCGCAAGAACAAGAACGCCGGTGTTGGCATTGTGTCAACTGCGTTTTTGGCAGATGCTACCCCCGCCGGCTTGGCTGCTCACACCAGTGATCGCGGCGAATACGACCATGTCATCGGCTCATATTATGCAGGCGGTCTAACCGACTATGAATGGACAAACTGGGATGGCCCCGATGTGCTCCTTGGCGCTGGTGCGGAGGACTTCCTCAAGAGCGAAGAGACTCGTGATTACTACAAGCTCTTCGCCGAGAAAGGCTACAACGTGGCCTGGAACAATACTGCACTACACAGTGCCTCAAATAAGGAGAAACTACTAGGTGTTTTCCAGAAATCCAACCTCGCTACTTGGCTTGATCGCAACGTCTACCAGTCCAACCTTTACAACCAGAGCAACTACCCAGATGGCTCAGGCCGCGATGCAGACGACTTGCCTGGACTCAAAGACATGACCCTCAAGGCGATCGACGTTCTAGACAAGCGACACCGCAAAGATGGCTGGTTCCTGATGTCCGAGGCCGCTAGCATCGATAAGCAGATGCACACTCTGGACTACGACCGGTCACTTGGCGAGCTTCTCGAGCTCGACGATACCGTACGCGCGACTATCGAGAAACTCGAGAAGCTGGGTCAGCTCGAAGACACCCTTATTGTCGTCACAGCTGACCACGGCCATGGCTTCGACGTGACCGGCTCCGTTGATACGAAGTACATGGAAGCGCAAGAAGACGACCGCAGCAAGCGCAATGCGGTTGGATATTATGAAAACTCTGGCTTATCGCAATACACTGTCGCTGGATCCAACGCCTTGCGATACTCTGAAGGAGTCCACTTCCCGGCCCAATGGGACCCAAGATATACCCTGCACGCGGGTGTTGGTGCCTTCCCTGACCATCGGGAGGATTACCGGGTTCACAGCGAGGGTCCTCGCACGCCTGCCGTGAAGGACAAGAATCATGGCTATGTTGCTAACTACAAGGACGCGGTTAGTGGTTTCATGGTCAATGGAACCATCCCCCTTGACGCAGCGCAGGGTGTCCACTCGTTGACCGATGTGCCGGTCTTCGCACGCGGCCCGTGTCAGGAGCTGTTTGGAGGTGTATATAGCTCGATTGATATTTTCTTCAACATGGCTGAATGCCTGGGTTTGTCGGAGACGAAGGGACATGGAAAGCCCGGGCAAGGTGGGAAGCCCGGGGGTGGACATTAGTACCATTCTGGCGATGGCACTGTTTCACGGAAGTTTGGAATAATTTAAAGCTAACTCGTGAAGAGCTCAATCTGTACAAGAGAAAAGATCTGATACTGAGAATTGATCATGTTCGAAATAATATACATCCTTTAAATAGCAACACCCAGACGCAAGGTTCGTGATCAAGTTAAACACCAGTCTATTTACAATGGCCCAGCCAATTGAGGCGATATATCAGTCAACATCTATCAAATCTATAAAGCAACCGTTTGAAGCACAGGAGAACATATGATATGGTCTCCAAGATAATAACCGAGTCTAGGTGGCGTTGTTGGCACAGGTCCAGCTAGCCTTGGACGAGCTCTCGTTGATAGCCAAGCCCGAGACATAAAGTCCCAATCCACACTAGTCTTGTCAGCACCAAATTCACAGCCCCATAAATGGATAAAACATACAATAGCACAAGCAATTCCAAGAATAATCAAGTTGAGAATAGTCAAGGAGATCTTTTTGATTGACGAGAACCACTGTCCCTTGTTCATCATGAGCCAGAAAATAGCAGGGAGGCCGTCTATATCCTCAGTTAGCATCTTGTTCCTCATCAGAGGTTTCCAAAATTAGTCTCAAGACACTCACAGCTAAACCAACTTCCGAATAGGGCACTCTGCACAACAGATTAGTAGACGAACAGTGAAAAATGATAGGGAGAACATACAATCAAACTCAGCAATTCGTTGAACACCGGAATCGACTCTGCGATGACCCAAGCAATAGTCCAGGTAGACAGGCCGATCGCGACCCATGTGCCTGTGGCCAAAAGACTCTTCTGGTGCATGTGGTGCGAGCGATCACCGCGGAAGATTCGAACATAGATATACTTGCAAGCGACATGGCCGAAAATAACACCGGCAACAATAACCTATTCAAGGTTAAAATAGATCCCCAAGCAAACTGCAAGAAGAAAAGTAACATACTGTTGGGATGGCCAGACCGTAGGCAACCTTCTTCATCATAGGTCCAGCCGACGATAGGGCCGGAGACGAGACACCCGGGCCAGCATAGCAGTAGATGACCATGGCGGTCACAACGTACATGGTAGTATCGACAACCTGGAGCATGGCAAGGGCCTTGGGGAAGTCGCGAGGATCCTGCATTTCCGACATGATACCGAAGAAAGAGACGTGGGCAATGAAGGCGAAGACAATGTTGGTGACGGCCAAGAAACCTTCCTGGAAGGTCGGGGTCGTGGTGATATCGTTCTGGACATCATCGGGGGCCTGTACAGCGATGGAAATCATCGTAACGATAGTGGCGGTCAGAATACTGATGGCGGATATGATGGACATCCAAAAGACCTTCTCTGCTGTGCGAGGAAGGGCGGCAAGACAGCTGACGACCAAGCCGATGACTCCAAAGACAATAGTGCAGGTACCGTGGTTTGTGATGGTGTTGAATAACACGGAGAAGGTGAGAATATGACTGGCCATTAGGAAGATGATGAACAGCAGTTGGCCGACAAAGGCGATCTCGCGCCCGATAGGGCCTAGAAGAAGCTCGCCGGCATCACCCATACTGTGGACCTGAGGATATCGCTGCTTGAACTGGCCCATGGTGTATCCAGTGTACCACGAGATACCGGACAGAAACATAATGATAATAAATGCCCTAGGAAATGGTCAGATTTCTTCCTGGATGGAGGCGGAGATTTCTCTTACGGGACAATTCCGAGGGTTGCCACAGCTGACGGAAGAGATAGAATACCAAGCGAGATGTTTTCAGCAACCATCACTGGATGAAATATGTTAGAGAGTGGTTCCTAATTGAACTGGGGCTAATGATGGGCTCTCACGCGTTCCAGCTTGCCTGTATAAAAAAGTCAGAACTGTGCTATTTGATGCAACAATAACAGTAAACAGAGTGAGATACTAACCACCATGGCATGATACGGTACTTCACTTCCCCAGATTCTTCATTTCCAAAGGGATCATCCGTGGGCTCTACCGGGTATGACTTCTTCTCCATGTCGGTGGAGTCATTGTATACATCGTGGTCCTGAGTAGGACGAAGTGTGTCTTGAACACTCATGTTGAATGGTATATGGAGTAGTGAAGAAAGAGAAAAGGCCAGGGCGAAAAGAAAAGGTACCGAAAATTGTGGAGGCCCAAAAAAGAACGGTTGGCCCAGAGTTTTTGCTTGGCGTTGGCGATTAAAGTTAGAATCTTCTATTACCAGATATTTCAATCTAATACTTGAGATGACTGTGGGTGAACCAACTTTGTATTCCCGATCTCGCTCAATCACTAAGAGATTGGGGTAAAATTGCCGACGAGGTCACAACTTAGACGAAGGGAATCCAAGGGTTTAACCAGCGACCTCCCACACCGGAGATTACATAAACATATCTTCACCGGCGCGACCAGAGAGTTGTGGGGTATTTCTGTGTCAGGTGAGCCAACCCCCATACGTTTTGGGCCTTGGAAGATAGTTGATTCTACACTCCGGCGACAGACTCTACCGGCCCGGCGCACCCGGCCCGGCGTGACCCCAGATACTGTAGGCCCCAACATTGTCTCAGCGATAGCCATTGATTAAGTTTTAGTCAAAGTTTTATGTACTGTCCACATACTAGGTTTACCCCAAATTTCAACCCCAGATTGTACCATTTGTCTCTTAGCAACAAAAGCGTTCTCATCTGGAGTTGAAAAATTTAAAGTAAATTATGCATGATCCAAGGAAATTAGAGTCTGACTGTGGCGCATTTTAACTTTACTGCCGGAACTAGAATTTTCTCGAAGGCTGCCGAGGTCCCTTATCAGCCTGGGAAACCTCGTGGTCCGACCTCGGGATGTCGGGAGACTCAGCCACCTGGCATTACATGAGTGTTCCAAACCCCCGGGTTTTAGCCTGAATTCTAGTCCCGATTTAGGGAATGGGGTAGATTGATATCCATATCCTCGATTAGTATTGCGGGGTGGGAAAATGACGTTTAGCGTATAACTACGGGCTCTCTTCCTATTAGAATCTCGAAACTAGGGTGGTATATTCGTCAAGATGACATATGTATCTTGATCTGAGCGCCAAGCTAGGAACCGCATGAGGCGCAACATGAGGCTGTTGAGGAGCGCCACCGCGATTGTTGTAATTGCTTGGCGCTAGTCTTTTCTTCCTTCCGAACCGGGGCATCAGTGCGCTGCAACCTTACTCAATACCGGGTATCGTCTAAATTCTGATTGCCAAAGAATCGAGGAATCGAGACATGGAAGTTTCAGTTGAGGAGTGTATTTCATTCGCACTTAATTAACGAGAGTTGGGATGCTCTCGACGCTAACCTTAATTCGGCATTCTTCACGCCAAGTGATTTGAAATCCTATGTCGTACGGATCGAGATTAGCGCCTTCCACGCGAAATGGCATTTCATTTCAAACTGCGTTCAAATTACTCTATTATTGTTCAATACGTAGTACTTTGTATAGGGGGGGCACTCATCTCAGCAAGATATGAAATCTAATACTGTTGGTGGCCCAAGGCCACGCTGTTTGCATCCAGTTTCAGCACGTGATGCACCTTGCGAAAAAGGGAAGTGCGACCGGGGCGGGTGAACCCATCACCCGATTGACCACCTGGGCACACTAAACAAACGGTGGGTGGCAAATCAGGGGCCAATGGACTAAACAGTGGGGAGCCGACTCTTCGCCGCCAAACAAGATGCTTCGTTTGCATGGATTACTTCAATTGGAATAAAATGCCGGATATTCAATACACAACCTCTTAGATTGCATCAGACTACTCCGTAGTTGGTTCTCGACTAATTGACTGCAAATGGATATAACTGTACAGTCAATCAAATTTACTTGAACCGAAGTCATCTATCTACTCAACTCTCCCACGGATGACGACAATCCAAGCTTTCCAACTGCACCGCCTACATAAATGATTACTTCATCATACGGCCAGACCTTCCGAGCCCGAAGGTAGCTATCTCTCCGGGTTAGAATTATATTGGCGGGGGCTATTGCATATCTCTAACCACAGTAATCGAAGTAGTGTCAACAGGACACCAGGTTATACATATAGCACCACTCCTGAAGCGCAGCCCGAGCTTTGCAAATCTTATATCGCATCAAATAAAGTACAAAGTCGGTTCTGGCTGCTATTTCCAGCGTCCTCACCAGGCAACGCTGTCCCCTGCACCATTCTGGGTACAGTAATAGTATAATTCATCTCCTCCGATGTGGCTTCCCTGGGACTCGCAATAGTATAACAGGTCCTTCTCGTTCTTGAGCGTACAATCGGGGCATTGGTCCCATTGCTTGCTCCCAGTGTTTCGGTTTTTATAGGCACCACATGCCTTTTCAGTCGCAGCTCGATTGTAAACATCCTAGAATGCAGTTAGAGCTGGTTTTCTCCCGGTGGTGCAAATTTTCAAATTGTACTTACCACTCCTTTGCCAGGGGTATCGATGCAAACACCTTGAGTGTGGAGGTCTGCGAAAGCACTACACAGTATTAATGCTTATCTCAAACATGTCAACTTGGAGATCTTACCCAGCAGCAAGAGTTGCAGCAATAAGTAAAATGGATTTCATCTTCGTAGTAATATTAGGAGAGGTGGCTAGGTTTCTGAGAATTGGGCGGCCGACGCAAGTTTAAATGCTCGAAATGCTGTAGAGGAGGCACATTGAAAAGGAGACAAAAGCCTATGTACTTCTAGAGCGCGTTTGCCTGACTGTCAGTAACTCAGATGATACATTAGCCCTTTCTTGAAATGAAACAGGACAAAATTCCGAGGAATCTCCATCAGAACGATGATCTTTGGCCTTCATTTCTTTAAAGTATACGCCGTGTTTCACGGTGACTTTCGTCATTCCGCAAGGTTCCTTGGGCGTTGTTTCACCACCATGCCTACTTTAGATTTGATTTCCAGGAGCTTACCTAGATATTCAGAGTTCAAAACATGACCAGGTATAAACCGAAGCTGTTGACTGTAGCCTTGCTAGCATACCTCGATCATTGATGGTTCCGATCTTCATCTCAGATGAGTATATACTCGCCAGATGTATTCTCATTTTGAAGGTCGATATTCCTCTCATAAAGGTATTCATAAATGAGGGTTTGAAGAATGTTTTCACTATTCCGTTCTTGGAATGAACTGGGTTTGGCCCCCACGGCATGTCACGGTCCGGCCGTTGAACTCGGGCTCATCCATGGACCATGGATGATCTACATCATCCTTCAGAACTCTACCAAAAGCTAAATCCATTATTTCATCAGAGCTTGTTATCTGCGGTCTATTTCCGGTTAATTCTCGGAAGTATACAAGTGAAACACAGATTGTGCAAAGGAGCGTTCGTACGGGATAGTTCTGGGAGATCCTTGCAAATAATATATTTCTATATGGATATCTCTAGTTCAACGAAAGAATTTCCCTGAAAGACTCTAAATAGGATCTTCTTTCCGCTGCCGACTCGTTCGATACCCCTTTTCTATCTATTCCTGTCCCAAGATTCACGGGGCTTTGCCAAATATCTGCGTGTCTGGCATTATGAAGACCAACATCTTCCTACTTGCTTCGCTCTGTGCGAACAGTGCACTCATTTCTGCCCTGCCGGCCGATACGGCTCTTCTTGTTCTTCACGATGGTACCACAAAGACTGTCGACAAGAAAGACCTAGGGGCCAACCTACCTGGAGTCTCTCTGTCTCCACCTATCGATTCTGTCCCAAAGTTCTTGAAGACCGGATCTAATGATTCCACCCATTCAAACCAATTGAGCAAGCGCTCCGGTGCGCAGTTCATCATTCCTCTTCCTGACGAGAAATTCCTCGGCTGGGACATCCCAATGTCTACCATTGTGCATGCGAACGAAGCCGATGCCACCGCTTCCATGGCACAAGGCCAGTCCATCGCAAACAGCATCTCGGTTAGCACCTCATTTACGGCCACCGTGGAAAAGTTTCTACAAATCGGTACCACAATCAACTACCAGTACACCGAAACGGCTACTCTCACTGGCACGGTTACCATGACCATTCCGAAGAACAAATGGGGTGCCATTATCAGCAACCCCTTGACCTATCGCAAAAGCGGATACGTGTTCAGTGGAAAGCCCGGGAGTGGACAGTACGAGCACTTCCAGGCGGATTCTTTTACCCAGGACACTTATCGCTATGGACAGAATTCTTTGTCCTGGGTTAAGGGTGTTGTTACAACTTGCTTGGGAGACTCTTACCCTCTGAAACGCTGCCTTGGAGATGGTGAATTGGAGTAAGCCTTGCTCGGTTGGAAGGTCCAGGTCAGGTGCCGGTACCGATACTACACGGCAGACGTGGACGGCCTTGAGATATTGTTCGGTGGGAGTCTTTTGTCGTTCACCGGACTCTTAGCGGGTGTGCACACATTTCTGTGTTACCCATCAATACTGCACCTGGCAAAGACACTTAAATTCATTTTATAGCAGATCAAGATATAACTTTAATCAAGACCAATATCGATCGTACTACCAATCTTCGTCTACCAAGGCCAAATTTCCAATCATTTCATTGGTCAAACTTTTCACCCATCCGTCATGGAATACGTGTCTCTTGTATCGTCGATGCCCATATTTGTTTATTTCGCTATCATTTGAGTGGGAAGCATGAAAATCTACGCCTGTATTTGCTAGATAAATCATCTCAAAACTCTATCGTGACGCATGGGGACCCGGAGAAGCCTTGAGAGGCAACTCAAATGTTCTTTTAAAGTATCCAACAGGGAATAAATAGATATCAACCGAGCTCAAGCACGAAAAGGATCGCTCCTATAATTGCAGCCATGTCAATCCGGACTATCAGTCATGATAATGTGACGGTTTTCATGTACATTGTCGCGAGCCTCCGGCATCGTGCGGTCTTTGAGCAGCAAATAAAGAAGTTGATTGCAACTTTACGTGGAATTTCGCCTCATTTTGTTCTGGGGAGATATTTACATTGGCAAGCTGATGATCCTTTCTCATCCATCAGATCGCTCTGGTAAGTCCTTCTTTTGACGCCACATTCCACACAGCAACAACAGGAATGGAATTGTTGCTAGCAAGATAAATGCCACCAGTGTGAATGTCCATCCGCGACCCATTGCTGTCAGCATAGGATCGATAGCAGCCGAGGCCGCGGCCGAGAAGAAAGACCGAACCATGTTGTTGGCGGCAGTAGCGGCGGCTGGATTAGCGGTATGTAGATCGACCAGCAGGGTAGAGGTGGAGATAAACCCACCAGTCTGCCCTACGCCGACGAAGAACAAAAGCACCTCTGGAGCCGCAAGAGGCGCACCATACTTTAAAACCCAACCAAACGCCAGCACAGTGACACTGCCGAGAACAACAAGGGGAATAGTAATCATACTGCGGGCCTTCTCGACAGAGATTGAATCCTTTATTGTGTCTTGTTGGCGGGTAGTAGAATTGGTGGCGTCGTTAGCAGCCATGCGTCTGTAGTTCCAGTCCAGCAGGCGTCCTGTCACAACTGAGGCCACAATAGACCCAGTGCCCAGCGAGATATAACATAGACCAATCTCAAGCTCGTCTAGACCATATTGCTCTGTGTATATCTCTGTAATAGACGAGAGAACCGTCATGTTTCCACCCATGATAATTCCTGTTACCAAGAGAACGATAATCGAGTTTGGATGGAACACAAGTATCAGGGGTTTCAGTGGGTTGGGGAATTGGAGTCTGTGTTCGATGACTTTCTTTGGCGAGTCGCTGCTGTCAGGTCGGTCAAGACTATCCTTGTCGGAAGAATACTGCTTATCCTTATTATGGCGAGAGAACAAGTGAATCAAGGGCCGATTCCACGGCTGTGCAGGAGAAGAGCCATCCCCAACAACGTTCCGGGCCGTCTCGGGGAGAAAGAGGAGCAGAGGCAATAAAAATATGCCAGAGGCGATGGTGAGGAACCAGAAGATTGATCGCCAACCCAGATATTGGGCTAAAAGACCTCCGATGATCGGACCAATGGCAGGGCCCATGAAATTCCCAGCCATCACAAAGCCCATCATCGATCCTCGTTCCTGTTTCGTGCTGATATCGGCCACGGTAGCCGCAGAGAGTGCCACGCTACTGCTGATCCCAGAACTCTGCAAGCATCGCAATATAATGAGAGCAGTGTAACTGTCCTGTAAAGCTAGCCCGATGTTTGAGGCGATATAAATGACAAAGCAAATTATATACGCTGGTCGACGACCTGTTCTGTCCGCAAAGTCCCCAATAAACATTGGTGCGATTCCTTGGAAGATCTAATATACGCTATCCGTTAACTTATGGGCTGGTTGATCTTCGTCAACTGGTTTATCCTCACCATGTAACTTGTCACAGTCAGATTGATCATAGATGCTGAGACATTGAGATCGCTGGCGAGCGTGTTCAAAGCTGGGAAATAGATCTGGGCCGACAAAGAAGAAAATAGACCAGCCCCAGCGGCTGTAGCAACAATGTATCTTTTTTTGGCGGTGCTAAAAGCGCTGTAAGGTGGAGGCACAGCCTCTGCAAGCATGTTTTCGGAATTCATTGTTGCTCAATTTCTTCCGACATGTGCAGAGAAGTTGAAACGGACTGAATGAATCAGACTATTTGACGATGCCGATGTTCCCCTCGTCCCCTTTTCCATTGTTTAACTCGCGATGAACAAATCATCGTCGATCCAGGAGACAACATCAAAAAGACCACAGAACTCGGTGACGTCAAATTAGGAGAAGGGCTCCACTGTGGAAGTCGACAGTATTTGGATGATGTGATTCAAAGTCTCGAACAGACTGATCGGCTGCTCAAAAATCATCCATTGAATCGCCGATCATTGCTCGATGGTCTGTTCGGGGACAAATCACTTCGGCAATGTTGTCGTGCGGTTTTCGGCTCGGCAGCTAACGGAGGCATCATCTCCTAGGGAGTTGATATTCGGAACCCCCTGGACCTGACGATCTGCAGGGTCGACATGGAACCTTGTGGGCAAGCTCACATGGCTCTGACGGGATGATTTGATTGGTCCAAGTATCCCCAGTGGGATCCACTTCGATCTACTCAAGACCCACTTGATTCGGAAGCTTGTTGGTCCGAGAATTATCAGATCGAAGATTTGGATGGCGCATTGTATATGTTGACATATTGTATTCAAAAGAAACAGGAGAATTTGAATGCAAATCCTCTAAAGCTCAATACAAATGTTCAACCGAGGTGCAGACAATAAACTCAGAACATCCATCCCTTATCCTCAATCGTCATGTACTCACTTTTCTGGACTGAACTTCGTAGTGATCTACAGATTTCAATGTGTAACGAATTCACAGTACATAACCAATAAAAGCTATGGGCGGAAGGCTTGTGCCTACTTAAATTTGACGAGATGCTTACGCGGGTCCACACTGGTTTATTCGGTAGCAAGTTATATTGTAATATAAAGCATAGTGCAGAAGATCATAAAATCACATCATCCAGTGGATCTTCCACATGGTCCTTGTTAAGAATGTAGACCGGAGGATTTACATGACGCAAGCCTAGGAGACTTCACTCGGATGATCATGGGTACGTAACATGCAATATACAACGTGTACTGTAGATGGCGCGAGTCGGAAGGCAATTACACGGGTGAATCTTGCCTTCCTGGGCGACCCAGAACGTACAGCAAGATCTGTGCTTGATGTAGACCCATTGAGCCCTTATGCCAGCAATATTTAAACGGGTATGTTGTCTCGAATCAATTTAGCAATCATCTGAACTAAAACTCCCGGACACACTATTCAAGAGCCTTTCTTTACTTCAAGCCACACGGCAAGAATATACTCAGCGAAAAGCTTGAGACCTACATCATGGCTGCTGAAAACTTCGACTCCGTGCCAACAGTCACCATTATCGGCGCAGGACCCTGTGGCTGTGCATTTGCGGCCGACTTGGCCAGCCGCGGAAAGTCAGTCATGCTATACGCTCATCCTGATCATCGCGGCGGGACAGATATGATTGAAAGGAACAATGGCTGGTTAAATGCAGCTGGAGAGATCAGTGGAAAGTTCCAAATCCAAACCACCAGCGATCTCTATCTTGCCATTCGACACTCTCCTTTCATCGTTACCACAGTACCTTCATATGGGCAGGACACCATCTTAACATTGCTGAGCCAATTTGACTTGCGAAATCATACCCTCATCATCAACGTGGGCAATTTCTTCTACCTCTCCGCCCGCTCGAAGATCAACGCCCATGCAATCCTCGAAACCGATATCTCTCCCTACGCCACTCGCATTCAAGGCGACACGGTGTTTGTCAAGGGCTGCAAGAAGACTCTGTCAATATGGGCTGAACCACCAAGCACCACACAGGTCGAACGACTTGACCCCCAGGCCGAGCTGGGCCTCCGACAAAAGGTCGAGATGATCTTTTCTCAGAAGCTAGTGTGGTGTCAGAATCTGCTCGAGGTGGGATTGAACAATGTCAACCCAGTCGTGCATTGCCCTGCGGCACTCATGAATGCGGGATGGATTGAGGCTACCAAGGGTGATTTCTACTTCTACGCCCAAGGGATGTCACCCTCTGTTTCCCGCGTGACTGAAAAGGTGGATAAGGAGCGTCTGGCTATTTCCCACGCCTATGGACTCGAAATCACACCCATCACAGCCTACATGAACCAGAACTATAACAATGATCGGGAATACTCTGATTACCACGATTTTGCCTCCGGCTCTGTGGTCCACAACAAGACCAAGAGCTCCCCGACCACCCTGAATCATCGCTATCTGTTGGAAGATGTTCTATACGGCTTGGTCCCCTGGTATGAGCTCGGTCTTAAGTGTGGTTTGCCTTCGCCGACTATCAGAGCACTTATCGAGATGGCTGCGGCTGTCAGCGGCTTTGACTACTTTGAGCACGGACGGACCCTGAAGTCTGCTGGACTTGACGATGCCACTAGAGATCAGGTGCTTGATGCCTTGGGTGGACCAGTGGACAAGACCCCAAGTGCTCACGCACCCTGGTCAGACTCTCCTATTGGCAACACACTGGAGTTGCATGCTCCACTACAAACGGCTCGAGTCGGGGCGTGATGATCTGTCACATTATTGAAGAATAATCTCGCGTTTCAAGTTCTGATACTATGTGAATTTCCCTTGCTGATTTCTTTCTGTGTCTAGTCAAGTCCATTTTGTGATGATGATACTGTGGTCAAATAAGAGAATACCTATAGAGATAGAATTCCAAGATATAGAGTAAAATAACAGGAGAAATACAAGTTTCAGTTCGTCATTCTCAATGACCACGGCCCATCTTGAGGAATCGATTGATATCAAAATGGGTGCTATCTTAGTGCACACTAAGTTCCTTTTGTTCAGGAGCTAATAGTGAGCAGCAGCACCGGCCGGGGATGACCTTCGCAGGAAGCGTGGATCAATCTCGAATTCTCGTTCACCATCAGAGCCCTTTGTATATGGCAGTCTGCCAGCTTCGCCTCACCAGTAAATGTATAGTCGTGCAAGCGTTGACGGCCAAGTCTTCCAGTTGGCTCACCAGCGGATCGGACTGGGAAAGAGCGTCTACGAGTGTACTGCACTTGCCAACCTGGTGCGAAACGGACAGGGAAGGCACACATGCGGAATCTGGTTGTCCATAAAGGACACCCACCTGACAAGGTATTCTTCACACACGCAGGTATCCTCATTCTCATTGTTTTTCTTGGCATCCGTGCTTTGCAGGTCATGTCTCGGGTTCACAGACAGCACTTGGTGCTATCTTCTGTTACGAGATGCCCCCAAAATTGTAACATAGCCCGTTATCATTGGCGGCATGATGGGTGGTGAGAAGGAAGCAGTAGGCTAGAGTGGTCTACTGTTATAGTTTCCCCCGTCACACTCAATATCCTTAGCAGACGCGGCCCAACTGTACCAGTTCACCTCCTCGTCCATGCTCATGTTGCTATCGGCTTGGTCTTCAGTGCCAGTAAAATCAGTCGACATGCCCTCTTCAGACCATAGCCAAGGTACAACTGCAGGCATTGCAATTTGACCGTCGAATTGGGCTCCCGGCGCCATCGAGAAGTGAGATGATGGGGCAGAAATTCCGGCATCGAATCCAATTGCTGAAGTAGGACCCATGATTGATTCAAAGTTTACAGATTCAAGGCCTGACGCATCATATCCGGACTGTCGTTCCTCTGCAGCAATATACTCTGGTTCAACGGTGAAATCTGAATAGAATGGTTTGTGAGATGAATCGGGAGCAAGATGCGCACTTGAATGCGTCGTATTTGCAGTGTGTACCGGTGGATTCGACGGGTCAGTGACAGCGAGTGCGTCATGTATAATTTTACCCGAGTGTGCTACCAGCTGGCGCCATTGGTGAAGGAAGAGATCTGCAGGATTCGAATCAGATGGAAATGGTCCAGTGCTCGATGGGACTGGGGTAATGCAATAGCCCTGCTCCAGCTGTTGAGCAGCTTGAGGGTCGTTTCTTAGCCGGCTTAGCTCCATAACACGATGATCCCTGGCCTTGGTCATAAGCTTTCGGAGTGGAATCCAGATCCGTAGATTCCTTTCCATGTGTGATTGGTTCGGTATCAACCAGGGACTATGCAGGGCTACCCAGGCCCGTTCGGAAAGAGGCGACCAGGGGCGTCGAGAGATTTCTAGCATCATATAGACAATTGAGTACCAGTGGGTATAGGTCTGGAACACCCAGCGCCAGTGCCGGCATGCTTGCTCATCGCTCAGGGCATGATTGTACTCGGCGACCTCGATACTAGAAACCAATAGTTTTGTCCTCAGCTCCTCCGAAAAATCTTGATTTGGAGAGGAGAACAACAGAGGCAGGTACATGAGCAAGGTCATTTTGGCAATGACAAGCCGAACGACCCTAACTATCACCCAGTGTGTAATGTTTCCTGATTCGGTTGAGTACTGAAGAAAGTCTCTTTGGAATCCTTGGTATAGCTGTTGCAACAAGCGGTTTTGCTCTTCTACGCTCGGTGCTCCGTCTTTAAAATCATGAACCAACATCTTCCGTGTGATCTCACACATGCAAATGGACACGCGCGCAACGGACATATCAGTCAGGCCTTCGCGAGCCCGAGGCATTTCCCTTGAATCAGGATCGAGGTCGGTGTCATTGAGATTCAGAGGTATCTTGGTATCGAAGCTCGCTCTTGTGATCGTGTAATCAGTTCCTTGGTCTTCAGATGCTCTCGCATCCAACATGCACAGGGCCCACCAGACTCTGCGCCGCATCTCAATCTCATATGGACTGAGATAATCGAAATGTATGCCATCACGATGTAGCCCCAAAGCCTGACCCATTCGGATTAACAGCCCTGTCATCATCCACACAAACCTCGGACTGTCATGTCGGCGAACAAGACTAAGAAAAATGGCGAATGCCTGCACAAGAACAAAATCTGGTACATTCAAAAAGTCAGCTCTTGCAAGAGCATGTTCAAATCCTTGACGATATCTGAGATTGAGCTCGACTTTAGTTGCTCCGAAATTCAGTAATATCTAAATGTACCGAGACGTGAGCTTGGAACCATGCTTGGATCCGTCCGAAACTTGAACGTGTAAGGATTTGGCTTACATCTTCTTCTTCCATCGACGTGATGGCAGCGTAGTATATAGAGAACATCAAGGCCTCATTGGCTGGGGTGAGTCCCTTCATTTCACGGCGCCAATCGCGAACCATGTTCCTGACAGTGGGAAGGTGAACGATTTGAAAGATGACGTTCACATTTTCAGAGAACACGTCTAGAATAAATGGAATCTGAGAGGGGAGAGGATGAAGTTCGGTGAGATTAGGAGCGGAACGACCCAAACCGTGCCCAAACAAGAATCCGTGACGCTCTGCGGGAGTCCGTTCAAGTTCTTGTGTGGAAGGGGTCATCTCTGGTGATGCCTCGTCATCCGAGGTATCAGATTCTCCAAATGGAACACCACTAACATCTGCCCTGAGGCCATCGAGCTACAATCAAAGTTAGCCAGCCTTCCATCCCTGCAGCAATGCAAGCAAATCAAGGCGGGATACCTCGTCATTGACCCGAGACCAGAAACCACTACCAACATAACGACTTCGGCTGGAATCCTGAAGCACCAATCTCCCAAACTTGTTTTGCAAATTGGCCGTACTTATGGAAGATGGATTTGACTGTCGATCATGGGCGGAGCTTTCAGGCGAACCAACACCGGATGACCCTTCACCAGCAGAGTTAGCTCTTGATTTGGCCTGTTCCAATTGACTTCGTAGCTCCTGGACAAGGCTTTCAAGGTTGTGCAGTCTCTCCATCATATCTTCCCCCACTGGTTCTGGTTCCTGGGAGGCCTGTAGGTTGGATACCGCGCTGTTGAGGCGGTCGAGATGGCGGGCCCATCTTGGTGGTCGGTCTGTAGGTGGAAGAACACATGCGATGTTCGCTCGTCGGCAGTTGGAACAAGGTGCTCGCTTGTCGCAGCGAACCTTCCGGCTTCGGCATACTACACAGCTGCGTAGCTTTAGGGGTGGTTTGTTTCTGCCTGAGGCGTCAGCTCTCGCGTTTTTCTCGGCGTCCGAGCCCGACGCGAGCCCGCCCCCAAGCGCCCCTGAGGCTGTGACATGCTCTTGTGACATCTTGGCGCCGTTACGAGCTTGTTTCAACGAATTAACAATCATAAACAGGTGCAAAACCTTGATTGTCCATCGCCAGGTAGACGGCCTGGAAGAGTTTGCCGTCTGACTCAGGGATAGGCATAAGCGTAGAGTGAGCAACAGCCAACGAGAACACGCCATTTCCGCCTCACTTTGTTAGGCTCGGGCCTTCCCCTCCTTGTCTACGTCGCGAAAAAAAAGCGAGACCTTCCATGTTGACTCGGATAGCTTTCGCCTTCTTAATATAGTGCTGTTGGCCAAAATGTATATTATAAAGCCCATCATCCCATCCAAGGTAATTGAAAGAAACCATTCACATCTCTAGTATCAAACTATCAGCATCAGGTTATACCCTTCCAATACCTCGCTACTCGACAACCACAGCCCATTTAGATCATGACGTCAAAAACCAAGTCTGTCGCGTTCTTTGGTGCCAGCACCGGCGTTGGCCTTTCTGCCCTGAAACACACTCTCGCCGCCGGACACAAGTGCATCGCGCTGTGCCGTTATCCCTCAAAACTCACAGACATCTTTCCTTCGGGGTCACAACCCAATCTGAAAATCATCGAAGGAAACGCACACGATATCTTGCCTGTATTGCAGTGCCTCCAAACGGACGATGGCCACATCGTCGATACTATCGTGTCCACCATCGGCGCCAAGCCAACTGGATTCAGCGTCGAAGATCCGGACGTCTGCAAGAAAGGTGCGGCGACTATCCTAGATGCTCTCGATCAGCTTCGAAGCTCTGGCATCAGCGGGAAACCACACATAATTGCGACTAGCACGGCAGGCTTCTCCCGTTTCGTCCGCGATGTTCCTCTCGTTATGATTCCCGTCTATAAACTGTTCGTCAGCGTTCCCGGAGCAGATAAGGTAGTCATGGAAGACCGTTTCTCACAAAGCGGGGAATCATTCACAATATTTCGTGCTAGCCACCTCGTTGATGGCGAGTCGAAGAACGTTATCCCTATCCGCGTGGGCATCGAGGATCCGAAGACTGGCCCGGAGTGCATGGCTATTGGCTATACTATCTCCAGGGAGGATGCAGGGAAGTGGCTCGCCGAGAACCTTGTCTTGAAGTTAGACCCGAAGTATGTGAACAAGAATGTGACTGTTACATACTGATGGGGATGGCATCGGTGATAAATGAACTAGCTAGGAGTTTCGGCTTTCTGAGATTGTATAAACTGAGGATCAAACATTGCGATTAATAGAATGCATAGCAGAACGTACCATTTACTTATTGGAACCTCATGCCGTCAATATGTAATCTGGAAGCATCTAAACACGGATATTCAAGAAGGCCATCATCTAAAGGGCATTGCTCAAAGATCCTAGCACATTCCAATTCAATCTTTCCGAATATAAGTGGCGGCGGTAGCTTGAGATGTCTTGTGGACATCCTAAACATTCCAACCCAGCGTAAATACATTCATGCAGAATTCGATGTGCGATCGAGATCCAGCTTTAGAGGGTAACTGATTTACCCCGTCGGATTCCATAGGTAGTGCAACAAAGTGCAACAAAAGGCGCGCCTAAGTTGGGTCTCCTCTTTCCTGTTTATACATAGTCTCTCCAATCTGAGATTCTTTTGCCTTCTTGGTAAGATCGCCCAATGCTTTTGTGTCACAAAGGGTTGCATCAGGGGTTGAACAATCGAACAATGAAAGTTGTCTACGTACATAGCCTCTTCCATACTGAGCATTTTGTGGAGAGTTGATTACCGAGCTTCGGACCTTATCTGATGGTAGCAGGCGAGAATATTCTCAATGTCTTTCACGGTGTATGATTTCAAAAGTTCCATGGACTTGTGAACTGCATACACACAATAGTCACATTACTCAACATTGACTCCAGGTGTAAATATCATACCGTCTTCTGATATGGCATGGTTTCCCTTTCTTTGTCTTGGGTAATACATAGTTGATGGAATTGGAAGTCATGTTGATAGAGAGAGTAAGATGATGATCAATCGAGGTGGATGCCCATGGAGCTATCTATATAAAGCCCCTGGGTACGGAGGCAACCTTAGAAAGAGAAAGGTCGGAGTAATCTGCAGGGGACCTGCAGTGATTCCTCGGTCAAAGAATACACATAGAAAATCCGTGCGCACAGTTTATGCTCTTACTATTGTATCTAGAAACCCGACGGTTAAAAGAGATCGCAAAAAGAATATCTGAGAAGACCAGCAAAAAGATGCGCAAGCGGCCGATTATTCGTGTGCATCATTGATCTCAGTAATTACTATTAGTATGGACAAGCATATTTGAGATATTTCGATACATTATTTCTAATCCAGAGTCAACCAGTGCGCTCTTAGCATAATCTATATGCGATATATGTACAGTACATGCGATGCTAATAAGACGAACAAAATGAAGCAAATGAAGTAAAATGAAACAAGATGCAGTCATCTAAGTGTCGGTGTTGGCGCAGCTGAAGCTGTTGCTGTTAGAATTCTTGCTAATAGCCGTGCCAGAAGCATACAGCCCAAGAACGCACAGCGCCAAACCAAAGCAAGCAATTGCGATGTTGAGGATGGTAAGGGCGATCTTGCGGGGAGAGGCGAACCATGAGCCACGGTTGAGGTGAAGCCAGTAGATACCGGAGAGGCCGTAGCTGAACCAGGAAGCGAAAAGGGCACTGATCAAACTGTTCAGATCACTGAAGACAGGAATGGCCTCGGAGATGATCCACGCCACAACCCAGCAAGCCACGCCAAGACCAATCCAGAGACTGATGGAACGCTTGTTGTTCTGGTGTATCAAACCAGACTTGGAACCGAGGCGGAAATAGATGTACTTCAGGCCGATATGGCCATTGACGACACCGGCGCCGACAATGGTGGGGATAGCAATACCGTAGGCAATCTTGCTCATCAGGGGTCCTGCGGAGGTGAGGGCAGGAGAATGCACATCCGTGCCGATGTAGAAGTAAATCACAACGGCTGCGGTCAGGTAGAGGGAGATCTCGAAGCCCTGGAGCATGAACAAAGACTTCTTGAAATCCTGGGGCGTCTCCATCTCGGCAATCAAACCGAAGAAAGCGACGTGGGCGCAGTAAGCGAAGACGATGTTTGAAACAGCCTGGAACGCGGTGTACAGGTTGGTATCGACGGTGGCGTGAATGATACGCTCTGGGTGACTTTGAACTCCCACGGAAACCATGGTGATCACGACAGCGCTTAAGATACTGAGGAATGATGCAAACGAGATCCAAGTCATACCCTTCATCGTGCGGGGGATAGACAAGACGAGAGAAATAACCATGCCGATGACACTGAAAACAATGGAGCAGGTGCCGTGGTTGGTAAGGGTGTTCAACATGACGCGGAAGGTGAGGATGTGACTGCCCATGACAAAGATGCAGAAGAGGAACTGGCCAGTACCGAAGAGCTCACGGCCAAACTTGCCCAGTAAGATCTCGCCAGCATCGCCGAGGTTTTGAATGTGAGGGTAACGTTCGCGAAAGAGGCCGATGTTGTAGCCAGTGTATGTTGCAAGAACGCCGAGGCCGATAATCAGGATGATACCAGGGACGAGGCCGAGAGTGGCGACGGCTGAGGGTAGTGATAACACACCCAGTGACACTGACTCACAGATCATGAGCAAGCCACATTGCCTGGAGACACGAGGTGTTAGTACGACCGATGAGAGACTCTGTTGCCGAATGATACATACCACCACTTCAAGGTTTTGTACTTAATCTCAGCATACTCCTCGTTACCAAAGGCATCGTGCACCTCGCCAGCCTTGAGTTGGCCCTCCTCCACGAATTGTGGCACATCCTTGCGTTCAGCGATCTTATCCTGTTCATAGACAGGTGGTGCTGGATTGAGTTCCATTCTGTGTAGTTGAAAAAGCAGCGGAGTCGGGTGTTGAAGAAGATGGGGTACAAAGGTAAGTTCCCACGAGGAAACAAAAACTGGGCGATCTGGCCGTCTTATTGTTTCCCCATTTTCGCGTGCCAATTCTGTCCCATGGGAACAGATGGAAAGTTCCACACACTTTCGATGCAACCTGATGGATTCACCAATGACCGTTCTAGTTCCATCCGAATCCGGAGACCTCGACCACACTGTCCACGGGTCTGACCAATCCCCCTGCCGACTTCACCTTGCTGACTCATTCCAATTGGTGATGAAAATTGGTCGCTAAAGCTAATTGTGTCCCCGCCTGAGTCCCACCAGTTGCCTGATCTTTGACACATAGTGGCGATCACTATTCCCGTTGAGGATTCTATTATTTTACCTAGGTACACCTTAAAGGTTCAAATCATGACCTGTTGGGCTGTATAGCCTCCATATATTGTGGCTTTGATTTTTATATGGAATAGCCTTTCTTGCCGAGATCAGATCCTTCACCGGGACCCCGGTCCTTCGGCTACTCACATCAATTTTACATTCTCACCGAGCCGCCAGTGGCAAATGCGCCCCACTTGACCACCGGAGAACAGTGCCAACTCCGGTCCCACCTGTACCGTCACTTACCCCGGGTCTAATATCTTTCTCTATCTGCCGTTGATGCTACATCGGCCTCTATGCCTCTTCCAATTCGCCTATTGTGTCCTTATCCCCCAGACTATGTATCTACGAGGTACAAGTAAGGGGTTTCACTCGATTACGGAGTAGGATCCTGTCCAATCGGTATTGATTTCTCGTAATGCATGGACCGAGCTTTTGTTTTTTTTTTTTGGTCTGGTACATAACATAATATAAGCTTAATTATGATAAGCGTAGGAACGATGATATGCATGGATTCAACATCAGTGATTGGATCACATGGGAGCGTATACGCTCTATCTCAGACCAGAATATTCATGTTGCTTTCATTCAGGGTGATCTACCACTTTTTTTTCGAGGACCTTTTGGTTAATCTATCAGAGAGAACTGACAAGAAAGGTCGACTGCTTATGCAGCCATATTATGTCTGTTATTGTAGTATTTTTGTGTATGGATGGTCGCCTCTCCTCTGTTCAATTATACAAATATTCAAACAAAAAGGCAACGGTACCAGAAAGCATAAGCTGCATAACCTGTACAGATGGGTGCTTTTTTTTAGTATAACCAGGGATTTCGACCCTGGATCGGACCTCGGGAACTCTGAAAGTATGGACTACAGCCTCATGCATAAGCACGCCTTTGAGAATTTTAGGGAGGCAATACGGAAGAATCGGGAAGGATAACCTGGAGAAAGTCAGGCATGGCGAACAAGCAGGCACAGGTTCGCCACATATTGCGGATCCAACCTTTGGCCTCCCGAGATCGGCCCGCGGGCCTGGGGGGCAAATGGAGATTAGTAATATGTTCTCTACCGTTCTTGGACTAGTGGGGCGAAGAGCATTCGCTGGCCCAATATGGATTAGCGTGGATCACCCATCGATATCGGCAAGTTAACGGCAACGAAGGCGACGGGGTCTGGCCAAGCTACTCGTGGATTTTGGACTATATTCCCGACATTCAAGAAAACACTCACTATATACCGCGCTGGTGACTCTGTTCAGCGCTATATGGCATGACTCCACAGCCGCCACCAACCAACCCTTCATGGCCGTTGCCAAAGCCTCTATCGGACATAGAGCTGGAGGACATGCTGAAGACAAATGAGCCAGACCAATGGATGCAGCAGGACCTTTCATTTGACACTAACACTGGCTACGAATTCCAGCCATTTCCTTTAGACATTGGTGATTCGGAATGGTCGCAGTGGACAAATTCTGAGTCACACCTCGTAACATCCTCTGATGCAGAACCTGAACCTCAAGATCGCAATGGTGTAAAGGTTTCAGGAAGCATATATGATACTGCTCCGCCTCTAGCAGGGGAATATGTTGACCCATCCTTATCACAACCAAGCCTCACCAATGTGTCACAGTGGCTCGATGGGGCATATCGGCCTCCTGTATCATGTGCCCATTGTCGCAGACATCGGCTACAATGTCTGATAATTCGCACTGGGCCCGCCAATCCAAATCCCAAAAATTCCTGTTCAAGCTGCGTAGCCCTTTTTCGGGAATGCAGCTTAGCAAAGGGAGAGAAACGCCTCCCGTCGGGCTTTGAAACTTTTTCTCCGGTCTTGGGCCATCTCCACGGTGTACCGGAAAATGGAAACCCATTAGCCGCTATCAGTATCGACAATGGCGATGAACGAAAAGAACCTAAACAGTTCCTCAGAAAAGGGGCTAGAATTCTCCGCGAGTGGTTCTATCAGAATCAAGAATATCCTTATCCAACAGATGCACAAAAAGATCAGCTGGCCCACGAGACTGGCTTTTCTCAAAAGCGCATATCAACATGGTTTGCAAACGCCCGCCGCCGCCAGAAGCAAAAGGCCCAGGCTGCGGGACTCTCTTCAACATCCCGCACCCGCTCAGGTTCCCCCATGGTTACCAGCACGTTGTCTTCCCTAACTCCCATGGAGCGATGGCAGGCTTCCCCGCCAGAAGATGAACCTGTCCCAGAACTGGCAATCCAAAATGCTATTGCCTCTGGCTCGATGGAGTCGTACGACAGTATTGACCCGTTCCAGCTCGATGGGTCTTCCATGGATCTCTTCAATTTCGACGAAAGCTCATCGCATTTGGCGTCCTCAGTGTCAAGCATTGGGAGCAAGTTATCCGAGACATCTGGTAGCACATCTTCAGCGTGGAGCTATCATTCCTCAGCGGATATGGGGTTGTCGTTTCCACTGCCTCCAAAACAAACTAAACCCAAACGTATTCGAGGAAGGCAGCGAGCAGCAGTAGACTATCATTACCAGTGCACATTCTGCACGCAGTCTTTCAAGAAGAAACACGACTGGGCCCGCCACGAGAAAAGTGTCCATATCACCCTTGACTCCTGGGTCTGTACTCCAAATCTCAATGACGTCCAACAAGCGTTCGAACTCCAGTCTTCTGAATGCTCTTTCTGCGACGTGCTTTTCCCAACGCCCGCCCATTGGGAAGAACATGAATTCCACATCTGTGCCGATAAGCCTGCTCAAGAGCGATCATTTAGTCGAAAGGATTATCTATGGCAGCATCTGCGCAAATTCCACAGTTGCACGAAAACACCCGTGACTGACCTCGAAGCCTGGCGTGGATCGGGAGTCAATGTTGAAAGCCGTTGTGGATTCTGTGGATGTTCACTGTCCACCTGGTCAGCTCGGGCAGAGCATCTGGCGGCTCATTTCAAGAAGGGTTCTCGTATGGATCAATGGGAAGGCGATTGGGGCCTGGATGCATCTGCCTTAAGTGTTTTACGCAACGCTATCCCACCATCTCAGCGGGTCGTGGTAAACATGCCTGCTTAGCGTTGACCAAAAGTGGTATACGAATAATGAAATAATGATCACATAATACATGCCATTGAAATGCTCATACCGCGCTGATCGTTAAATAAACTATATGCTCAAGATATGCCATTATGCCGTAGTCTGCCATTCGCGATTGTACCAAGTCCCCATGCCCAGCATAAACAACAGGAGGCTACCATCCCTGACGACGTCTCTGAAAAGCTGCACGGCCAATCCCATCCCACCAGACTTCCCACCAAGCAACACCTTACTACCAGTCAACAGCAACTCGCCCGTCACAAAGATCGCAAAGGGATTCTGTGCCGTCGCAGGTTTTGGCGGGGGACTACCGAACAACGCGACCGAACTCCCAATAATGAAGAGTAGGTAAAAAGCAACCGACAAAGCAAACACAGTGTGCATCGTCTTCCAAATCCGAGCGCGCTTCTGCTCCTCCTCTGTTGGCGGCGTCGCTCCACCCAGCATATTGGCGATGAAAGGCGGCACACCAAGCATTGACGCAATAGCCGCGGGCGAGAATCCGGGTGCCGGTTGGTTCCCTGCAGCTTGGGGTGCTCCAGGTGGTGCATTGGGGTCACCGCCGGGTATAGCACCCATGAGAGAGTTCAGGAGTTTAATGGTGGGGTCTTCCGGGTCACCGGGCGGCTGGCCCTGTCCTTGGTCCTGTCCAACTTGTCTCAACATCGCGCGGAATGCTTCTTGCTGGGCCTCGAGACCGTTTGGTGCTTGCGGGTCAGGGTGCATGCCCTGGCCTGGTTCTGGTGCGGATTGTCGGAGCATTGAGAAGAACGCTTCCTGCTGGGCGCGGATCGCTTCTGGCGACTGCATGTCTGGCTGAGGAGAATTCGAGGGTCGGAATTGGGGGTTTTGCGGTCCTGGGGAGGGAGATGCGGAGATTGAACGCTGGGGTTGGGGGGGATGAGGCTTCCTCGCGCTCTGTTGCAGTTGATTTCAGTTAGCATTGTCTGTGCTGGCATGGCTGACGAAGTGGCATCTGCTTTGCTATCAGGAGCTCCTTGTCCAGTCCCGAGAATGCAGGTTGTATTTCGTACCAGTTTGAGGCGTGCGTCCACTAAGACTGGTAATTTTGTCCAGGCGCGCTGAGCCTCCTTCCTTGATCTTTGCCTCGCGGCGCTCGCGGCGCACTCGGGCGGCTCTTTGTGCTGGTGATTCGTCTGCCATCGTAACTGGATCGTCAAGAAAAGAGATCACAGTTGCTTGGATTATAGAACAACGAGGTGGATGTGCTAGGTAGTAGCGATTACGAGTGGGATGTCGTTTGGTGAAGGTGGTTGATCTGGATGTTGCCGATCAGCCCAGTCCCGTGGCGATAAGAACACCAGCCACAACACTTAATCTACGAGCATCAACGACGACGCCTGGATATCTCCGTTAAAATCGTTCAATTTGTCAATTGATGCTCTCTCTCTACATGTCAGATGTTTGAGTTTGGAGATCTCTTTACAGGAGTATCGGCTTTATGGCCACACACGAATAGTCGACCGCTCATGCGGTCTGTCCTTGACGGTATAAGACTAATAATCTGAAGGTCTTTAGCCCAAGAAGATAATAGGAGTCTTATATGCAGGAAACCTTTGATGTAGTCTTAAATATTCTTTCCATATTTAGTATAAAAACTGCCCGACTCGGGGTAATACTGCGCATGCACAAAGAGCTTTGCTTGATGACTAGGAAAGGTCCTATCCTTCGGTTGCAATTCTGTTGAAACCCAAGGAAAACGTAACAAAATAATTCAGGTATGTTTTTCCTAGTCATAACAATATACAGACATCTATATTCAATAACAAAAGTCCTGCACAAGTTGAGTAAACACCTTCTCAAACTGTTGAAGACTCTCAACTTCAACCCATTCCTCCTTGGCATGAAGACCCTCTCCTGCTGGACCATAGACAATGGATGGGATACCAGCAGCACCAAGCAAAGCCGCGTCCGTCCAAAATGGACCGGCCTTAACGGCAGGCTCGCTCCCAAGCACAGCAGAGGCACAAGCAATGGCCTTCTGCACGAACGGATGGTCAGCTGCCACCTTCTGTGTAGGGCGCGACATGGTGATTCGCGGCTCGGTGTAATTGAAACCAGCCTTTTGCTGAGAAATTTCTTCCAGTAGCGCGCTGATATCTTTTAGAATTGAGTGTTCTGTTTGGGCTGGGACGGTGCGGAATTCGACAGTGATAGTGCACTTGTCCGGGTAAGAGGAAGGCTCTTCGCCACCTCGAATCAAGCCACAATGTAGCGAACCCTGGCCCAGGAGATCGTCTACTGGTAGCTGAGATTGGTACTTTTCTAAAGCCTGCAGGAAGGATCCGGCATACATGATGGCATCTTCTCCTGATACAGGGTCGGACCCGTGTGCAGCAACTCCCAGGATGTCGACTTCCACCCACATAAATCCTTTGTGGGCAGTGAATATCACGCCTTGGGTTGGCTCGGGAAGCACAGCGGCATCAGCACGCCAGCCAGCCTCGATGATATCCCGAGTCCCTTGTGAGGCATCTTCTTCGTCCGAAACTGCAGCCACAATGAGATTACCCCGAGGTATGCAGCCGCTAGCTTTAGTTGCTGCAAGGGCAGCCAATCCTGCAGCCAGACCTCCCTTCATGTCGAGGCAACCCCGGCCAAAGACAACTTCTTTGCCATTCTTGGTTCCAATAGACCCGGACAGGGGATCTGCCTCATAGCTGGAGAGGCTGACGGTGTCTGTGTGGCCATTGAACATGAGAGACTTGCCATCTCCGCTACCTCTCAATACTCCGACAATAGATGGTCGTCCAGCGACCTTCTCAATCCAATGATATTCAATGTCTCGATGGGCAAACCAGGCGGCGAGATAGTTTGCAATTTCAGTCTCGCCCACTCCATCTGTTACAGACAAGGTCGGGTTGGAAGAATTGATTTGAGTAAGAGTTTGAGTTAAGCCCACGACATCCTCAACAGAGACATCTTTTGGAACTGAGTACTCACGCGCACCCTCTGTGCTGAGAAGAATGACCACAGAATCCTTGTTTAGAAGTGACGTAGCTTCCTTTGATGTAGCCAGTCGTCGCAGTGCAGCCAACGATGCACCTCCACATGGCCCAGCTGCCACAGATTTCGAAGTCAGATACTGCACAGCGCAGTGGCTCTCATAGGACGAGACGGTAACGCAGGCATCAAGCAAACGCTGCATATCCGGCCAGGCAGTAGAAGATACTGTGCCGCAGTCCATACCATCCATGATAGTGGAAGAAGTTTGAATGGTAACCAGCTTTCCAACAGCCAAGCTAGAAGATAGACATGCAGCTGTGTCAGGCTCGACAGCGACTACAGACATAGGTGTGCTCTGCGACTTGCAATGCTTCGCAACCGCATGTGCAAGGCTGCCCACACCAGCCGGTGTGATCACCACACTACCCGATAGACCTAACCGAGAAAGTTCATTCTGAACTTCATGCATCATGGTAGAGTATCCCTCCACAATCCACGCAGGAACATCCTCATACCCCTCAAATGCGGTATCCTGGATGAGAAGTACACCCTGTCCCGCACGGGTCTCATCAACAGCCTCCTGCACCGCCCGATCATAATCACCCTGGACGACCATTAAACGAGCGCCCTCCCCAGCGATGAGATCCCGAGTCCACTGGTTCAAAGACCGAGGAACGAAAATCCGCGCCTCAATACCGAGGAGGCGAGCCATGAATGCAACTGCCCGTCCATGGTTCCCCATCGACGCCGTCGTCAAAACAATTGAGGCTTCTTTGGCTCGGTTTGAAAGTTCATCGAGCGAGACCGTAGACGGCAGACCGAGTTGCGCCGCAATCGCTCGGAAACAGCCCCATGACGCACCTAAAACTTTGAATGATGGTAGCCCGAACCGGTTGCTCTCATCTTTCACAAAGACTTTACCAACACCTAGCTCGGCTGCAAGCTCTGGGAGTTGGACTAGTGGAGTTGGCGCATAGTTGGGGAAGGATTGGTGGAATGCTGCTAGGCCTGCGATTTGCGGGGAAGCATTGTGCTCATTTGCTGCCGCAGGGTTGAAGTAGATCGACCGTCGTGATGACATGTTATGCCTTTGTATATTCTCAATTGATCTGTGCGCAATGCAGACACTTTATTGTCGTGCCATTTCTGATAACTTGAGCCTTCTAAAGACATCGCGCCTTCTGACGACATGTCGAGTGGGGACTCCGCCTTCTCATGACACTACACATTTTTGGCATTTGATGAGTGCTTTTTCGGACATTTAGTCTGTTTAGTCCATTGGGCAGGATTCTACCTTGGATTCGGCACTAGCGCTTGTATGCGGGTTGGTAGAAATGTTCAACAGGCATAGTGTGGAGTTTATTGTTTCTTATATTTCTAGATATTCATTTTTTGTATGATGGGGGATACTTTAAAGCAAAATTTATATGATCATATAGCCCATCCAAATCTAGCTACGATTCAATGCCAATGGAGCCAGAAATTTTGCCTAATTTTGCCCTTCGGCCTGTAGCCGGAATTGATCGTAATGAACAACAGCTTCAAGAAGAACTTGCGTACCGAGAGCACTGCGACTGTCAGATTTTGAACGATCTCCAAAAAAAATGAGAGGCACTTACCAATCCTGTGGGCTGCAGTATTCTGTTGGGTGGTGGCTCACACCATCCCGGCAAGGGACAAAGATCATCGCAGAGGGACAGTGCTTGCTAGTATAGACAGTATCATGACCGGCGCCACTGGTCATGAGCATGGATTTCTCACGGCCAACCAGCTGGTCCGCCGCGGCCTGGATAGACGCCACGCAGTTGTCGTCGAACTGGACAGCCGGAGAGTCCGTATCCAACGTCCAGTCAAAGGACACACCCTTTCCATCTTGCGATGCGATAGCCTCAAACGCCTTCAGACATTCGTCCTGCACAGCGTGTACGACACTATCCTGCGGATGTCGGATATCAAGAGTGAAAGTTACTTGAGAAGAGACAGTATTTGTAGACGCGTTCGATGGAACTCGAATGATACCAGTTGAGGCCAGTGCGTCATGTCGCTTAGCAATATCATGTGAAGCGGCAATCATCCTAGACGATGCAAGCAATGGATCTTGACGGGCACTAAAAGGCGTCGTTCCGGTGTGAGCATCCTTTCCGTGAACGGTCATAGTCAACCATCTGTATCCCTGGGCACCCTGAACAACACCGATTGAGCGGTTGTTTCCTGGGAGAATTGGGCCCTGTTCAATGTGTAGCTCGAAATGAGCTCCGAGTGGGTATCCGGTTGCCGGGTCGCTAGAACAAGCAATGTCGCCCAGATATCCATGTCTTTCAAGCTCGGAGCGGAGAGTCACACTGGGATCGTGAATGTCGCGCAGGTCCCAAGCTTTTTGGATTGGGATGGCACCTGCCCAAACACCCGAGGAACACATTGATTTGGGAAATCGCGCACCTTCCTCACTGTAGATTCGTGGTTAAAAGTCTTAAATGGCAGGTACGACGGAGCAAATTTTGGTGCTTACTTGGTCCAGTTGACCACTCCGACATCATAGTTAGTCTGAAACCCGCTTTCCTTCATCGTCCGGAGGATCTCAAGCGCAGCCATAATACCGAGGATGCCATCATACCGACCCCCCCGAGGCTGAGTGTCGAGGTGACTTCCCATTGCTATCATTGGGGCAGCCGAGTTCAACCGGCCTGATTGCCGCGCAAACATATTTCCCATCTGGTCCACAGAAAGAGAGCAACCCAGCTTCTGGACTTCGGCGGCGAACCATCGACGAACACGAGCATCATCATCATTGAGTGTCAGACGGGCCATCCCTGTGTCTGTTGGGTTTCTGTTATGCCGTTAGATTGTATTCAACACATGACGGGCAAATTGGTACCTACTCGCCATAGCGATGCTCAGCACCCCATTCACAAGTCGCGTGTAGCGTGTTCCATAAGCGCTCCGAATTGATCTTGAGACCTGATGGTGCTTGTAGGCGCGTGGCAGTAGAGAACCGCCGTGCATTGGAATGCAGGGCGCGTGTTGCACCTTTTGTGCCGTACATCTTGCGGACAAAGTGACAATGGCCAACCAGCTGGTCTATTAAAATGATGTATGTGCGAGCAGACGGCGGGAGCTGGAGAACTGAAATATATATTTTTCAAAAATCGTCTTGAAGCCCAAGACTACTCGCCTATCTACTGTGACAGCGCCTTCTCGCAACAGGTGTGGATACGGTCGCAGCAATGATCAAAATGGCGAGCCAGGTATTTTGACTGGATACTTGAAGGACGAATGACAAAATTTGAGGCTATTGGTTCTTAGGTTAACGGCTCGGGAGCGACGCCTTCCCGCAACATCTGCCAACCCTAGATTTTTCAGAGCAATTAACCCTATTAAGCCCACGAACTCGAAGGAATCAGACATGCCAGAAAGGCGAAATGCAGACGAAACATATCTTGGCCTTTTTCTAAAACAAAATCTTCCCCTTTTGTTCACATTAAATTCGTACTGGTGCGGACTCGGGGATGGGACTAGCGTTTATACAACCACACCACACCGCTATAGACCCTAGAATGATCTTCGAGTCAACATGCATAAGTTTAATAAACCGTATATTTGAGGATACTCAGAACAATCAAAAGCAGGGATATTCCAGTAAATGATTCTTGGAAACCCTTTGTAGCCTGGTTTTTCCGCCTTTACCCTGATCACACGAGTTAGTCAATATACAACAGCGCCTGTGTACTCAGGCATTATCGCTAACTTCCCGAATTTCTTGACGGCTCCTAGAACCTGAGGGATGATCACCCTTTCCACATCTCGAAATAAGCTATTCGCTATTCTCTATTCGCCGTAAGTCATAGCAAGCTGCAGGTCCAAGTACATTTTTTATTTTGTTTAAGTCTTCCAGAAGGTGGGGTCAATGATCTGCTTACCCCACTCGAATCATTGAAAGATTGGAAAAGCTTCAAGTCTGTCTATAACGGACTATATTGAGCAATTGAGGCCGAAAAAGGCCGTACGATCGACATGAGTAGAATAAAACGGCGCACACAGTACTGAGGGCATCTAAAAACTATGTGAACAAGCAGTGATCTAGCGTTAGATTCTTTGTGTTGGGAACTTTGTCGCAACAGCCTCTAACTTCATGATATTTCGAGTCATCTGGGCCCGTGAAAGTTATGCAATCTTGTGGGCCGTTCGTCTAGGTAAATGTAACGACAGACAAGGGTAGCCGCATGATGGATTTGGCGCTTGTATTATTGTAAAGGAGCCGTACAGGAGCTTGACGCGTAATATATTCTCAACAGATTATATATTCAGGTTCTTTCCCCAGGGTGGAATTGGAATTTGCTATGGTCATTTTGTTGGGGACAATATCGAGTACAGATGGAATTAACACGGCGTTTTCTCGGTCCTCTTTCACTCTGGCTCGTCCCACAATAATCTTTGTTATGGAGAATTCCACTGTGCTCATTGGATAGTTGGGAATTCCCCTCCCGTTATAATTCAACGATCGTACTACTGTAAATAGTACAAAATACCGTTTGATACCCCGTCGGATCCCCCGGTGTAGCATATAGGTCTCGGGTGTGGGCTGGATCATCCCTCTTTTTTCTGTTGGGAAACGAGTGGGAAAAGGTGGAGTTGAAACAATATTGTCTGTAGAGCAGCACTGTGTTCACAAGGTGCTGCTCACGTTCATTTCGTATTTCACATTCCAGTGATCTTCCTGGTGCAGTAACAACATAGAGGGACGAAGATCCTATGTAATGTACGATGCATACTACCTGAGACTACCACCGGTAGGAAATACTAAGAAATCTGATCAACTCCCCTTGAACTGTTTCACATTGAAAAGATCATTTCTATAGTGGAACATTTCCACCAATGCAACTTTGTACTGGAAAAAAAAGTACCAGGTAAGATAGAAGAAACCCTGCAAGGAACCCCCCTTTCTGGCCCACACTCCCCACAATACAGGACCAGAAACGTAACGTGAGAAAAATGATAAGATGGGAAATTAAAGGTGGTAAATACAGTAAATAGTGGACCCATAAGGCTCTCATATCGACTATATTGGATATCGAGATATGTACCTATTGTAGTATACCGTGGGCGACTACCTTAGGGTGTTTGTGATCTCAGTATAAAGTTCTAAACTATTATGATCAACAGATCAACATCATACCGAAGGACACGGGGTCCCTAGTGGTTGTAGCTGACTCATCCCCGCAGTTGACTCCGGGAATCCTGTCCCGAGGTCTGAGGCGATGGCGAACTAACTTATGGGGGATGTTCGGTCCGAAACTGCCTTGACATCATTGCATCATAGTATGACATGCATTCAAACCGAATTCCAACATAGCCGGTAAAATATGGGGGGATACAAATGATCCTATGCATGTACAGAGCACTCTGTACGGAGACCTCAGATGTGTGATACTGGCACGACAAGGCCATTTGATTCAGAAGGGGCTCGAGCATACGCTTGTATCTCTGAATATCTGACTTGCAGGTCTCCTGTGGCCCGCCCTCCCCTGGCCCGCGACTATCCCCGGACCTTGGCCCTTGGCTAAGCCAAGAGTATCATCCTCCGCCTATTGGACTCGGACAAAGGGTTCAGTGCGGCACACCTAGGATGTGGCCGGTTGAACTAGCGTTTCTTTCCGACATGAAACGCCCCAATAGGATGACGGGCATGATCTTAGTCAAAATATTCGGAGGGGCAGCTTACCCCGGAGCAACGGAAGGAATGCCAACCCCCGCATGGCCGAATCCAAACTTATATGTTAATACTTGTAATGCGATGGAGGAGTATGTTTGGATTGGATTGTATTGAGATTGTATCTCATAGGCTCTGATTCAAAGGTGGATAAGATGCATATGTTCATACATTCGATGTAGGCTAGATAGAGTGGTATTTGGGGTATTTTATTGTAAGTGCACGGACCACGGGACATGGAAGGGCCAAAGAAATGGAAGTGGCACATCCACCCGGGAAAGCTGGACTACTAATATTGTCGTGAATCCCCTGGATCTTCTCTTCTTTTTTTCTCTCTCTCTCTAATTACTATAACGGGTTGCTCATAACACTTTATAACTTATAATCCTCAAGAGTAAGTTCCCATTATCTGCATTCTACAAAGAGCTCATCCCACCTTGCTCTAATTTTCCTATTCCGGACCTTTCGCAACTCATTTCTGACTCCGATCTCGCACAGAATTTGCCGTACACTCCTGCATTGATCAATCCTATTGGACCCTGGAATCATGTCGGACGGCCCTATTACGCCTCCCAAGCCTGCAGTGGTACGCATCATCTAGCTCTTAACTGGGATCATCAGACCCCGCCTAGCTCTGTTGACCGCAGCACCATGGGCCAAGCTAACAGTTGGTAATGTAGGTGCACGAAGCACACGAGGTCGATACTTTCCACGTCCCCAAGGCATTCCATGACAAGCACCCCACCGGCACCCACATTAAGGATATCGACGAGTACAAGAAGCTTTATGAAGAATCAATCAAGAGCCCCGATACTTTCTGGGCCCGCATGGCCCGCGAACTCCTCACATTCGACAAAGATTTCGAAACCACACACCACGGTTCCTTCGAGAACGGCGACAATGCCTGGTTCGTCGAAGGTCGCTTGAACGCATCTTTTAACTGCGTCGATCGCCATGCCCTGAAGAACCCCGATAAGGTTGCCATTATTTATGAGGCCGATGAGCCCAATGAAGGTCGCAAGATTACCTACGGAGAGCTTATGCGCGAGGTGTCTCGGGTCGCCTGGACTCTCAAAGAGCGTGGTGTCAAGAAGGGTGACACGGTCGGCATCTACCTCCCCATGATTCCCGAGGCCGTGATCGCTTTCCTAGCTTGCTCGCGTATTGGTGCCGTGCACTCCGTTGTCTTTGCTGGCTTCTCCTCCGACTCCCTCCGGGATCGTGTCTTGGACGCCTCCTCCAAGGTCGTTATTACCTCCGACGAGGGAAAGCGCGGTGGCAAGATCATCGGCACTAAGAAGATTGTCGACGAGGCTATGAAGCAGTGCCCCGATGTGCACACCGTGCTGGTGTATAAGCGCACCGGTGCCGAGGTGCCCTGGACCGCTGGCCGTGATATTTGGTGGCACGAGGAGGTCGAGAAGTACCCCAACTACCTCGCCCCTGAGCCGGTCAACTCCGAGGACCCTCTCTTCTTGCTCTACACTTCCGGTTCAACCGGCAAGCCCAAGGGTGTTATGCACACCACTGCGGGCTACTTGCTCGGTGCTGCCATGACTGGAAAGTACGTTTTCGATATCCACGATGATGATCGCTACTTCTGCGGCGGTGATGTCGGTTGGATTACTGGTCACACCTATGTCGTGTACGCCCCTCTATTGCTTGGCTGTGCCACCGTTGTGTTCGAGAGCACACCCGCCTACCCTAACTTCTCCCGCTACTGGGATGTCATTGACAAGCACGACGTCACACAATTCTATGTTGCACCCACCGCCCTGCGTCTGTTGAAGCGCGCTGGAGATGAGCACATTCACCACAAGATGCACAGTCTGCGTATTCTTGGCTCAGTTGGAGAACCTATTGCTGCGGAAGTCTGGAAGTGGTACTTCGAGTCTGTCGGCAAGGAGGAAGCTCACATTTGCGACGTTGGTTTTATCTTCCCTTGAACCTATTGGAATAATCTCTTAACGTTTGAAATCTACAGACATACTGGCAAACCGAGACCGGCTCAAACGTCATCACCCCTCTCGGTGGTATTACCCCCACAAAGCCCGGCAGTGCTTCCCTCCCCTTCTTCGGTATCGAGCCTGCCATTATTGACCCCGTCTCTGGAGAGGAGATTCTTGGCAATGATGTCGAGGGTGTTTTGGCCTTCAAGCAGCCGTGGCCCAGCATGGCCCGCACCGTGTGGGGTGCCCACAAGCGTTATATGGACACTTACTTGAATGTGTACAAGGGTTACTACGTAAGACGCTTCACGGCCTGACTTCATGAGATTGATACTAATCCAGAAACAGTTCACTGGAGATGGTGCCGGCCGTGACCACGACGGCTACTACTGGATCCGCGGTCGTGTGGATGATGTCGTCAACGTTTCTGGACATCGTCTGTCCACCGCCGAGATCGAGGCCGCTCTTATCGAGCATCGTAAGTGCACCCATTTCAAAACTGCCAATTGAGCACGAACTAACTGTAAACAGCTGCTGTTGCCGAGGCTGCTGTCGTTGGTATCGCCGACGAGCTGACCGGCCAGGCTGTCAATGCCTTTGTCTCTCTCAAGGAGAACCATCCTACCACAGAGCAGATCAACAAGGATCTTGCCATGCAAGTTCGCAAGTCCATTGGCCCCTTCGCCGCCCCCAAGGCCGTCTTCGTTGTGGATGACCTCCCCAAGACCCGCAGTGGCAAGATCATGCGCCGTATCCTGCGAAAGATCCTCAGTGGCGAGGAGGACAGCCTTGGTGATACATCAACGGTAAGCACAAAGCTTCTCAATGACACAACTCCCCCAGTCGTATACTACGAACAATTGCTGACAAACCTTCTCTTCCAGCTCTCCGATCCCAGTGTCGTGGACAAGATCATCGAAACCGTCCACGTCGCCCGCCGCAAGTAAAGTGAAGGTCTATGAATTTGATGATAATGACGTTGGAAAGTAAAATTCCTGGCGAGACTCTTGGAAGTAGCACGATGGTCCTCCGCGGATCATACGCCCCTGACTTCGGTCTAGTCGATTCATGGCGGATTTAGACTTGATCGTGCAGGTTGTTTTCTTTTATTTTCTTTATTTTTTTCCGGCCGGTTTCAGAATCACTACTTGTACTTGAGATTCCCTTGGCTCGCTCAGAAGCGATGTGAATAGTATTTTTTTGGCGCTTCATATATTTTTTTATGGACGTTCTTTTGGAGTTGGGTGCATGTTTACCGGGGATCAATCTCGATCCGAAGCATTTGTCTGATGCGTAGCCAAAGTCCAAAAAAAATATCCCGAAAAAGAGAGAGTATGCTATAGCTTAATTTTCCAAATGGTCTTTGCTCTTCATTGAATAAAGTAGCAGACATCACCCTTGTGTCGAATTCTGTGTTTCCCACTTAATGTAGAGCGGTATAAGTCACATCATCGTCCACGCATCCACGCATGTATTGACTATTGTATGTCTATTGGTCTAGTCAAGGCTTCTTTTCTGATATCAAGTATGACCTACCCAATAGTATGAATTTCTTATGTGACTTGCCTCGGACGAACCTGGGTATGCCGTGTATCATTAGTTTATGTCCAATGGGGTGCTACCTACCCACATCGTCCTGACTCTCAGTGGATGGAGTCGACATGGTGTTATGCACATACTATTACACATGTAGTACATAGTACTCGTCGTGTGTTTGTACCGTAAATATCCTCTGCGGTATCTCAACTCGGCTAATGAGTTCAAGCCATAGGGCCGGCTTGCGATTTCTTACCCAGAATACGAATCTCGTAGGAAACAAAAATTCCATTTTGTTTTTCATAGGTGCGGTACAATTTCTTGGTGACTTGTTTCGTATATTAGTAGTCCTTGAGAGGTCTAGAAGACTGCATGTAAAAAAAAATGGCCAATAGAAACGCTGTTTTATAGTATCTGGATGTAGGCATAACCTTGGAAGCCTCCGGCGCGTGGCCGTCCGGCGGTATATGGTCTCGAACTGCATGAGACCAGCTGATATGCGCACGTGGCTATAATTACTCTTGATTTTGAGGTTGACGACTATACAGAGCTATGATACCAACCATAGAATACTCGAATATACTACCGCTTATGGGTTACTAAACATAAACGGGCCCAGAACACTCCATCTACGTTTCTTCTGTGGTAGAAATCAATCACGTCGATATAGACGTGGGAAGTAAGATTTGGGTCGAAATTTTGTAGGCAAAACTCACATCGAGGATATCTTAGAAATGAAGGATAGCAGTGATGACAAACAACAAACAGAACAAATGCTTTTAGAGAGGAGGCTAGGCTACAGAGTAGGCTCAAGTAGATGAGTATACATCAATGGAGGGTGTTTTACTTCCGAATCACTTGTGACTGACCATGCTGGTCAACCAATGAAATATCTTGCCTAGAGCTGCACTGAGCATCAATGAGTCACTTATCACTAAACAGACCGAAGACAAGTCTATTGTCCTTGGTTTGCACCGCATTCATTAGAGACGTCCGATTTAGGCAGCTATCACGTGACGGAGCGTTGTGTCCCGGACCTTACCTAACACAAGTCTCCAGCCCTGAAGCAAACTTATCTCTTCCTTTTCTGTCGCGTCTTCTCCCTCTTTTCTCCATCCCGCGCACTCCTGCTCGCAATTCTTCTTCTATTAATCTGCACTCTCTTGAAACTGCGCGCAATCAACCTATGACTTCGTGAACACCCGACAAACTCCAACCGACATCATGTCTTTCGGATTTGGAGGGTTCGGCCAGAACAACCAAAGCAGCGGCTTTGGCACTGGCACTGGCTCTGCTTTCGGAGCAGGCGCCAACACTGGTGGAGGTAGGTCCTTTCTATTTCTTTCTCCAAATCTCCCATGTCTTTCCACCTATCCCCATGTTTCATCCTGCTCGTGTCCTCGGCTTTTCCCTATCTCGACAACCGGTGCTCCTGATTCCGACCCGCGATGGTGCCACGCGCAAGGCGAAAAAAAAACACCAACATAAGAACCTTCGCCGTGCGATCGAATATCATCTGCGGACAATTTGGATGCATTAGCGACACCACAACAAGATAAGGAATGCAAGGGCTTCTTCGAATCCAAGTCTCTCTGACCGCGATCCCCTCCGTCATCTAGGCTTTGGCTCGACAGCTTCCCCGTTCGGAGGTGCTACTGGCACTTCAGGTGCCTTCGGCGGTGGCGCTTCCAACACATCTACTGGCTTCGGATCTGGTTCCGGCACTGGCGGAGGTACGTGCTCAAACATCTGAGCTCTCTCGATTTTCCCTGGCGAGATCCCCGTCGCATCACACGACCTTGTGGTTCTGACGCTCCTACACCAATTACGCACCCCACTTTGAGTTTGGTCTTCCGTCCTCCCCCTGGAATGACTCTTGTGGGCCCTCCCCTGGAATTGCCACTAAACTGCGATTTGCGCACATTTTGGCCGACAGTGCACCCGAGGACCTTTTTTTGTTCAACTTGCACTTTTTTGATCGCTTCATTGAAGGTTTGAATGTGTTTGCTAACGTTTACTTGTCACTAGGATTCGGAACTACTCCAGCACAGCAACCTAATTCCCTTTTCGGCGGCCAAACTCGCCCTGGTGGATTCGGCACCACCAATACTTCTAACAGCGGATCTCTCTTCGGAGGCACTCAGACTGCTGGCACCACAGGTGGCTTTGGTACTGGTGGAGGATTTGGTTCCACCGGCACCACGGGCGGTTTTGGCGCTAATGCCAGTGCAGCTCCCACGGGTGGAAGCCTTTTCGGTAGTGCTAAGCCTACAGGCTTTGGCTCTTCAGCTACAGGCACTAGCGGATTCGGCACTAGTGGTGGCTTCGGATCTACTGCTGCTTCCACCACAACCCCCAGCACAGGCTTTGGCTCAGGTACTGCCTTCCAAGGAGCTCTACCTACCTGCGAAGGTACTGGCAGCACCCCGTTCACTCCATGGACCGAGAAGGATACCAGCTCAGCCAACACCACGAACCACTATCAAAGCATCTGCTTTATGCAACCCTACAATAAATGGTCTTTCGAGGAGCTGCGCCTAGCGGATTACCAACAAGGTCGCCGCTTCGGCAATGGCAGTGGACAAGCTGGTGGTTTTGGCGCTCCTGCTTTCGGTGGCGCCACTACTGGTGGATTCGGTCAGCAAAACACTACAGCTACTCCTGGTGGCTTTGGCGCTAGCACCACTCCATTCGGAGGGGCTGCCACGAGTGCGCCATCTGGTTTCGGTTCGACCCAGACCGCAGGAGGATTCGGCTCCACTGGTACTAACCCATTGTTCGGCGGAGCAGCCAAACCAGCAACTTCCCTTTTCGGTGGTGGAACTACTCCTGCAGCTTCTTCGGGATCTCTCTTTGGCGGAGCCACACAGACTACCGGTGGCTTTGGAAGCAACACCGGTACAGGAACCGGATCAGCTTTCGGCAACACCGGAGGGTCCATGTTCGGTGCCAACAACCAGCAACAAAACAAGCCTGCATTTGGTGCACCCGCAACAACCGGCGGTAGCGCCTTTGGTGGTTTCGGCAATACTCAAACAACTACTGCCGCCAATCCGTTCGGAGCTTCGACTGCCACAGCCTCGCCCTTTGGTGGCGGTACTCAGCAGCAAACCCCAAGTGCCTTCGGTGGTTTCGGTGGTGCAACCCAACAGAACCAGGCTCAACCCCAAACTAAGTCATTGTTTGGCGGCGGTGGATTTGGCGCGGGCACCCAGCAACAGGGAACTGGCACAGGTTTGCTCGGCGGCGGCGCTGGCACTACTCCAGCCACTGGATCTTCACTCTTCGGAGGAACCCAGCAGCAACCCCAGCAGCAAGGAGGTAGCTCACTCTTCGGTGGTCAAAACCAGCAAGCTGGTACCGGCAGTTCCCTATTTGGCGGTGCACAGAATCAGCAGCAACAAAAGCCGGGTGGTCTCTTTGGATCTACCCCAGCTCCTGCCGCAGGTGGTTTCTCTGGCTTCGGTGCCTCGCAGCCCCAGCCAGCCGCTGGAGGTAGTAGCTTGTTCAACACACAGAACCAACAACAGCAGAAGCCCGGTGGCCTCTTTGGCTCGACTACAGGAACCGGTGGCGGTATGTTCGGCGGTGGTCAAACCACCACAGGCCAGGGCGCCGGCTCTTCGCTCTTCGGTGGTCAAACCCAGCAACCACAGGCCGGTGGCCTAGGCGTTAGTTCTTTCGGCGCCTCTACGCCCGGACAACAGTCTCAGCCTGCCCCTGGTAGCTTCCAGGCGTCCCTCCTTGATGGAAATCCGTATGGAAGCCAGTCCATTTTCTCTGGTCTTCCTGCCCCTGGTGGATCGACTCCTGGTCCCCTTGCTACGCCACTGTCTTCCAGCATAAAGCAAAAGCAGCGAACCCCATTGCCGGTCTACAGGATCACTCCCAACGCTGCCAATCGCCTCATTACCCCTCCCAAGCGAGGATACGGTTTCTCTTACTCTACCTATGGCTCGCCATCTGGCAACACAGGTACCTCATCCGGTCTTGGTAGCAGTTTGTTGGGTGCTGGTGGCGGCAGTAACAGCCTCCGCGCCAGCTTCAATGGCAGCATCGGTCGTACCTTCAGCAAGAGTTACTCTACCAGCAACCTCAGCAAGAGCTTCGATCCAGAGTCGGACAGCATCCTTTCTCCCGGTGCCCTGCAGGCCGGCAGCGCACGTGGTAACAGCAACTTGAAGCGTCTCACTATCAATCGGGGTCTCAGAAATGAAATACTCTCGACCTCCGCTCGCACTTCCCCTGCCCCTCTTCTTACCAATGGAGAAGACGCCACTCAGTCTGCCGACAAGCTGAGGAAGAAGGTCAGCTTTGACGCTACTACTTCCGGTGTTAACGGCGGAGAACTTGTTCGCGTTGAACCTAGGAGTCCCGAGCCGTCCGCTGAGGAGCTTGGCTTCCTTCGATCTGTGCGCAAGAGTGGTAGCCTCAATGGTTTCGATACTGCTAGTACTACCGATCGTTCTGAGGAGTCTGACCGCCGTGACCTCGCTGCTGTCCCCGAACGCGCACCACAAACCACCAACGGTGCTACCGTCAAGCGCCTTACCTTCATCCCCGGGGGTGATCCTAGGCCTGGTGAGTACTGGATGCAACCTTCTCGCGCTGAGCTTAGCCGATTGAACCGCGACCAACTCAAGCAAGTCGTCGACTTCACCGTTGGACGTCAGAACTGTGGATCTGTCACTTTCAATGGCCCTGTTGATCTGACTACCGTTGACCTGGACAACCTTTACACCAATATTGTGGATATTGGTCTTCGCAAGATTACTGTCTACCCCGACGAGTCGGTCAAACCTGCCAGGGGCAAAGGACTGAACGTACCATCTACCCTGCGGATTGAGAACTCCTGGCCTCGTGGTAGAGATAAGAAGAGCAACTCGCCTGTCACTAGCGGTCCTCTGTTCGACAAACACATTGATCGTTTGCAGAAGGTGGGCGATACTGAGTTCGTTAATTACGAGACTGAGACTGGCACCTGGGTTTTCAAGGTGCCTCATTTCACTACATATGGCCTGGACTATGATGAAGAGGAAGGTGAGAGTCTTGACCAGAGCACCATGAGTGCCCAGGGACCTGACCACCCTACCCCCAGGGCTCACTTTGACCACCCCGCGAGTTTCGACCAGTCCACCAATTTCGATCAGTCCACTACCTTCTCCATCGACGAGTCATTCGTCGGTTCTATGATTGGTGTTGAAGATGATACTTTCGATTTTAAGAAACGCAAGCTTGTTCCTGGCTCTTTCGCTAGTCAGGCCATGCCTGTGGAGAACGATTATTTTTCTGAGGGTGAAACCGAGTCTTTTTTAGAGGAAGGCTCCACGGGTTCAACTACTGAGAATGACGATGACGTCGTCACCGAGAGCCAACAGTCTGGCGATTCGGTAGTTGGATCAGATGAGGCAGATGAAATGGATATGGCGGGTGCCTTTCCGACTCCTCATCGCACCGTGGAGCGGGACGACTACCAGAGCACCAATGGTGACCTGGATACCACTTACCCTATCTCAAAACACTTCGGCAGTCCTGCAAAGCCTCAGCTCGATCTTAGTGGCGATTGGGCCGAGCAGCTGCAGCGCACCATTAGCCCTCGCAAGCAAAACCGTGATGCCTTGCGTGAAATGCAGGCAAACGCGTTCATCGATCGCAACCTCGTGGAGGACGAGTCCCCCACAACCATCGCGACAGCCCCTCCCAAGAAAGGTTTCTCGAACAGCATTGATCTTATGAACTCCTTGTTCCAGCAGCCGCGCAAGCAAGTTGCCTCTTCTCCGCTAAAGGCTCCTAAGGCACCCCCAAAGGGCTTTGAGGTTAGAACTCCCTGCTTATGTTCACACTGATTATCATTCCCTTTGTTTTTCCCCCTGTGTCATTGTATCATGTATCTATGAAATTGCACATCACCCATCAGATAGTTCAACAATGATAACCTGAGCTAAAACTTTTTCTCTTCCTTGCAGTGGCCTTACAACAAACAACCCAAGACGTTTGCTGGCGATGCAACACAAATGAGCGAATCCGATGCCGCTTTCCATGACTCTTTCAAGCCCCGCTGGGGTCCTATGGACTCCCTCATCTGCGCGAAAAACGACATGGATACAATCTTAGGGGTCAACCAGACCTGGAAAGAAAGTTTCTCCATTTTCAGCGAAGAGCGTGACATTGCATTAATGACTTACAACCAATCTGGCGAGGTACGTTCAGTGGCTTTGTTGGTTTTTATATGAACTTGAAACTGATGATGATACAGGCCAGGGAAATGCTCGAGGTCCAACGGCTTCAGTCCTCCATCCAGCGCATCGATGGTGCTCCTTTCGTTCGTATGGCTAAGGTCGACCTATCGCAGTTCCCCCTATCACCTTCTACCCGTTCCCAGTCGGAGGAAGAACGCTTGGTGTGGCAGCTTCTCAACATCCTTTTCAATGACGATATCGAGGACGACATCTCGGCAGGTGTACCGGTGCGACTCCGACAGCAATTTGCGCACCGTATCAAGAAGGATCGACTCACACGTCTTTGGGAGGGAATCATCCGTGAAAAGCACTCTCAGAATCTGGATCTGATCCGCTCCCCCGTGGAGCGCGCCGTTCACTTGATTTGTTCGCACCGAGTGGAGGAAGCGTGCAAGATACTGATCGACAGTCAAAATCCGCACCTGGCCACGGTGGTCGCACAGATTGGCCGCGACGCTACCTCGCGGGCTGACATAGCGAACCAGATCGATGTATGGCGTCAGAGCAACATACTCTCGGAGATGAGTGAACCTGTCCGAGCCCTTTACGAACTGGTTGCAGGAAATGCTCTCCGCAGCGAGGGCAAATCGGGTGGTGCGCTTGAAGACCGGGCCTCCACCTTTGGCTTCACCGAGCGGTTTGATCTAGATTGGTTCCAGGCCTTTGGTCTTCGTTTGTGGTATTGCACTGCTGAGGACGAGCCAATTGAGGTGGCTGTTTTCAAGTTCCTTGAGGACTTGGCCACCGGACATGAACCCGCCTTCCCCTACCCGTCGCACCAGGCCAGTACACGTGCTGTTCCACAGCCTGGCTCTGATACCGTTGGGCGTGAATCTTCTCTTTGGGTTCTGCTTAAGGCCTTCTCGGTGATTCAAGGTCAAAGCGCCCAATCCATTGAATTCCCGGCATCTTTCCTTCCCGAATCCGTCTCTGGTGACCGTCTATCCAACCGACTCTCTTTCCAGCTACACCACGTTCTCGCTGCGACAGTCGGGCAAAACCAGGCCATAAAAATCGACCAACATCAAACTGACCAACTCGTCTGGGATTTCGCTTCTGAACTCAGCGCAGGTGGAAAACTTGACCAAGCACTGTTTGTCCTGTTGCACCTCTCCCAAGCCAAAGACCGCAAGCACGCCGTCCAAGAAACTCTCGCCCGGTTCGCCGCTCAACTGCCCGAGCCCTTCGCTGCCGATGGCTCCTCCCACCCAGCATGGCAATATCTCGTCACTGAGCTCCAGCTTCCCGAGCCCTGGATCTGGGTTGCCAAGGCCCTGCATGCTCGCGACATCGGCGACGCTGCCCGTGAGGTCGATTGTCTTATTCGCGGCAAGCACTGGAACGACGCCCACGCCACATTCTGTCGCATCGTCGGCCCAAGCACCATTATCGAGGGCGACTACCGCACCCTCGAAGCTCTGGTCTCTGGCTTCGGTGACGGACCCGAGCGTAAAATGCGCGGCTGGGCTTCTGGCGGTGGCGTTTACGAAGATTTCCTCCGCCTGGTCAACGCCACCAGCGGCCGTCGTGATCCAACTCGCCTGAACCGCCTGGTGGCTGCTCTTGTTGCAATGGGCGATCGCGTCCAGGGATCTAGCTTGGAAGGATTGGAGGAGCGTGTTGCATTTAAGGAGATGAGCCGGGCTGTTGCCGGCTGGATTACACACGAGGATGTTCACGTTAGTTCCCTCCCTTTTCCATCGATATATTGTTTTATTCATTGCTGACTTCCATGTTTTTACAGTGTGTTGAATCCTCCGCTGTTTTGGGCTTGCCCTTGACAGGCGATGCTCGCGTTTTGCAGACCGCAGAGATGAGCCGTCGGTACTACGGCGTCATCATGGCGGGTGGCCATTAAGTTTGAGACAAGGAAATCTTCCAGTTTGCATATGTTCATTGTGGAATTAGCGGGCACTAACTATCCAAAGCCCAAGCACCCTGATTTTTTTCTTTTGTTTTGCTTTCTTTCTTCCCTCTGTGTTTTGTCCCCCAAATGATTTCAAATGGTTCCCATGACATGTATTGTACTCTACCCTATTGCTGAAAACTACTATTTGAACCAATTCATTCTGTCCTTTTCTTTGTCTGGTGTAGACATTGTAGTATTCTAGAGAATATGTAGTTCGCAGTCATACCCTTGTGGTCACTTACGGCTCCGCTCATTGGTTGTAGCCCTAAGTACGAGCAAAATAGAAGCCATCACGAGTTCCATTGGGTTACGCTGTACTCACATATTCGGATCTTTGTCAAGGGTGGCTTGGTTCATGTGCTCATATATTTGATGCTTGATGTTGTCAAATTTCTACGTATATAACATCTTTCGTGTCTATTACGAGTAAACTGCAGTGACCGGGAGTTGGTTCCCAGCAAGGGTTTGGATGGATCATCAGCGAGCATTGTTCCTGCATTACTCTGGGTTTCTTTAATCAATTTCTTGACTAGGGTTGATTGACGTGTCTCGAGTTGTCGCCTAGACTCACGCTCCTGATTACCCAACTCGGATTCGGTATAATGGAAGACTCTATCCCAGGAATCTCACAGGTCATGTCGCATGTTCCTCGCCCGATCACAACATTGCATCATCCCCAAGGTATTTTGCTCGCTGTGTATGCGCTTTGTAGGGGTTAAAAGAGGTAGAGAAGTTGATACAAAGCGTAACTTTCAATGAGCTCGAGCTGAGAGGGTTCAAAGCTAGGGCTGAACGATGGAATCGGGCATTGTCAACAATGTCTAGTTTATTATGGGTCTTTCACCTGAGCTTTCCCCCTTGAGGGCTTGAGTGAAGTAGTTATGAACCTTAGGCCTGTAATGCTGTCTATTATGGAGAATAATTCACCCTCCCGTTTTCCCATCCAATTCTCGCATTCGCATGTAGTTCAAATTCTGAGCATATCTAGCACGGGGCCAACAGACCGTTGGTAGCAAGTAGGTTGTGGCCACCTCTATGGCCTGTAGTGTGGCCCTCGTATGCGATAGAAGTGTTGTGCGAAGTGTCCGGGGTTGTGCAGAGGGAACGTGTTGTCTGGGAAAGAGCTATGTAGATTCCTCTTCTTTCTCATTCTCTATCTCTCTATCCCTCTACCTCTACCATTCTCATATTTCCCTCTCTCATTTGGTATTTATTTTATCAGGCTATACCTTATTCAGATGGAGCTATACCAGGTCGAAGGAACTCGTGAGGGAGGGACTGTGACTGTACATGGTCCCTTTGAGCACGCCCCAGATCACAGTCTAAGAAGAGTCGACAGCGGATATGGCCCTGGCTTGACTGAAGCTCCTGTCGCAGCTCCTGTCTCAGCCCCAGCAAATTCAATCCCCGAGGCCAACAACGTCCATGATCACCCGGAAGCTGCTGCCGAGAACGGCTCAGGCTCGCCAGCCTCCGAAGCACACGCCGAGGCCACAGAAGCAGCACATGACGATTCTCAGCCATCATTCTCGGCATTTAGCAAATACGAAAAGTTATTCATCGTAGTAATGGTGACTCTTGCCTCGTTCTTCTCCCCTCTTTCCGGTCAAATCTACTACCCCGTCATGCCGATATTGGTACGAAACTACCACCTCACCCCGGAGTTGATCAACCTCACAGTCACAACATATATGATCTTCCAAGGCCTCGCTCCGAGCTTCATGGGCACCTTCGCCGACACAGGGGGCAGACGTCCAGCGTATATCATTGCCTTCGCAGTCTATACCGCTGCAAATATCGGGCTAGCATTGCAGAACAGTTTCGCGGCGCTAATTGTCCTCCGCTGTCTCCAGAGCGCCGGGAGCAGCGGCACTGTGGCCTTTGGATATGGCGTTATCGCAGATATTGCAACAACAGCAGAGCGTGGGAAGTATATCGGGCCTATGGCAGCAGGTGTTATGGTTGCGCCTGCGCTAGGCCCTGTCATCGGTGGTCTTTTGGCCAAATTTCTTGGCTGGCGCAGTGTCTTCTGGTTTCTAGTCATTGTAAGTGGAGGATATCTAGTGTTCTACGTGCTTGTTATGCCAGAAACGGCGCGCAAGATTGTTGGTAATGGTCACGCAGCACCAACTGAGTGGTGGCGCAGGTCGATCATCCAATGGTGGTCGAAGAGACAGGCACAGTCTGACGAGGAAGGAAACACTGGCGCAAAAGGATTCCAGCAGTCCCCGAATACCGAGAGGCTTAGTTTTCCGAACCCTCTCGAGTCCTTACTCATCCTGCTGGAGTGGGATGCCTTGATCATCATCTCATACGTCAGTATTGTGATGTTCTCGAATATAGCCCTGCTCACAAGCACTCCCAATCTCTTTGGTCCCCTGTACGGATTCAACGAGCTTCAGATTGGACTGTGTTTCTTGTAAGTTCCTGTTTTTCCCTTCTTTATCTCTCTGGCTCAGGATTATATTGACCAACACAACTCCTCAGGCCCCTCGGAGTAAGCTCTTGCCTCGGCGCAGTCCTATATGGAAAAGTCATTGACTATAACTACGAGCGAACAGCTCAAAATCTGGGATTCCCAGTGGACCGGAAGAAAGGGGACGACTTGCGCAGTTTCCCGATCGAGCGCGCTCGCCTGCAAACAGTCTTCCCAGTAATGGCCATCGGCGTTGCAGCATTCATCCCATACGGCTGGATCCTGCAGCAAAGAGTACACTTAGCTGCCCCGCTAGTGCTACAGTTTATCATAGGCTTCTGTTTCGTTGCATCCCTTAACTGTCTCAACACACTTCTTGTCGACCTGTTCCCAGATAAGCCTGCCACAGCTGCGTCGGCATGCAATCTTGTTCGCTGTTGCATTGGTGCCGTGGGGGCTGCTGTCATTAGCCAAATGCTGGGTGGCATGGGATGGGGATGGTGTTTTGTCTTCCTTGGTTTGGTTATGGCTGTTGGGATGGGGTTGCTATGGGTTGAGAATGCGTGCGGGATGGGCTGGAGAGAGAAGAGATTTCTCAAGATCGAACGGAAGAAAATGCAGAAAGAGGCGAGAGCTGCTGAGATTCAGATCGAGGGAAAGGCCGATGGGGGAGGGCAGAAGGATATTCACGTTCGAGAATTAGTTGCTGGTGCTGGTGCTGGTGCTGATATCACTGGAGGAACTGATACTCGCTCAAACCAGTGAAGCGAAAGTCAGGAGATCATCGCTCTGGGAATCTAGGGCAGTTGACATTGTTTTTGTCTGTTACCTGTGTCTAGAATTCTTCGCTTTGTGGATACAAGAATAGTCGACCGCCTTGCGGCTTGTGATGTCTGTGAGTAGTCTTTTTCTTACATATCTTCTCTCGCTTATCTGTTTTCCAGCAAAAGCATAGACTATGCAGACAACTTCTTGTGAATGTCATAGAATGGAGAAAATGGGAATATGCTACTTGGGCACGAATGAAGACATCAAATGCATCAAATTTGCTACCGACTGTACAATAAAGGGAAACCTAGGCGCGATAGATGAACACGAGGGGATCGAGCAGAGTAAAGAAAAGAGAAACGCCACCCTCCCTAGCCGGACCAGGCAAGCAAGAAACAAGAAAAGACATTACCGGCTAGGGAGAGGGAGATATAAGAGAGGTCTAGATGTGATAATCATCCCTGACCCGTTCCTGCTTCTTTTTGAGGGGACAACAAAGGAAGAAAAGGGTTGTAAATGGATAAGGAAAGGTGTGAGGTGCGTTTACATGCCAGGGGAGATCAGCTTGCCCTCAGCACGGCTGTTAGGGTGCCAGCCACCGGCGAAGGGGGCAGCGCCAAGCTCCTTCTCGTACTGGCGGATACGGGCCTCCAGCTCGGGACGGAAGTGGCGGATCAGACCCTGGATGGGCCAAGCGAAGGCCTCACCCAAAGCACAGATGGTGTGGCCCTCGACCTGCTTGGTAAGCTCCTGGAGCATGTCGATTTCGCGCTCGCGGGCATTGCCGGTCTCAAGACGCTGCATCATCTGCATGGTCCACTTGGAACCTTCACGGCAGGGAGTGCACTGGCCGCAGGACTCGTGCTTGTAGAAGGTAGACAGGCGGGAAATGGCGCGGACGATGTCTGTGGACTTGTCCATGACGATGACGGCAGCTGTACCCAGGCCGGTCTGGGAGTCCTTGAGGGCGTCGAAATCCATGAGCTGGTTGTCGGCCACGGACTTGGGGATGACGGGAGTAGACGAGCCACCGGGAATGACGGCGAGCAAGTTGTCCCAACCACCGCGGACACCTCCACAGTGCTTCTCGATCAGCTCGCGCAGCGAGATGGACATTTCCTCCTCTACTGTGACGGGGTTGTTGACGTGACCGGAGATACAGAAAAGCTTAGTACCAGCGTTACGCTCACGGCCGAAGGAAGAGAACCAGCTGGCACCACGGCGCATGATGGTCGGTGTCACAGCAACGGTCTCGACGTTGGTGACTGTGCTAGGGCAACCGAACAGACCGACAGCGGCGGGGAAGGGGGGCTTAAGACGGGGCTTGCCAGCCTTACCCTCAATGGACTCAATGAGCGAGGTCTCCTCACCACAAATGTAGGCGCCCATTCCTCGGTGAATGTACACGTCGAAGTCGTATCCGGAACCACAAGCGTTCTTGCCGATCAGGCCAGCCTCGTAAGCCTCGTTGATAGCCCGCTGAAGAACAGTAGCTTCATGGTAGAACTCGCCACGGATGTAAATGTAGGCGGCATTGGCGTTCATGGCACGACCAACCACCAAGCAACCCTCGATCAGCTTCTGGGGGTCCTTGCGCATGATCTCTCGGTCCTTGCAAGTACCAGGCTCACCCTCATCTGCATTGACAACCAGATAACGGGGGCGGGGGTCCTTGTCCCAATCCTTGAAGTTCATGAACGACTATCGAGTAGCGGGTCAGCCCGGGTATCCCAAAACACTCGCGTTCGTCGTAATTGCATGTAGGCCACTTACGTATTTCAATCCTGAGGGGAAACCAGCACCACCACGGCCACGGAGGCCAGATGCCTTGATCTCTGAGATGAGCTATTCATGGCATTAGCAATTGGTAATTTCCCAGCCCGTCAATTGTGCGACAACCCACCCAATCATCACCCTTCAAGATCATATCCTTGGTCCGGTACCAGTCACCATATTTCATTGATGACTTCAAATCCGCTCCATGGTGTGAGTAAAGGTTGGTGAAGATCCGATCTTGGTCCTTAAGTCCGCCATAGTGCTTCACGGGAGGCGCCTCCGACACAGATGCGAAGGAGCGGGCGGCCGCCCCCTGGGCGCGGAGGGAGCGGGTCGAGAGGTGGGAGAGGGAGGAGGTGGAGGGAGCCGCCGCTCTGGATATCATGATGACGGCGGGGGTGACAATGCGTGGTGAGGGTCAAAGGGTCGTGGAGATGGAGGGAAGGGAGTCGTGGAGCTCACGGCAATTCCTGCGCTTGCTGAATGATCCGCCTTTGGGCGCAATATGATTGGGTGGTAGCTCTGCACGTGACTAGGCCGCTGAGTCAGTTTTCCTATTTGGCCATGACGACCTCAAGTATGATCTGTCACGTGACTTGTACGCATTAAGGCATGGCCATTTAACTGGCCTCTTAGGCGAACACTAATGGTTATCGTTTCAGGCCTTCTCTTTTTTCATGTTATTTTCATCTTCAAGTTTGGAGGATAAGATGGCGGGCACAAAGCAAGTAGGAAACAACTCTTTCATTTCCATGTCTACTATCTCTTTCTTCACTCCTGTGGTACATAAAGGCACGCCTGCTTCAACATAGACAATGGGCCCTCCATCTTGAGAATCTCAAATGGCTCAAGAGGGATCATGACCATCTCCGAGCCTGCCACTGTCCATGCCCATTGAAGCCACTTCGAGTCCAACCACCCACTATCTTCAGTGAGCCAATTGACTCCATCACCAGGTGCCAATGAGCTCGGTTGTTCCGCAAGAGTGTATTTTTGAAATTGACGAAGTGTTTCACTGGCCTCATCGACAGAAGATCTGGAAGTGTCAGAAGGCAGAGGATATTGCTCAAGCAGGAAAGTAAACCATCGGTTGAGACGCGAAGACAAGCCCGCCCGTGCCTCTAGTGAATTGTATGTTGCAACTAGCAAGCAAATAACCATTGCAAACAGAGTCTGTGGATCTGTCGAAATACTTGGGACAGTCTGGCTCAACACTGCGAGGGCGTGCTGGAAGCATGTCTGGGCTGGGCCCTGCATTTCAGCCGGGAGAAGGCTAAAAAGCTCGCCTAATCTAAACAGCTCACCATTCTTTGAGATGAGTGACGGACGCTCCAGGATACGCACTCGGATTCGGGACATGACATCTTCTGAGAGGAGGCCGGCCGGGACGCGTGCCATTAGCTCATGTATGAGGACCTTCGTGTCCTCCCAACTTTCACCACGCTTGTGTTCCCTGCCCCGCGTGATGGTCCAAGTGGCAATAACCAAGGCAGCCTGGTCTAATGTAATTTGGCCATTGCGGTAGATTTGGGAGTGGGTCTGGTTCAAGGTGGTGGGTTGCAAAGGCAGATGCTCCGCACTGGCTTTCAGGTTTGTGGCATGGGCCATGAGCTCAAAGCTAATTTGACCGAGGGCAGCATAGATACTATGGCTGTTTCCGTATCCCGGGGGAATGCGAATGCAGTCCTCGGTGATCTCGAGCATTTTGCGCTCGCGTGCGTTTGATTCCATGACGGTCAGTGCGTCGAACAATGCTGGTGAGAAGATCGAGTGTTCCATCATAGTTTCAGGAGCCAGTAGTGGGTAAAATGGATTGAAGATATAGTAGTGGTCTTCGATATTCTTGGCAACCTGAGGGAACAGTTCTAGCTGGCGAACCTTGGCTTCGCCGAGCGGGCTGTCTGGCTTCACACCCAGATGAACAATGCGATAATCAGTTGGGTTGCCGGCAATGCAGAATCCATAGTTCATCAACACTATGTTATGGTCAGTTTCAGTTTCTGTAAGAGCTCAGATATTCAAAAATTGAATATCACATCATGACAAACGCGGTACGTACATTGTTCATTATTACGAGGGCCATAGTTGTTTGAAATTTCTTGACCTGCTGAGTGATCTTCAAGCACGAGAAGGCCAATATCCTTGTCGCCCGCTCGCCACTCAACCTTCGCCATTGGTCGATGGTTCGGAAGGTCAATGAGCGGAAGCAGCGCCGAGACTCCATCATCTGGAAGATCCTCAGGCTCGACAGCCCCAGATAGGACTTTTGACGAAAATGCCCGGGAAGTAATGATAGTTGAAGCCCAGAGATACAGCTCCCTGCATACAAATCAGCATAGTGTTTCCCCGGGCTGACTGGAAGGGACAGGAAGTAGTAGTCTCCCGTACTCACCACGTATACTGCTCACAATCCGGAAATCCAATTGAATCCAACTGAAGATAACCTGAATCATACTTTTGCTCCCAAATCTTAATCCTCTCAACGGCAGCCTCAGGAATCCCAGTGCCCTGGATCCAATCTACATCCTCTTCACCAAAGAACAAGGGGTGGTCAATTGACCCGGCTGAGGCAGGGTACGAATATATGGATACCAGAATCCCTCATTTCCCCGTAGATACTGGCCCATGAGGAAGAAGGCAAAAGTCTCCTCCGGCCCGACCTCGTCGATCCATGTCCGCGGGAGGTCAACACCGTGCTTAGGGAATGAGCCCCGTGGACACTCGTAGCCAACGGCATTATACCAGGACATTGAGACGTTAATTGGAGTGTTGATCACCCGGGTCTCTTTTGGGATTGCTTCTGGCCAGTCTGCTTTCACTTGCAAGTGCACGCCGCGGGAGGCGTCCTGTGCGATTCTCACGCTCTTGTCGACCGTGCCACCATGCTGAAGGAACCAGGTCAATAGCTCTGTGTGAGCTTCTAGCTTTGGGTCGACTTGCCTATTTCGTGTTAGGTATGTTTAATCTTCTTGATTTGCAAATGCCCTGGGAATGACGTATCTCCACACTGCACTTACTCCGAGGAAGCTGCCATTCTTTAGGAAAATGGGTAGATCTTGTTGGACCGATATATTTTTTTCTTGCAGGCCAGTTTACCGACACAGTTATTCAAGAATGACTGGACTTGGTGTATCGGTCAAAGTCCTGAGGAAAGAATTGATGCGGGATGGTGGGGCCCGCTTTTTTCTCCCAGTATGTAAAGAGTTGACGTTCTTTTTTACTACGCATCTTATAAGAATGATCTGTGAGATGAAACATTCTCAAAATCTACCAGAGTGTGCAGTTGCTCAAACTAAATCGACTCGCTTCTCCAGACTTCAACTATCGTACATAGGCGAATGCCAACAATCAAAAACCATCGACTCGTAAGCCGATCCCAGGTGACATGCGATACATGCAAGGACAATATAACATCAGATCAAAAAGCTCTCCATGTAGAACTCGAGAATCATTAATGCAGAACCCATGGCTACTCCATCGATGGAAAGTGTATATACAAACGCCATGCCGCGACGGCGACTCGCATAAAAAAATCCCACGGTTTCTCCTGGTGGGATGTACCGTCACGGCCACGCAATCAAATGCAAAGAGTCCAAGCTTAGTTCGAGGTCGAGGACTTGCGGCCAGGTACCACGATTTCCACCAATCCGTCATCCTCACCATCGCTGCTGTCGTTTTGCTCGTCATCATAATGGGAGCTCACGGCCCGGGTTCGGCGGAAGTTGTTGTATCGTCCAGGCCCCGAGAGGTTGGAGTAACCAAGAGATTCATTAATGATAGCCTCGTCTTCATCGTCGGAGTCCATCATGCCAATCCCACTTGGTCCGACCATCTCACCCATCTCGTCATCGTCATCCTCGACTTCGAGGGGGACACGAACTTGGCGCCTCACGGATTCTGCGTGGCCATCACCTTCATCTTCAGATGAGTTGGTTGACAGCGAGTCTGGAGGGCTGAATCCCGATTCTGGGAAGGTAGGTGAGTGTTTGGCATTGGCTGAGCCAAATTCACTGTTAGGGAACGCAGAGCTGCCTCCCTCGGCATCATCGTCGATCCCTGCAATTACAAATGGGTTGTTCGGCCAGTCCGACCCTCGGTCCGCGCTTTTTTCGGCCCCTTTGTCTTCCCCGTCGCCCTCTTCATTTTCTGATGATTGTTGCTTCTGGGCGGCAAGACGCGCGGCTAATTGACGGCGTGCCCGGGACGGACCGAGACTCAATGGAGCAGGTGGCGGGGGTAAAATAGGAATAGGCTGACTGGCTGAACTTGTCAACACCTATTAGAAAGTCCTGTCAGTAAAGGTGCAATACATCTGACAGCGCACAGTCTGTTAAGGGAAAGGAAACAATGCATAGAAGCCCAGTTCAGAAGAGAAGTGACACAGAAAGATACCCTGGGCTGGGATTTCACATAAAGGGACAATGTAAAACACATCAGCAAACAAGGTTCCAAATGTGCGGCTGGAAGTCGACAGCTCCATTGAACAAGCGCGAACGATCCATCACCCTACCTGGAACCTTGGGCTTGTTGCCTCTTGCTATAGGATTTCATACATTTGGGATATTGAGATCAAAAACTGGAAAGAGAAAGGGAGAAGGGAGAGGGTAAAGGGGGATAACGAAGTCGGTTTAAGAATCGTGGCCCAATATGCCGATCGGGAAGGGGTCACCTACATTGTCGGTGTCGCCTTGATCGACATTTCCGGAGTCTCGGTCGTCCTGGTCCTCCATTTCTTCGTCCTCGTCGTCATCGCTTGAGCTGGCAAAGCCACTCAAAAGGGAGGTGCCACCTCCACCGAATGCTCCGCCGGAAACACTTCCTTGGCTGAGATCAAAGCTCTGGAAGTTTGATCCACCCATTCCTCCATTCAATCCTGCGTCTGACAGCGCATTGGAGTTAGGGAAGCCTTGGCTGGAGTTGGTGTTGTTGAGGCTAGCCTGACGAGATCCAGACATATCAGGACGAACGCCGCCTAGAATGGCATTGTCCCGCTCGCGAGTCTCTGATAAAGTCTGTTCGACGTACTCAATCCAGTCAGGATTCAATACACTTTCCATAACGGCCCGTGAAAGCAACTCTGGTGGATGACGCTCGCTGAACTTGACAACTTCCTCTGCAACAAGAGTAAGATGACCCATATATCCGAGGCGGATTTGTTTGGTCCGCTGGGTCTCATCACTGCGCTTCTGTCCTTCAACAATCGCGGTGGTGATCCGTCCAATATCAAATACATTGACTGCGAGTGCCCGGTTGTAGCCACGCTCCATGGGACCGTTGAAGACTTGTTGAATCACATCGTAAACAACATTGTGAAGGAAATTATTCCATGGGAAACGAAAGAAGAAGCCCTATAAATTATTAGCATAGTTGTTCAACATTTTCCAAGGGTAATACTTACTAGGATCGTTGGGACCACTTTGTTCTCCACAAACTGAATCTTCAAATAATCACCGACGACAGGTCGCCCGTCAGTATCGAGTTGGATGTACTGTTCAGCCGAATCCTCATCGCCTCCGTCATTCAAGGTGCTTCTTTCCTCGGCCTGTGCAGTAGCACCAGATGCTTCTTCCAATTGATCGGCAGGGGGTGGGTTTGACTCCGATGTCGGTTCCTTCGTGAAGAGAGGAGCTGGAACATCCTGAGATGAAGGAGCCACAGGCTCTTGGTTATCCTTTTCGGGCTTTTTATGCTCGCCTTGCGGGTCATTGCCAAGGTTCATGCTCCCAACTTGGTCAGGCAAACCAATACTAGGCGACGAGGGGTCAGTAGTGGCTGCGCCGGAACTTTGAGACGGGTTTGTGGTTTGTTCGGAAGACACTGGCTCTGCTGCTGTGGCCTTTGATGGAGGTATCTCGCTGACGGTTTCCGTTGGCTGCGAGATTGCAGTGGTCGTTGTGTCTGCACTAGCTTTTGCGCCCACTAAAACACCTGATGCACCCACATCTTCAAACCCTTCTTCGTCGCCCGCGTGTGGCACTTCTGCGATCTTGATATCTTCCGGTGATCCTGAATCGAAGGCTGAATCGTTTACAAAATCGGCCGTCGTATCATTACAATCAACACCGGAGTTCTCGTCTCTGTGCGGATCGAAAACTCCTTCACGGATCAACCGCTCACGCTCCTCGTCTCTTTGTTTGACGTACTCATCACTACCTGGCTCATTCAGAAGGCCCATGTTACTGCAATGAAGCAGCTCTGCCATCAATTCACACGTCTTGAATCGGTCGAAACCAAGAGGCTCAATTTGCCCACCCCATGCAGAGCTCAGCTTTCCTCGCTCAACAGTCTTCAGCTTGTTTCCATCATGGATAGTGTGTTGGGAACTTTGAATGAGAGCCATGAACTGGGGAATATGTTTGGCGAAGAGACGCAGCAAGGTTCCAAGGTAGATTGGGTCATAAGTGGTGAGCATTGTATCGGGTCCGCCGAGGGACTCCGGATCATAGTCGGAATTGTTCTTGCGGATTACTTCGATGACAATACCAACGCCCACGGTTAGGGGATTACCACCCATGAGCATAGCATCGATGAGCTGCTGTACGCACCGAGTCGAGACAAGCTGGCGTGTCAGGCTGTTAGGGCCAATACATGACTGATCATTCGGGCTTGCATTCGCAGATATGGTGATGATCGCTTTCAGGAAGTCGCCTGCCGAGGTTTGAACAGATGCCGGACGATCGGGCGACAAGAAACACAGAAGATTAGGAATCAGGTCCTGGGATTTGAGCCAGTCAACAGTACCCTGGCCACCCTCTGCCTTCTCGAGGCTGATAATTTTCAGAAGAAGATCCATGACCATGGGGTTATCAACATGCTGCAACAATGCCGGGACGATTCCATCGAGGGACTTGAGAAACTCTAGCATCTCCTCGGTCTTTTTATCAAGCAAAGTCTCGTTTACTTTTGTGAAGTAGCTTGCTTGCAATGAATCAAGAGGTGGGGCTCGTCGCAGGAAGCCCCAGAAGTCTCGTAAGTATGAAGGGTTTGCCATCATAGATTCGAGGATGGACCAGGTCTCTGATGAGAGAATCTCACAAGCAATATAGGCATGCTTCAGACGGTTCTTCTCGACTTTGTCTAGGTCCTCCGGGTCAAGGATATCCCTCAGCGGATCCCCTTCCTTCTCCTCGTCCGTATCTGTCTGGTCCGCGGAAGCGGCAGCATCCTTGTCCTTCTTTGAAGCATCTTTTGCATCATCATCTTCATCATTCTCTTCGTCCTCATTCACTAAGCTCGGTGCAATGACATAATCCATAAGCCGTTTCAAGACATGATCCTCGCGCAGGTATTCAATGAGTTTCGTATTAAGCTGTTTCAGTTCTTGGATGATTTCGGGCTCATCTAGGAGTTCCTCAAGAGTGACATCGGGTTTGTCGAGCAGGGTATCGATGGTGGAGATATTCGCATATCCCCCAAAGCGCCAAAACATGATGGAGTATATAGCCGAGGGAAATGATTCATAAAATGGATTCGTTTCGTTCGTCTCCGAGATTTCGTAACGGAGCAGTCTATGGTACAAGGGGTGGTCGAAATATCGGGTTCCCAGGAGAAGTTGCGCGACAGGCCAATACACCGGCAAGCCAAGCGTGGTGTCCACACACAGAGACCAGGTCGCGCAGGTCGAGTGGGGTACGCTGGACCGTCACGGCCGATAAATGACTGGAGCTAGAGATTTAAATCGATTGAAAATCAAAGCGATCTAGCGCTGTGTGGATAGATAATGTATTAGCAATCAGGTTCACACGCTTGCATCACCCGGAGTCCCGATGAAGTGTTCCCGTGAAGCAAACCGCCTTCACCGAGTGGGTGCGTGCGACAGAGTTAGAGGATCTGGTCAGGGGGTTTTATGGGAGCTGACGAGCCATAAGATAGAGCCCTAGATATAACGTACCTTCAATCTCGAGGGAATGACGAAGAAAGAGAGAAATCTGGACCTCCCTGTGGGTTTGGGGGAGGGGAAGATGAAGAAATGGCGAGTGGAGTTGGAGAGTCAAAATGAGCAGACTCGAGGGGCACACACACAAACACAGACGAGAATGGCAACTCAACACCTGTCCATCAAGGAAGCAGTTGAGGGGGAGAAGAAAGAGAGGTTCCGCTTCGGGGAAGCTGTGCTGATCGATTACCGATCCCTGATGGCCACGAGCCCTGTAGCAGGGGCGGAAACACGTATGTAATCACCGCGGGGATAAAAACCTCCAGATAAGGATGAACTGACCAAAGATCCCTATATCTGACTTGATAGACATTCTTCTAATTATCTCTTTAATTTGAACTCATATTTATGAATGTGTTTTTTTGAATTTCCATCTCATCTCATCATGGGATCAGCTGCATCCATTAAGATGACGGTGGGTACGGAGTCCTGGGTACTCGGTACAACCCTTCCCCGCCAGATTTGTGTGCTAAAGAAAGTAGCCAATACAGAAAGTGTCCTGTCCCACGTAGCCCAACTTGACTGCCACAGTGAATACAAGGATCTCAATCCCAGGACGAAGTATCATCTGACAACCCCATCGGAAACACACAAGATGAAACAAGCTGAACTTGTTACGGAAATCAAATGAACTGAAACTTTGCATGTACTTTACGATCACGTGTGTGGTATGGCCTCAGGCATTCATTGCGCTATCCATGGTTCTAGAAGCTATTCTTTCCCAGTCCAACTCTTTCTCTCTTTCTCTCTTTCTCTCTGGTCTTGGTCTTAAAAGTAAAACACTTCTATAAGAATTCAGCAGATTGGTTGGTCCCAGCGCTTTCTCCTTTCCAGACAGGGCCCGTGCAGACATCTGCTCAGCCTCATCTAGTTTGTCTGAATCTTGATTCTTGATACTCCGTATAGGACTTCGAGATTACAAACAATATCCGTGGTTGATGGTACTTTTGATCCAAGTACTTTTTCATTTTCGCCTAACGCTTGTTTAGGTACACATATGCTAGCTCAGTTTTCTTTCAGGCAGGTATGAAACATGTGATACCTCATCGAATTGGTCAGGTAGAATAATAGATCATACTATTCCCAATCATGAATCGCTGCACAAGTTGTGTGTTCACGACCAGTTCAGCGGGCGTAAGTGATAAATGGAACAATTTGTATCAACTCCACTACTAGTAGTCGTATCAACGTATTGAACGCATACCAATAATATTCACGTGGCTGTCTATTGTCCCGTAAATGCCCATTATACTTGCTGATGTCTCAATGCAGTTGCATATAGCAATGTTTCTACTTGAAGTGCTCGAGGGGCAGTTCTTTTCTCCTTTTCAGCCCACAGATCTCCCTTTATTTTCTCACTTCCTTTCGGGGACGTGAATTATGTATGTTATGTGCCCCCTTTCTCTATACTTACATAGACTTACATAGACAAGCGTAGACGGTCGCTTCTGCGGCCTTGTGATGTCTTTCTTACAGGGCTTTTCAGTGGTCTTTTCAGTGGTCTTTTCGGCAGTCTTTCCAATAGCCTTCTCAGTGGGCTTCCCATTTTTTCTTAGATATATTTAAAATAGTTTTCCCTTTTCTAGCTTATTCAAGACGGCAGAAAAAGGCGGGAAAAGCATACTCTGTGCAAGCGACTTTTCTATGTATAACTTCTGATGATGATGATATATAGAACGTTGGACTGTTGGGGGAATTTCCTCCTCGTCAATTTCGACCATGATGCCTCTATCAGTCAAAATACGGGAGGTAGCTTGCTCAAGTTCACAGAGCTGCCCCCACCTGAACGCCTATAACCTGGGTATAGATCCAGAGATGAAGACAACGGGATATATACGTATATAATGTACGGAGATATGGAAGCATTGACCCGCTCGGGAGCCGAGCAACCCCAGAGATGGTCCTGACGGACGAATATGCGTTATCAACAGTCAGGATGGCGAATGAGACGCATTATATGTACACTTCCTCGTACTTTGTAATCTCCACCTGCTTATTAGAAATTAGCCCGGGCTAATTTTTAAGTCCACTGGCGTTTCTATGTCGCTCTTATAAACTGCAAGCATGAAATAAATGCTCTATATCACCCATAGGTATCATCTGTTGATCAAGGGAAAAGCATGGCGCCCTTCTCAAGCCTCCGCGCCACCCTTAGCATATCCCCCTGCTCCAGCATTCACGGAGGCAAATGCGCCGCCAGGCTCGCAAACTGGCCGTGTCTTTGTTGTGACTGGTGGAATTGCGGGTGTTGGGCTTGAACCATGCAGGATTCTCTACGCGAGCGGAGCAACTGTATATATGGCGTCTCGGTCCCAGGTCAGTCTAGAGAGTAGTCCTTTAGCCTCCGGCTCTAGTGATCATATTGAAATCGCAGACCAAAGCAGAAGCAGTCATCAAATCGATTACCAAGGCGTCAAAATCCAAGGTTACGAGTGGCAAACTGAAGTTCTTGCATCTGGATCTGAACGACCTCTTGGTCGTCAAGGCTGTAGCGAAACGCTTTTCCCAGCAGGAAGATAAGCTAGATGTGCTGTGGAACAATGCCGGCACCGGAGCTAATATGGTCACGATCGGCCAACGCACAGTCCAAGACTTCGAGCCCATGATAGGAATGCATTGCATTGCGACACTTCTCTTCACTAAACTTCTTCTCCCACAGCTGCGGGCTGCCGACACTTCTGACGAGAGCGGGAAGACTCGTGTGGCATGGACGCCGAGCGCTCTGGTGAAGGCGGGCTCACCACCCAACGGTCTGGATTTCGACCTGTTGGACAAAGGAACAAATAGACGCACCGATAACTACGGGACGTCCAAAGCGGGCACCTGGATCCTCAGCCGGGAAATTGCTCGTCGATATGCCAAGAACGGAATCGTCAGTGTTTGTCTGAACCTGGGGTTCTTAGACAGCCTCTTTCACTGGGACCCCTGCAGCCATCATGTTCGTCTTGAACAAAGTTCCTGGGTGATGAAATCTGCGGCGCGTACACAGAGCTTTATGCTGGATTTTCTTCCGATATCACGCTGGAAAGCAGCGGTTCGTACATCATTCCCTGGGGCCGGATCCGCCCCAACGAGGCTACTCCGCGACAGAACCTCATTAAGTCTGGCGATCCAAGGAGGAAGGGGCCTAGACTATGGGAACAAGCTCTGGGCCTGGTGTGAAGGGAAATGGAATAGTTATGTCTAGATAATTAAATTTTGAGTACGAGAATTGTACAGCACGGGCCAGAGAAACCTTGGAAGAGTTAGAACGTACATAGGCACATCCCACCAGTAGTAGGATATATAGATTGTGCAATATCGGTTCAACATACGACTATCATACCATTTACTCGGCACGCAACGCGGAGAAGTTGGCCATTCTATAGAGGGCTTTATTTCCTTAAGACAGCAGATGGTAGCCTAGAACGAATAAAAGGCTCTCGTCAGATGGTATAGAAACTAGAGTACATTATTCACTAAATATGGAAACCGTCGTAATATCACATCCCATTATTATCCTTCGTCCACAAATGGTTCTGAACGCCTTGCATTGATGCGGAACCGCAGAGTCAAATGAGTTCCATATGTTCATATGACGGTCGGTTACCATATGGTGCAGATATCCCCACTGTTCTCGGGGGTACAGCTAGAGTGGCATTGCAGAGTGGCCACAAGGCCGGTGAGCGACAATCTTGGTGGATAGCTGCACAGTATGGTAGATCTCGTCTTGTTGGATGGACACATTGACTAACGGTGGACCTTGATCTTCGAACAAAAAGACCTTGAGTAACGCAAGGGATGCTTCCCGCCGAGTCCAAGAACCTTCTTCTAGACCCCCAAGCAGACGCTTCTATGCCACGGGCCTAACGTTCCAAGTGCTGCGGTCGTCGTGACATCTCCTAGGCAGAGGCATCAAACATTTAGCCTCCATAGATCGCTAGAAGCTAGGGATGCAGAGCGGTGAAATTGGACTCAGTCCATTTTCAATTTTCACGTCAAACAAATAGCGCTGCTCAGTAATATGAATAGATGGACGGGCCTTTGGCCTAGCGGTTGAGTTGGTTTCGACATTTGGGCGCCCACTTGGAGCCCGTCCATCTTCAGCTTGAGTGCCGTTTGATCTCAAGTTGCCGGATCGCCTACGGGCGATGACTTTTTTATTTTTTGATTCCGATACATTTCCAATGACAAAAATGCTTCCAACTTAATGTCCTTCGGCACAGGTCATTTGCGAGCTTAATCAGAAGGGTGGAACTTGACAAGCCAGAGGAGCCTCAGAAGAATCCACTGCCCAGATGCACCCGGCCCTGGGGGCACCTGGCCCGGGCTCCGGGGCCAGAGCACTGGTCCGGGGGGCTGAGTGAGCTTAGATAAGAAGGAATCGTGCTCAGTTTTACTGAGAGAAAAAGCGGCAAGACCCGAGGACTAAAAGGGAAAGAGAAAGCCAAGAAGTGGCAGAAGCAAACCCGGCCTACATACTCCGTACGTAATACGTACTTGCATAGGGAACAATTTAAGGCTCGTTCCTTAGTATTCTATACTTCCCTAGCTCTTAGAAGCGTTCTATGCCAGTTATTGGTTGAATTACCACCTCGGCCCACCGACCGCGGTTTTATTGAGCACTGGCCACGCGCGGTCTGGAGTCGCTCTCAAGGCCGCTGCCTACTTACCCTCACCTTCACCTTTCACTAATAATCCCCAACACAACCCACCATCATGAACCGACTGTTTGGCACGAAGAGCACCGGTCCTAAGCCGACTCTTGAAGGTGCTATCACCAATGTACGCTGCCCGCACAAGCCTGTTCCAAGGCACCTAGCCCCCGCCCCCTCGAGATACCCCACTAACCATACAACAGGTCGACACTCGAGTTTCCAGCATAGATGTCAAGCTAGCAGCGCTCAACTCCGAACTATCCACATATCAAACCAAGATCGCCAAGATGCGCGATGGGCCCGGCAAGAATGCCCTCCGGCAGAAAGCACTCAAAGTTCTTCAGCGACGAAAACAATACGAGGCGCAGCGAGACCAACTCTCGCAACAATCATGGAACATGGAGCAAGCGGGCATGATGCAGGATAATTTGAAGAATGTGATGACGACGGTGGACGCGATGAAGACCACGACCAAGGAACTCAAGAAGCAGTATGGCAAGGTCGACATCGATAAGATCGAGCAGATGCAGGATGAGATGGCGGATCTGATGGAGGTTGGGAATGAAATTCAAGAAAGTATCTCTCGGGCCTATGATGTCCCGGAGGATGTTGATGAGGCCGAGTTAGATGCGGAGCTTGAGGCGCTTGGAGAGGAATCCATGTTTGAGAGCAGCATGGGCGAGAGTGCTATGCCGAGCTTCTTGCAGGATGAGGTGGCTCCACCGCAGTTTATTGATGAGCCCCCTGAGCAACATAAGGTCAAAGAGGCCGCAGGCGGACTTGGATAAGACTAATGTTAAGGCGTGCTTTTGTTTAGCGGCAACCAGGTGTTCTTCTGTGTCAAGGTACAGGCAGTGGAGTTGATTGGGTGTTGATTTTAACTTGGAATAAGCTACACTCATATTGTATTTGAAGCTCTCATTTCATTTATGTGTCATATCATATCAATTCGCACACGCATGATCAAGCTCCATAAACCTGTTTTCACTCTAATCACAGATCTGCTTGGTCATTGCCATCAGTCCCAAATACATCTGTCTCGCGTCATGGACAGCATCATTAGAGATTAAGACGCTTTTCCCATTCCCACCAGCACCAGCAGGGCCACATTCATCACAACGATGACAATCCACACAAGGACCGCAACCACCGAGGTGATTAGGTTGTTCCGCATCGGAACTGTTACCACATCAACTTCACCCTCTCGTTCGGAAGATTCTTCAGTTCGAACGGTCATGTAGCGGTTGAGACAAGTAAACCAGATGAGAGGCGCTGAAACAAATGGCAGAATAACACTCAAAACAACCTGACTCGCAGTCAAAGTCCTATCAAGGCCCTCCTTACCAACAGCCGCAGCAATGATGATGCTTGGAATGATACTGATCGAGCGGGTAATGAGTCTTCGGAGCCATGGTTTGATGGTCCAATTCAACATCCCCTCGCTCACCATTTGACCAGCGATTGTGCAGACTATTCCGGCGGAAATACCTGACAGTAGCAGTGCGAGAGCGAATACCAAGCCTGCAGCTGGTGCGATCGACTTGGAGAGCAGTTTGTGAATTCCGAAGAGGTCTGCATTGTCTCCGCCAGGAACACCATAGAGAGCAGCACCCGCGACAATAAGGATTGCGCTGTTCACAAACAGTGCAAAGGTAAAAAGTGAGAGCGACAACTCGATGATTGAGTACTTCATGCAGTCGCGGATTGCATGAATCGATGGGCGATATTTAACTTCGCCATCTGCGTTCCCTAGAGGCACAGTGGACTCCACGTAGCCAGAATTGACATCAAATTCCTTGAGACGGGATTGAACCACTCCGCTACCAAGAAACAGGGAGTGTGGCATAACAGTGGCACCGAGGATTCCACAGCTCTGGTAAAGACTGTACATGCGTTAGTAGCTGAAACAGTTACTGTGGCAGTTAAAAGGCCGAGGGGACAGACTTACCCTTCTGATTGAACGATGGCTGAAGATGGTAGGTATCCGCGGAACACCTCCCCTACTGACTGGTCCTTTATAAGAGAGAGCTGAATGCAAAAGCAAACGACAACACCTAACACCAAACCCATTACAAAGAACTCGAACAGTCTGAGTCCCCACATTTTCCCATTAGGTCGGTAAAAAATGAGAATGAAAAGAACATCCGCCAATGTGATAGCGCAACCAGCTACCAAGGGGAGATTGAACAGTAAATTCAACGCGATCGCTGATCCAACCACCTTCCAAGGTTGTCAGTATATCAATTGAGATCCTCTAGATCGAAATCTGGCACTCACCTCTGCAATATCAGTTGCAATAATGGCCGCTTCCGCGAGGATATAGAGAACAATCACTAGCCATTTCGGAAGGTGCTCTCGGCAATTTTCAGCCAGGTTCAAGCCCGTCACCGAGCCCAGCTTGATACATAGGGACTGCAGAAGAATCGCAAATAGATTGGAAATGAGAACGATGAACAACAAGGCGTACTTGAAGTCTGCACCAGCTGCGACATCGGTGGCGTAATTTCCAGGGTCGATATATGCAACCGCGATGAGGAAACCAGGTCCAATAAAGCGGCCGAATTTAGCCAGCTTTCGGGCGCAGTGCAGGGTAGAAGATGTCAAACAAGTAGAAAAAGGGCGGCGAGGTGATCGGCTGCTCCTCGGGGGTGAGTCACCTCCCGAGTCCGCAGCGGTCACCTCGCCGCTGGGGACCTTTTCTTTTCCGGGGTCTGGATCTTGACAACTATTCGGTCTGTTAATAGATATCGAATCATCTCCTGCTGCATTTGCAGAATTGGCATGTCTGCGATGGACTCTAGAATTGGCGAGACCATTAAAGTCATTTCGCATTGTAGTGTCTGGGCTGAAGGGCGGCGGGCTTTGATTCCATTTGGGATTTTTGAGTGTATCGTCAGTCCGCGAGGGGCAATTCATGGTTGTAAGCTTGAAGTTCACTTATGAGATGAGTCTCGGCAAGCTTAAGAGGCAAGCTTAAGAGGCAAGCTTATGAAGTGAAGATCGGGTAACTTGTGAGGCCGGAAATGCCCGATTTTCGCTGCTTCCCGCGTTCTGGGTCCAGAAAAGCTTATATAAATAGGAAGTGTCTCACATTCGTGGCCTCAAAAAGGATGTCCACTTAGGGGGCAATTCTACACATTCTTATGCCGTATGTGTTTGATGTTGGATCGCCTTAATTCCCCGGAAGTCGCAAACGGCTTGTTCATGGGTGGATCAAATTCCACCCTTCACAGTAAACGGTTCGAGGCATACATCTGTACCCTTCTATGCACAATCGGCATAAATATGATCAGAAGATCTTGGAAAAGTGACTTAGGAGTTACCCGACATAATGCATGTACGGAGTAATGAGTGTGTTTATTTTCAATTGGACTTCTCCCGACATTCGGCACACCTGAAGGTCATGACGAAATAAGAATTACACTCAATATCCTATAAGATAATTGGAATATAGACGTATCTTTTTCAATGTTTATATTTGTCGATAGATCAGGTGGGTGCCAATCAAGGATCTAGTCAATATATACGGAGTATACAGCTAGCCTTTAGTGATAACAAAAACAACAAAACAAAAGAACCATGTAAGGACTATATGCACATCGAAGAATAACCCCAAATGAATGGGCAATAATATGCAATATGACATGTCTGGCCACAGAGAAAGACTGCCCACAGTACTATAGAAGGCTAATCACCGCTAATAAACCCCATGTTCACCGCCAAGTCCATCCGTTGCCCCTCGCAACGTCTTTACCCGCACGTTGTTTACTCCTCCACCTTCAATCCAGCCAACCCCAAGGATCGTCTCATGCGCTAAGTCAAGGCAAGTGGATCAACATCTTGATACTCGATGACGGTTGCTGTTGGCAGCAAGACGCCGTTGATTCTTCAAATTCCCCAGCTTGCCCATCTGATCTTTTCTTTTCCTTCCACCAAGCCTATCTTCTTCCCCGCCTTTTTGTGCTTTAAAATTTAGGGGCTATACTTGATCATCATCCTTTTTTGTTTTGTGAATTGCGTTGCTTTTCTACTCTGCGTTTGCTTGCACAGATCCCGTGAGTTCGAACTGCAACTACCCGTTCCCCCCTCTTCACCCACTTCATCGGCTAACAAGATGTACTCAGTTGCTGGCCAAAGAGGATAGCAATGGCTGCGAGTACCTCTGGTCCCCAAATTTTCGACGATGCGAGCCGATCCCCTACCAAACAGTCCATGTTCCGGGCCATGATGTCGTCCAAAACCCATAAACGAGATCAGTCGGCTGACGATGCCGTGGCCCCGCGGCCTCTGCAGAGAAGCAAGCCAACCGAGAATATCCCTTTCTCATTCGGCGGGGAGTCTGATTCCATTGCCAGCTACCGCCCGCTTAGTGAGATTGTCCCCAACCGTGATGCCAGCGACCACGGAGTAGCCACGCCGAAGATGGGCAAGGACGGCAAAGGTGCCCTGCATAAAAAGACTAAAAGCGCAGTCTCATTGAAGTCTCTGAGAAATTATATGGAGCGGAAGGACGGGAAATCGGAGGAGACACCCGAGCAGAGTCAGGATCTGTCGCCCAAAAAGGCAAAATCATCCAATAGTCTTTCGGCCATACTCAAAAGGTCCCAACGGGGAAGAAAGGATGGCTCAAAACAGAGCCGCGATAAGGAAAATCGTAGTCCGACTGACCTGATTGATAATATGAATATGCCATCCCCGGTTATGTCATCCCCGGTCTGGTCACAGGACTCAGCCTCGGGACACAAAGAACCTACTGGTCGATCGAAGCCAGACTCGACCGCCGACATGAGGCGAACCATGGCGGACGAAGTCTCCCTCTATACACCCAAGGGCTATGGGCCAAGCCAGCAACGCAACTTCTATGACTACCACCAACCCTCCCTCGCCAAATCGAACGACACCAAGCCTCGCCCCAAGTCAGACATTTTGACAGGAAACCGCAAAGTGAAGGACCTTCTTGGGTTGCAGCGCGCACCTTCGGGAGAGAGCAACCCTGTCGTGCGATCTGACAGTGCTTCGTCTAAGAGCAAAGGGCCACCGAGTCCACGAAAAACATCCCCCTACCATGACAAAAGAAGAGCCCAAGCGGCTTTCTCGTGTGCAGGCTGCTATCTCGGTATTCAACGCAAAGGAGCGAGATGCTGAAGTGCATCAGCATCTGAACTCCAAGGATCTCGAAAGCGAATTCGAGAAGCTGCTGGTTTGTTGACCGCATCATATACAATCTATTGAAATAGCAAGGCTGACCTTTCTCTAGGATGCGAGGAATATCCCTCATAACATGCGAGACAAGATGCGCTCACTGGACACCAATATCAAGGCCGATTTTATCCAGAAAGATCGGACGGAAAACATCACCCCTCTCAGCGCTGGGACTGGTGATAGCCGTCGAGGACGCGGGAAGGAATCCAAGGAGGACTCCCAGCTTCAGGATCGCAAAGGTTCCCGGTCACGATCTAGGAGCCGCGGATTCACTTTCACTAAAGGCCCCTCGTCACCTGGTAAGAAGTTGCGGCGCGATAGCGAAGCATCAAGCCGTCGTCCAAGGTCCGTGGACCTCTCTCAGCCTGTTGGTGTCTACACCACTCTCTCGGCCAATGCTTCAACAGCGTCACTTGCTGACGCGGCCGCTGTCGATACCGCAGCGGATCCCTCCGACTTTGTGCATTATCTGAGAGAGATTCAGAAACCTGAAATGGTTGAAGTGGGAAAGATGCACAAGCTGCGGCTTCTCTTGCGTAATGAAACCGTGCAATGGGTCAATGACTTTATCACTGAAGGAGGAATGGATGAGATTGTACAGCTTCTCTACCGGATTATGAAGATGACCTGGCGGTATGTATCCTGTGCCTGTCTTCGCCCAAACTGTAGCTGATTTGTTTTACAGTGAGGACCATGAGGACACCCTTTTACACGAGGCGTTGCTCTGCCTGAAGGCTCTGTGCACTACATCTGTGGCTCTGGCACACCTCAGTGCCATCGAGGATCAGCTTTTCCCCGCTCTGCTACATATGCTCTTTGATGAGGAAAAGAAGGGCCCCAGCGAGTTCACCACTCGAGGGATCATTGCAAACCTGCTGTTCACGCAGCTCTCTACCGCTCCTGCTGGTGAACCGGCGATCAAGCGCGCCAAACAGATTCTTTCGTATTTGAAGGACCCTGCTCCACCAGTGGACAACCAGCCGCTGTCCTTCATTGCCAATATTTACCAGTCACGACCCTATAGAGTATGGTGTAAGGAGGTCACCAATGTAACTAAGGAGGTCTTCTGGATTTTCCTTCATCACCTAAATGTGATTCCCCTCCCCAAGTCGGAGGACCTTTTTGGCGACAAGACATCAGTAGACACTCGTCCTTACAGCGAGCGTCACTTCCCTGTCCCTCGCCCTCCTGTTCCGGCTGCCCCATACGTTGGAGGTGTTGAATGGGATGCGACTAACTATCTTGCGGCACATCTCGATCTTGTGAACGGCCTGATTGCCGTCCTACCCACCTCTGAAGAGCGAAACCAGCTTCGGGATGAGCTCCGTGCCTCTGGTTTTGAGAAAGTCATGGGTGGTAGCCTGCGTACTTGCAAGGAGAAGTTCTATTCTTCTGTGCATGACTGCCTGCGAACCTGGGTTGCAGCAGCAATTGATGATGGCTGGCCTTATACTTTTGTGCGCGAAGGCCCGCCCCGAGCAGGTGAGCATGGCTCGCCGACTAAATCCCCCAAGAAATCCGCGCCGGGTAGTCCTAGAAAAGGCCTGGTCGATGAACGGCCGCCCAGGCTGGAACTTGCTTTGGACTTCTCGGATAACCGTTCAGCTGCTGGTCCGACTACCCCGTCGAGCGACCTACGCAGCTGGCTCTAGAATCTGGGTGCGCTAAACCTCCCCTGGTTTTATCTAACGAATTTCCCATTCCTACTTTGTCTTTATTTCCTATCTTTCGTTTGTCTTTCACATTATCATGACTCGGCGTTAGGGCTGGTCCTCAAGCAGCCCCACCCCAACTTATCTTGTTGGTATTTTTTGTTTACTTGACCTTCGGAGTTTATTGATGGTCTGTTATTTCTGACAGGCGTTGGCATACTTGGTGTTATTGGCATGTTGGCTGCATTTCCTTGTCCAGAGAAGTCCTGCGGGCATGATGTAACGAAGCCAAATATTGGCACAGGCGACGGAGCAGAAGGTGAGAGAGAAATTGTTGATTTTGTCTTTTTCTCCTTCTCTCCATGGTACAGCGACGCCTGTTCTTCCGACAGGATTTCTTCATGACAAATGACCTATGAACAGATATGAGAACTGAATGAATCGTCGTTAGCTTTCTTATTTTCGAGATTTTCTAACCAAGGCGAAGGTGGGTTGTATATGCAAGTAGGGAATTTAGTTGAATATTGTACAGAATATTGATGCTAGACACACATCAATATGACTCGACTACGAGCTCTCCTCGGACACTGAATTATCCTTCTGATCCCTCCTCGGACCAGGAGGCGGTGCGCTGGAGAATACAGACCGGAGACCAGTGAAGAAGCTCTCCCGAATCTATCACGCATAGTCATGTTAGCCAAGATGTGAATCAGCATAGCCAAAGGAGAGAGAGCACTTACCGCATGGAACGGAGTATTATCCGACTCCCACTCCATGAACAGCACGGCATAAATAATGACAACTGTGCGGCACGAAAAGTCAGCATGCTTCCTCAAAATCCCTCCACATTATCTACTGCAGGTCTATACGCAATTCGCAATCCCCAGATTGCAACTACACCCGCCAATCTCAGGAACAACTCACATCCAATAACAACCCACTGGCCAATCATAGTAGCCTTCATGAACGTCGGCCGTGCATACTTCAGCGCCGCGCGACGACGGTACTTGCGCTCAAGCCGGAACTGGTGTTTCGGGGACAGCTTCGACATATCCGGTGGCCATTGGCGCTTTGGCTGGTAAGGGCTATAATATACATCTTCGAAGGAGGGCGGTGGGGAGGACTCGGTTTTGTTTGCGGAGAGGCGGAATGGTGAGGCGTCTTTGGTTGGTGGTGATGCTGTGAAGGCTGTGAACGGAGTGGTGGTGAAGAGGCGGGTGCTGCTAGGGCTCTATTGGTGCGGTCTTGCTGTTAGATTTTGCTTTGCTTTTTGACTTGACATGCGATTGCAGGACACTTTAGCCTGATTGCAAGGTGCGCGTACCATGTGCCATGATGGGCGGGTGAGTGGTAGCTTGCTGGAGGCGCTTGCCACTGTGCTTGAGGGTGATGCGCGCGCTGATGAGGCGGCGGTTAAAGCGCGTCGGAACATCTGTGTATTTGCTTGATTCAATTGTCCTGCTCGGTTGGAGTGGGTATGTATGTTATGTCCCGGATTTTCCCTAACGGGTGGGGATTTCCTATTTGGGCTGCCGCTTTAATAAGGGCGCTCTACTTTAGGTAAGTGATGAGCTCAGGATAGTCACGTGCATGATGACTGATACTGCGTAAATGCTTATGGATTGGACCACTGATTAGTAGACTGTAGACTATACCTAAAATGGAACAGCCCTAAAGGATCGTTTGTACTGTGATGTTTAGTTTGTAAATAGTATCGCACCCTCAGACTCTTGAACTTCCTTCAATTACTACTGTTTTCCGCCATTTTTTATTTTCCGCTTTCTATGCCACATCGAATGGTTGCTCCTGATAAATGTGTAGTCATATTTCAGTATGCCTGTGGTGAATTTCTAGTAAGACTGGTTAGTCCAGCTATCACCATTCGCCTCTTGTCAAGTATAACCCATTCTACCAGAGAGTTGCTGTCCATGAATAAAACCAATATGTAGTAATCAATATACATGTCGATCATCCTTGGAGGTTTCTATGTGGTCAGGGTGCAACGGGTCTTCAAGTCCAATCATATTTGATATTGAGAGCACTGTTCATCGGGATTCAATTGAGAAATGGACCCTCGCCAACTGCTCAGTCTCAGTCTCATTCCTCTTACTCACCCGCCTTCCAAGCTTTCATAAATCATCCTCTTGACTCTCCCGGTAAAAGTATGATTGCCCAGGTATCAAGCACATAAACCAGATCGAGAGTTTATGACCTATATATCCATTATATCTGGGTATATATCCCCGCATTGGTCATGTTTACCATCCGCTGTATCTTGATATCTGTTAAATTTGGCACACATATCATCCAGCCTATTCAACTCTGCATGCATAACGGTCGTGCTCCTCGAGAGACATTAATCCTCGAGAACCAGCTACGCAAGATCGCTCTTTACGGAGTGTTTGACACACTTCAAAAATTGACAGCAACAACAATGGCACTGCTCTTTGCGACAGCCAACCCAATCATTTTATCTGGTCTGTTCACTGCTAAATCCATAGGGCCCGTGTCCTCTGTGGACTGATACCTCACAAACGGTAGTGGAAAGCTCAGCCCGGGAGCCATTTGATACAACTATAGACTCAATTCCGCCATTCCCTTCTTTCTCGGGCGATCATGTTATTGGGGGTGACGATAAGTCCCGGGTGCATTTATGGAAGCTCTCGCACAAAGTCGTGGCAGTGTTCCGATAGATGAGCTTCTTAAACTGGGGAAAATAATTCAGCGTATCAGTAAGGCTCACGATACCATCAATAAAATGCGACACGCTGATCCTGTCATGTGTAATCCCTTCCATTTAGATCGCATCTCGAAAAAGGATGGGCGTGACCGTTCGTCTCAGGGTATTATTAGGTGATGCTCAGTTTTACTCAAAGAACAAAAAGTAGCAATAGGCGAGTACTCAAGCGGAAAGGGAAAGGTCTCGAGTGTCAGGCATTATCCGCTGTGTATGTTGGCTGGTGGTGCTTGAGAAGATGGATGGTTGACCAACCTTAATCTTCTGGTAAGAACGTTCATAACGTATAATAAGAGGCCACTGAATATATCCTCCCCTGATAGCTCAGCTGGAAGAGCGCAAGACTGTAATTGTCCTGTTCTTTCGAGAACCTGTCATCTTGAGGTCCCTGGTTCGATCCCGGGTCAGGGGAATTTTTTTCTTTTTCTTCTCAGCTATTTTGCATAGATAGTGTGGAGGGAGTGTCATGTATCTATCTGTCTTTCTAAAAAGCCTTTTGTTTTTTATGTGGGACTTTTTTTGATACCACCAGCCGTCTAGAAATGCCTACAGCATCTCATTGGAAGAGAACCGGAATGTACATCGTCTTCTTTACATTGCAGTAGATATCTACATATCCGCAATACAAGGACAGGTATACACACATGTCTTTATTTCTGTAATTTTCTGACCTCCCACCAATACATCGTATTATAACAACGCTCTGGTATACGAAGGATGCTTGGCTTCCGGCGCCCAGTGCCTGCTCGTCGAGTTACTGAACCACCGGCATTGGAGGTGGGTTCACTCGGGTCCAAATTTTCTAGTAGTATTGGCTCCACCGCCCTTCTGGCCATCAGCTCTAGAGTCATTTAGGTTATTCATGCCATGGAAACTTTCATGATCACTGCTACATCTTCAGCGACGGCGGGAGGGATCTCATCTATTGGTGTTGCTACGGCTGCTGTGAGGCTTTCGATCACTACAGCGCCGTTGGGAGCTTCCGCCACCGTGGCTTTTGCGGCTATGTCCTGAGCCTCGGGTACTGTTTCGCTACGTCCTTTTCATTCTGGTCTTCATTTGGTTGGGACTTTGGGCCTTGGGTACTCGTATATATATCCATTGAATGGATGCCATTAGTGCGTGACACTCATCACCCACCTCTGAAGCTAGGTGGCTCAGATAAACAACCTCCAGTCTGGCAAGCATACGTATATATCTGGTGAGTTGTGAGAGGAACGATCCAAAGGTACAGCCCCAGGTGGCGGTGAACATGTGTGTGGGTTGATGGGTTGAGGAGTTGGTCCACACTTCGTGCAACATATATATCCATGCAACTCACACATCCGAACGGCAATATTACAGAGCCCATGGAATGTTTCAAACAGTCACCGAACCAAATAGCCAAGAAGACCACAGGGCACCTAAAACACAGGGCACCTAAAACACAGGGCACCTAAAAAACCCCGTAGAACGCCTGCCAACGTGTGTATGCCTGGGCTAGTAGGTGAACGGATAAAGGCATCCGCCCGAAAGGGAAAAGCAGCAAAGTTCAGGAAATTCAAGCTAACGAAGGAAATAATAAGATCAGGAGATCTCAGTAAGCGAGGAACAAACTTGAAAATGATAGTGAATCATGTGCCTCCCAATGTTGATATCACAGGCGTTTCCTCAAAGCCTTCAATGATTGATACTCGTAGCACTCTGCCTAGGAACCTAGGGTATAGTCCAGAAACCTCTTATCTTCTTCATTTCCAAAAGGAGGAAAACAGGGCAAATTGCTCGTCCGAGTTACTGTCCACAAAACCATCGGAACAGGTGTTGGTATCGACCCACCGAAAACATTATCTCAAAGGCCTCACAGAAAACATATAAGTGTATCGCTGGGCTACCTTAAGTTTGTTAGAGGCTCGCAACCAGGGCCTAGTTTTGAATAATGATCGGCACGCTGGTAAAGAAAGGGGTAGAACCCAAGGTGCTACTAAGTGATAAAGCCCCAGGGAGTCTATACTGTGCCACCAACGCCCTCGCAGATTCCTCCCATGAACACGGACGGTCATCCACTGCATCAACCCTTGAAGGCCCCGTAGGTCGCGATAGTCGGCGAATGTCCGTAAACGCCCCGTTTACATAGCAATATCCGGCGATACCGACCAAATAGGGCCATAGAATATTCCGACATGACAGTGGAAACTTGCGTACCGCAAAAGAACGAAAATAGCTATCTAACCCGGTAAAACCTACGGGGAAGCATGGCGAATCAGATTTTGATCCCATATACCACTCAGAGCAGACAGTCTAGTCCAAATCCAACAATGGTTGCCCGTGAGTTTTGTCAGGCGATGCACTGGGAGACTGCATCTGGAAAACTAGGTAGTCGAAAGGATCAGCTAGCACCGACGCACCACTTAGGGATATTCAAACAAAAAACACAATTACTTCCAATCTGTTAGAGATAAATAAGCTGAGGGAAATCAAAAGAAAGGTAAGCGTCGAAAGTGGGGTTGTATTTCTCCTAGCGACGCCATTTCTTGCGAGCGAATGACCTGGATCTGTGGAAAAAGATCTCGAGTAAGAGGTTTTTCGTCTATAGCAATTCATTGGCCGTGAAACTTTCTTCCAAACTAGCTCGCCACTCATCACTTGTAATGGAAAGGTGGTACTCTTACCGGCCAAGGGCAAGAGCGAGACAACCGAGTGGAAGATACGGGTTATGAGCACTATTATCAAAAGTCCGGACGCGTAGGAAGAGAATGAGAGTCTACTCTTTTTCTCAGATAGAGCCCTATGGTATTGAGAGGTTTGACACTCGACCCCAGTCTTCATAATCGGAGTTGGAACCCGCAAAAAGATGGAAAATCTGGGAAAAGCCATATCAACCTGTTACTTGACGGCCGAGAGCTATAGCCTTTACCAGACGCCTAAAGACCTAAGGGATTGAGAGAATCATATCTGAGCGTATTGCCCAGGCAGGGGAGAACTGGACTCCCCTCAAGGCTAATATTGAGCCTTTTACATATACGGCAACGGGGCCGCGGTTCCCGGATGATAGCCATGTTGACGTGGATGCCATCACATGGTGTACGGGACTTTGATATAGTGTGCCCAAGACTGCTGCAAAGATTTTAGATAGCCCCCCAAGCTAGATTTTCAACGGTATCAGGAATGGCTTTTGACTATCAGGATCCCACAAGGACAGCGTTGATGCCGGAGCTCTTGAGCTTCTTGACACCCTCATTAGCCTACCTCTTAGCATCGAGAAGGTTCAGATACAAGGGCTGCAGCGATGGCATCTGGGGAATCGGAGGGGGTAGTTGTGGGCTGATGATACGCAAATATTTGAATCAGCCAATCACATCCCCTGATAGCTCAGCTGGAAGAGCGCAAGACTGTAATTGTCCTGTTCTGTATAGAACCTGTCATCTTGAGGTCCCTGGTTCGATCCCGGGTCAGGGGATTATTTTTTTATTTTCACCATATATTCTGGTAATACATCATTGCCTGTGCGGTGGGGTCGTTGGTCGTGCTAAGTAACGACTTTAATCCAACACAATGGCTGCAAATTCCGGTATGATTGCGGATATCAACCTCCTGTCTAAATTTCTCAGCGACAATCAAATACAAGATCTCTCCACCGCATCCCCAGTCGATTGCATTGTCATATGCGCCTCAGCCGTTCTCCACAGTGCCGAGGTCCTCTTTGAGACTCTTCAGCAAAGACCATATCTTACCAGGGCTCTCGTACTGTGCGGCGGTATCGGGCACTCGACCAAACTCCTTTACGATGCAGTGAAATCCCATCCAGTGTTTTCGCAGATCGCCGATGAGATCCAGGGTCTCCCTGAAGCCAAGGTTCTCGAACGAATACTAGATGAGTTTTTCGATCGATCTCTCATCACCAAGCAGGGGTGCCAAATTCTTCTTGAGCCTCAATCCACCAACTGCGGGCAGAATGCTTCATTCTCTCGCAAGGTCCTCGATGAAGCGGGCTTTCAGGCACCAACCACTTGCATTGTCATTCAAGACCCCACCATGATGCTCAGGACCAGGGCTTCGTTTGAGAAGGCCTACGAGGGTGTCCAACCCCCGGTCTCGCTTGTCAGCTGCCCGGTATTTGTGCCGCAGATGAAATTGTCCCATAACGGAGTACTTGAGTATTCAGACTTATCGCCGCCGTCAGAGTTGTGGTCACAAAGTCGGTTTCTGGAGCTGATCATGGGCGAGGTACCGAGGCTGAGGGATGATAAAGATGGCTATGGTCCTAGAGGATATGGTTTTATTGCTCATGTGGATATTCCAAGCCATATTGAGGCAGCTTGGTCTCGACTGCAAATGGTGGCCAAGAGCTCTAGATAGGGATATTCAGCAGAAGCAAATGAAAACAAAATAAAGCTGAACCCATCAAGTACGCCCAACTGTACAACAGCTTGAAGAGAGAAGCATACAACACAGGAGGAAACAATATCCAAGGCTCTCGGTTGGATACATAGAGAAGGATGCCATCAACTGAGATGTATTGTACGTATTGTTATATGGTATGTATGCATTGGGAGTTGTTTGACTCCAATGAGATGGGAACCGAGGCATCTCGTGCAGGCGCCTTCGACGCAAGGAGGGCATACATACCCGTGGACAACCCTACCTACCCTACCTACTACATTTATACAGCATTAGACTTCGATTCATCCAATTTTTTGTATCAAAAAACACATAGAAAATATTGAAACGAGATAAAAAATGATCCCCTGACCCGGGATCGAACCAGGGACCTCAAGATGACAGGTTCTATACAGAACAGGACAATTACAGTCTTGCGCTCTTCCAGCTGAGCTATCAGGGGATGTGATTATAAATGGTTGTTCATCGTTGATTTATGAATATCAAAAGAATCTAAGACGCGCCACTCCGAGGCCTTAAATGTGGAGTCCTATCAACATTATTTTGTGATACATCCTCGCTCTGAAGTAGATTTTATGTAGATGGAACCTGAGACATATTGGAAAAATAGACATCATGCCGAGCCGATCTACTTCCATGACGTCTCAAAACGTGAGTCCGACCAGCACATGCATGTGATATATGCAATCCCTCGATTTCACATGCCCCCTTGATCTCCCAGTCGGAGATCCCGTGACTGTACCGGGTCAACGATGATGCGATCAAACGGACCTCGGTACTTGCTCAGAATGCGACAGCGGCCAGCAACGGCCATCCAAAGGGGAAATATCACCGGTTCCACGGCCCTGATTTATAAACTAACTGATCCCCGGATTTCTGGACCATTTTCCTATCCTTCATTTCCCTCCATTCTTCATCCTTATACCTCTCCCATCCCCCTATCACACATTGACGTCATGTCTACTGGTGAGTGCTGTGCATGTGACAGTCCATGGCCATGTATTCAACAGAATACTTGGTTTCCGATGGCTTGTTGCAACGTTGAAGTTCTAAAAGAAACTGAATAAAAAAACTAATCTTTATCCATAGCCCAGCAACGTCTCAACCAGGTTTCCTCCCACTTCGGCCCTGGCGGCAAGAAGGGAGCCGCCGCCCTCCTCGAGAAGCACGCTGATGACATTGTGGTAACATGTGCCCTGCGCACTGCCCTCACAAAGGGTGGTAAGGGTGGCTTCAAGGATACCGCTGGCGCCGATCTTCTTGCCGGTGTCTTCAAGGCTGTTCTGAACAAGAGCGGCGTTGACCCCAGCGCTGTCCAGGATATTGCCGTTGGCAATGTCCTTGCTCCCGGTGGCGGTGCCACTGAGTTCCGTGCCGCTGCTCTTGTGGCTGGCTTCCCAGAGAGCACCGCTGTGCGGAGCTTGAACCGTCAGTGCTCTAGCGGTCTCCAGGCTATTGCCGATATCGCCAACGCCATTCGGTCTGGCATGATCGACGTCGGCATCGGTGCCGGTGTCGAGAGTATGTCGTCTCAGTACGGGTATGTTTTAAATATTATGTTTCAATTCAAGACCTCTCTCGTTCGATTGCATGGCTAACAAGTTGACATAGACCTGGTGCCGTGACCGAGTTCTCCGACCTCCTCGAGAGCCACCCCGAGTCCGCAAACTGCAAGGTCCCCATGGGTGTCCTGTCCGAGAACATGGCCAAGGACCGTGGTGTGACCCGTGCTTCCCAGGACTCCTTCGCTGCCAACTCATACCAAAAGGCCCTTGCCGCCCAGAAGGCTGGTCTCTTCAATGAGGAGATCGCCCCCTGGACGTGAAGTGGACTGACCCCAAGACCGGCGAGGAGAAGACCATCACCGTGAAGGCTGATGACGGCATTCGCCCGGGTATCACTGCTGAGTCGCTCGGCAAAATCAAGCCCGCCTTTGCCAAGGATGGCTCCATCCACGCCGGTAACGCCTCTCAGATTTCCGACGGTGCCGCCGCCGTTCTCCTCATGAAGCGGTCCACCGCCGAGCGTCTGGGCCAGAAGATCCTCGGCAAGTACGTTGCTGCCAGCGTCGTCGGTGTCAAGCCCCTTCTCATGGGCGTCGGCCCCTGGAAGGCTATCCCCATTGCCCTGGAGAAGGCCGGCATCACCAAAGATGAGGTCGACATCTACGAGATTAACGAGGCATTCGCTTCCCAGTGTGTCTGGTGTGTTAACGAGCTCGGCATTCCCGCCGAGAAGATCAACCCCAAGGGTGGTGCTATTGCTTTCGGTCACCCTCTTGGCTGCACTGGTGCTCGCCAGGTCAGCACACTGTTCACTGAGCTCAAGCGCACAAACAAGAAGATTGGTGTCACCAGCATGTGTATCGGTACCGGTATGGGTATGGCCGCGGTCTGGGTGGCGGAGTAAACGAAACTTTTGTTTCGATTGTACATTTGCACAGCGATTTGGCTTTTTAGCCCTTCTTTCTATTTGGATACACCGATTTCTCGTTATGTATTGAATACCTTCGGATACCAAAATATTGGAGCTACATATATTGGCTCTACATTCTATACCAAGATTGCTGTAGATTTCCTACATGTGCTATTGTGAGATATGTGCGGAGTACTTGGTCCAGGTCTTTCCGGTTCGCCGCTTAATATATCTGGCCATACGTACGCACTATATACATTCGGCTTGGAGTAGGCTGTCAGCGGAATTTCTTAAAAGCATCGGTGACGCTCATTCCCTGCGCAACAGCCTCCTTGGCGTTGCCATCCATTGTAGTGAGTTTCGGCATGAGCTCAAGCACCTGGCCGAGCAGCTCGCGAGGAATAGCCACCACTCCTTCCAAGGGGTCGCAGAAGATAATGTCTCCCTATGATGCATTACAGTGGTTAGACCACGAACTTTGCCATGAAGCAATCAGCGAAGTAAGAAAAAAAAAGCTAACTCACAGGCGAAACAGTAACACCCCCGATTGAGATTGGCACATCACGAGCACCGGCCTTGGCCTCTGCATTGGTGCCAACTGTAGAAGTGGCTCGAGCCCAGATCTATCAGCACGCGAGGAGCAATCAGTAAAGCCAACGACAAAACCGTAAGAGACCACAACAAACCGGAAGCCCAGTAGCCTGCAATTCCCTCAAGTCCCTAACACGGCCTCCCACAACGGTGGCTTTAATCCCGAGGGCTTTCATCCGCGTTGCCATGATCCCACCCGTCACAGCGCAGTACTGATTCTCAGGCTGCTCAATGACGACGATGGATCCGGCGCCGGAAGGATCTGAAGATTGGAATTCACCAACATGATCTACCCAGTGCTTACCTGGGGGAAGCCGTGCTTTTGGGGATTTTCTGTTGCGATTGATGGTGGGCTGGCATCTTTGGCCAGGAATTTGAATGTAGTTGCCGGGGCCGCAATTTTGGGCATTGTTTCATTCCGCCCTGTGGTGGGAGAGAATGGCACTGGTAGGGATATGTGAGAGAGATTCTTGGAGCTATACATAGATTATTTGACGAATTTTTCAAGTATTGATAGCTTACCTAGATCTGCAAGGTACCCTGCTCTTGCTGTGCTGCCCTCAGGCGTCTTTTGTAGCTTGATGAGGGCGTCTGATACCTAAGAGATTAGAAAGTTAATGTATTGTTCGATGGTTTAGTAAGGGAGATCGATGTCAGTATACATCACAAGGTGAGTAGTTATCAATCAACGTCGCGAGTTGCTCCTTTAGTGTAGCCATTGTGTTTAGATGGGTTCACGGTGGGAGGGGCAGTGTGCTCTTGTTACTAAATCTGTAAAGAGAGGTGCACTATACAAAGTGGAATTTGGACCATCAGTGATAGAAGGATATGATGAGCAAAAGGTAGATTGGCTGATCAGTTAAAGCACATGTCCGTAGGTCCGGATATCGGATGAATACTACATCATCGGAGATCTATAACTCGGAAGGTTTCAAGGCACATTTCACAAGATTATTGCTTATTTTCTAGGTCGTTGAAGCCTTAAAGTATACACTCACTTTCAATTGTCTACAAGCTAATAAAATTGATAAATCATGCCTGGATAATCTTGTTCCTTATGAGGGCCGATCATAGCCGAGGTGATATATGTTCCGCGTGCAAGCAACGTGGGGTAACGCTTGGGACAATCTACCTTAAAACACCAAGCAGAAATAGATTGTTTCTTAGTATATAGTGTTACAAGTACCGATATTTGTGTTTCTTATTGCCGATATTCCACTAATGTTTTATACCGGTCTGAGGGGTATATATGATGCAGCATTGTTCTATAATCTCAAATCAGCATTGCTCACAGTCTTAGTATATGTAGGTTAACCCTAATAGCATAAAATGGGCGCATTCTACGCAATATACAATGATAGCTATTAAGTATAATTATATGGATGTGCAACGAGAATAGTTGGCCATTTATGTGTCCTGTCATGGGGCTTTTGGGTAACCTTTTTGGTAGTCTTTTTGGCGGTCTTGAGATGTCTTCTGAGTTATATATTCTTTTTATAGCTTCAAATAATCGTCCAAGTATTCGAGCAGTTGTGTAAATATGAATTTTGCCCGAGACAGTTCTTAATAGAGCTATTGCCTAATCTAGCTATTGCCTAATATAGATCCCTAATACAGCCGCTAAAAACTGCCGGGGTCGCGGAGGCAACCTCGTGGGGAAAACTGTGGGGAGCCAAGGGTAATATTGGTCATCAAATTGACGATACTCTGGAGGAAATGGAATTATTCCGACCTCAGCGTTCTTAGCCGTGGATATGGGCATTTTATATATCACTCGTGCACAGAAACTCAGATAGTAGGAACCCTACCAATGGCACTCAAACCCACATATACCGATCAACAACTGGAGTCATACTTGAACCGCATCGGGTACTCCCACTTCGCTGAATCCAAGGGCAATCTTCAGCATCTTCGCCAGGATATCGAGAATGATGCATTTTCTGCGTTATGTGATTTGCAAAGACGGCATCTCACTACGATTCCATGGGGCAACTCAGGGCTGCATTACTCGCAACATCATACCATCTCTCTGAACCCACAGAGTCTCTTTGAAAAGATGGTGGAGCGGCGGCTAGATGGATACTGCATGGAGAATACGGGACTTTTCTTTATTGTCTTGCGGTCCCTAGGGTATCTCGTTTACGCCACCGGAGGTAGAGTCAGTCATGCTGCGGCGAGGGGATTGAATAATGGATTATATTTGCCATTGTAAGTTCCCCGACAGTTTAGCATTCTGAGCATTTGAGCTGACATCCTTGACCCGACAAAGTGGACATATGATTTTGATTGTGATTATTGAAGGGGAGAAGTACATGGTACGGCATGAAGATCAACTACGGCTACCGTATGAACCATACTTACGAATATGGACAGATTGATGTTGGCTTTGGAAACAATTGTGCCACTGCCCCGCTATTACTCCAAGAAGGTGCTACTGCTACGGCTATCGCACCATCTGAAATGCGCATTGTCAGAGAAAGCATTGCCGAGTTCACGGACCAAAGCCAAAAGGTGTGGATCTACCAAACAAGATACAACTCCGAGAGTGACTGGTTGCCAATGATCTGCTTTGCCGACGTGGAGTTTCTCCCGCAAGATTTCGGGGTCATGAACTTCTCCGTCAGCCAGAGCCGAACTAGCTGGTTCACCCAGGTCTTTGTCTGCATGCGAATGATTATGGACCAAAGTGGCACAGAGATTATTGGCCAATGCGTTATGTCAAGCAAAGAAGTCAAGGAGAGGCTGCGCGGGGAAACGAAGATTTTACAGGTGCTGGGGACTGAAGAGGACCGCGTCAAGGCCTTGGCCAAGTATTTCGATATGCACCTTCGTGAGGATGAGATCCAAGGAATTAGGGGAATGATCTCGGAGCTCAAGTAGACATGGCTGGGCAGACTACTAGGGAAACCTGAGAGAATGAAGGATATGGTACAGAATAGTTTCTAGAGGAATTGCAGTGGATATGTATGATCACGGTGTAAGGAAGGCGCAGACATTGAACGTAAAGGAAAAGAGGCTGCAATTTTTGAAACTAGTAGATCCGACTCTCGATCTATTTCCCTGGTCAGCGTTTCTGCATTGAAACTGGAATCCAAGAGACAAATGAGATATTATTCGTACCTTCCATGGGTTGCTGACTTCGAATCCGGTGGGCGCTTGGTGGTTGCTGGACTGCCCGCGGAATGAGCCTGTGATGCGCTGGTCTCTCTCCATCACTATTGTTGGTTGCGATTAGTTTCATATAATTCTTCCCAGGCACTTCAGGCTAGCCGATAAGCTAGTAGTCACTCACTTTGCTGTGAAATTGTTAGCCAATGTGCTTAATGCAAGTTCCGACCGCAGCCGATAAGGATGGAACCAACTTACTCTATCCCACAGGTCACGATTCCAGCGCGCCTTCTTGCCATCGTTGGCAAAGCGCTTGACATAGTGGAGGCCATAGCCAGTCACACCGAACATCTGTAGCAATTGGTGAGCTATAGTCCCAGAAAGCATTGACCAATAATACGTACGCCCATGATAATCCCGTAGGGAATCAGGGCCTCAAAGGGGACACCCATGTTGTGCAGTTGTATAGGTATGTAGATGATCGGATAGAGGTCTCAAGGTAGAATCAAGAGCCGTAAAGTCTCTCACAGACCGAGGAAAGTGGGTAGATCGCGGAGAGTATGGAGGGGAGTGTCTCTTCCAACAACGACAGGCTTGAGGTCTCCTCCACCCAAAGTGGTTTAGCCCACGCTGACTCAGCGCGCTGCAACGACACTCACAGGACAAGGGGCGTGAAGGCCGTTGCGGATCGCATTCGATTGTAAAAGAGACAGGCCCCGGTGTATGGACTGTCCTTCGACGCGTCTGGTACGCTTTTGAATCAGATTGTACTGGTTTCTCTTGGGGTCAGTTTCTGTTTTGCGACGCGCTTGCGATGTCTAGACACCCCAGCGGCGGACTGACACCTCTTGTTTGTTTAGCTTTCACTTTGCGCCTGGAAACTTTGAGTGTCGATCTCGAACGGTACTTCTGTTTGTAAAAATCTTCGGTATCACTCCACCCAGCCTCGAACCCGCTTTTGATCCAGATGCACCCCCGGATCAGCGCCGACGTCAGCGGGGTGCTTCTGTAACCGGATCGGTTCAAGCTTCTTTCACGAAAACGATACCTCAGTCTGCCTGAGCGCATACACAAAGCACTGCTGTGCTCAACCTGGCGGTGGCGGTAACTTTCACTATGGCGGCGACGGTGCCGCCAGCAAACGATGAACCGGGCAAACTCGACCCGCCTGTGGACCCGACCGACAGTGACCTAGATGCGGAGGGCGAAGAAGAAACAGACTTGTATGAAATGGACCAACAGCTTCAAGATGCCGTTCACAGAGCATATACCGGAGAAGTTGATGAGGATGGCCCGGAGGAAGCTGCAGATGGAAACAACTCGAGCATTAATGGGTTGAATGGAGAAGACGACGACGACAATGACGAGGCTGAACCCGTTGGAGCTGTCAAGCTACCTGACGACGACGATGCGGATTCCGAAGAAGATTATGCGGAGTCTGAGACAGCCGACGCAGATGCCGATCCCGGGTTTGAGGCAAATGACCGTGACGCCTCAGAACCCGAATCAAGTGACCACGAGTCAGACGCTGAAGACTGGGAAGCTGAGAGCAATGGCCGCGAAGATATCGAAACTGATATCCGTAGTGGCTCAAACTGCATGTAAGTAGAAAAGCTTGATGGAGCACTGGGCACAAAACTAGGGTCCAAGTACTAATAACAGACAAATAGATTTTGCAGTCAAGACGAGGAGCACGACCCGAGTGAAGATTTTGAGGAATGGCTCACTTGTATTGTTTGTGGTGATCACTGTACGTTTCTCTCCGTTTGGCGGGTGCCGAGCAGAATAGAGCTTAGCCCCGAGATAATCGCTGACTTGACACCCCAATAGCCCATTGCCAATGTGCTCGCGAACAAGGAGCATATGACGAAACGGAAGGTACGCAAACCCGCGATCATTGATTTCTACCTCATCACCTTTCATGTATTACACCCACTAACATTGCAACACCCAGACCCATGGCGGTGTCCCGGCTGTGTCCATAACAATCTACACCCCGACCCGATCACAGACTCAGCGACAGAATCAGGACTCGGAGTCTCAGCCCTCCCCAAAGAGCTTCTACCTGCGCACGCTGGCACGCACGACAAGGGATTCCACTCTATCTTTAACACAGGCGTCAACGACGAGATGCTTAACAGCTCGCGATCGTTACGCAAGCGAAAGGCTTCGTCAATCGAGGCTGAAGAGCACACACCTGTGCTCCGCAAAAGACTTCGACAAACATCTTTCCGCGCCGACCACCCGAGTCTGAATGATGCGGCCTTGGAGGGTGGACATGGCATTGCTGATGGTGATGTCCACTCTCCTGCTCGGACACGTTCTGTACGCGTGCGACGCACTCGCACAGTGGATCGAGAGCACTGTCGCGTGGTCACTAGGCAGTTTGGGAAATTGATTATTGGATTCCGACTGGAAGAGTCAAAAATGACCAAAATAACAGGCTCTCAAATTCGACCGCAACGCAAGAAGAAGAAAGCACCAAAGCCGCCACCTGTGGCTCCGGAACCCCAGGCACACTTCGTTCCCCTCCCCCCATATCCTACAACTCCATGACTTTGTTCGACCGTGAGACTGACGACGCCAAATCAAAGCCGTATGGAGGCATTCTGTCCGAAACCGAACAAGATACATCCAGAACCCTCCCCACCCAATTCGATCGCGACCGGTTCGAGCAGGCACGCCTGAAAGCCGAAGATGAATGGCAACAGAAAGTGAAAGAAGCTGAGCTGAATGGCGAGGCGACTCCACACGCATCGCAAAAGGTCTCTGGTCCTCCTTCAAAGATCAAATCCATCAACTTTGGTGGCTACGAGATCGAAACCTGGTATGCAGCACCTTACCCGGAGGAATACAGCCGCAACCGTGTTCTGTACATATGCGAGTTTTGTCTCAAGTACATGAACTCAGACTTTGTCGCCTGGCGCCATAAGCTCAAATGTCCTGCGAAGCACCCTCCAGGTGATGAGATCTATCGAGATCGGTCGATCTCAATCTTCGAGGTCGATGGACGCAAGAACCCGGTGTACTGTCAAAATCTTTGCCTTCTCGCAAAACTATTCCTAGGCTCCAAGACTCTTTACTACGATGTTGAGCCATTTTTATTCTATGTCATGACTGAGTATGACGACCTGGGCTGCCATTTTGTTGGCTACTTTAGTAAAGAAAAACGCCCAAGCTCGGCGAACAATGTTTCCTGCATCCTCACTCTACCCATCCATCAACGCAAAGGCTACGGAAACCTACTCATCGACTTCTCATACCTCCTTACCCGTATCGAAGGCAAGAATGGATCGCCCGAGAAGCCGCTCTCCGACATGGGTCTGGTATCGTACCGGAACTACTGGCGATTGATTTTATCATACCAGCTTCGTGATTTGAAGACACCCATCAGCATTGCAGATCTGTCTGATCGCACCGGAATGACGGCAGATGACATTGTGTCTGCCTTGGAAGGGCTGCGAGCCCTTGTGCGGGATCCAATCACCAAGACGTACGCTATCCGTCTCGATCACAAATACTACGACGAGGTCATCAGTGGCTGGGAAAGCAAGGGCTACGTCCAGCTCAATCCAGATGCGCTGCTCTGGACACCATACATTATGGGTCGTAGTAACCAATCTCATTTCGATCGTGCTCCTATGCATACTGTAGCCCCCCGAGAAGATCAGGATGAAGACGAAGATGAGACCGAGGCAAGAGCGACCGACTATGAGAGCAATGTCCGAATGGTGAATGGGTCGAACGGAGACACACTCGCAGATTCCGCTGGACCGCCTTCCACATTGTCCCTGCGGCCTCATGGTATCCACAATTCTGCAGCGAACACTTCTGAACCAACTGCAGTCCCGAACCCTGCTGCTGGAATCCCACCTTCCCGGTTCGAACTTTGGCCTCCGGTGCCTCCTGCAGCACCCCCCAAACGCAGACCTGGCCGCCCATCTGGTAGCACCAAACTCAATAACATGTCAATGACACCCACGGCCGCCCGTAATACCGGTCGCAACACACCTCGACGACCCTCCGGACTGGCAATGGCTACTCCTGGAGGCAGCATTCGTCGCGGGAGAAGTTCTATCCTCACGGACTCGCCCGCAGCTGAAGCAACAGTCAGCCAGGCTAACGGTGGACTGAAGCAAAGCGAAGTTGCCGAGGAAGAAGCCGTCGTTGATGAGGATGCCGAAAATGTGACACCTGCACCCAAGGAGACTGCAGACGCGAGCGAAAAAGAACCAGAGCATGTGAATGGAGATGCCGTCCCCAAGAAACCTGTCAAGACCAATGGTTATGAGGCTGCCGAGCCCGAGCTCGCACTCGAGTCGCCCGAGGCGAAAGACACGGAAACACCCAGGACTCCTGAGAAAAATACCAACCCCATCTCGCGCTCACCTGGAACAGCAGCCTCCCGTCGATCCAACGATAATCCCAAAACACCGCGCTCAGTCAACCGGAAGGCTCTGGTCGAGAAGGTCCACGTTGTGATTCCTGCCTCGCCAGGATCTGCTTCCAAGTCATCAGGCAAAGGCGAGGATCAAAAGGCTCTGGCCAATACCAATGGCACCGATGAAGATGCGGATGCAGATGCGGATGCAGAGATTGACGCCGAGTACGAAGTGGATGGGGATGTCGTGATGCAGACATGATAATCTTGAATTCAGCTCATGATTCGTGAAGGACTTTTTTCGCCTGCACAGCAAGGTACGCATGTGGACAAGGCGTTTGTTTCAACGAAATATCTCATTTTTTTTTCTCTACAATTTTCTTTCGCTCGT